TTGGCGGCTCTAGTGGAACCGCCCTATCATCTCGTCATTTGCAAAGTTACAGAGGTAGTTGTCAGTTGCAAAGTTACAGAGAGAATTCTGGATATCTGGTTTGGTAACACAACTCGCTTACTGAGACCCATGGGACACCTTGAACGGCAGACAGTCGCTGATGTTCTAATATAAGACAGTCGCTTCAGAAACACTTCGGGAGCACAACTGTACAGTTTTCAGAAAACATCGGTGCCCATGTTTGAGAAGCTGAACGAGAAGAAGATGTCCTGCACCAGTACGTGCAGCGATGTCGCAAGGAGGAAGTCAGCTTCCTACTTTCAAAAAATTTCAAGTGCCGCACATTGTAAAAGAAACCCACGCTGAGAATGATGGGAGCCTAAATAACATCTGAGGTAGGTGATGTACAATCGCACAAAGCTTCGTCATCTTTGAGACCGAAGAGACCAAACATTCAGCCGATGACCTTCGATCTTTGTCCCATTGATCATCCATGTGAAACCGAGATTATAATCATAAACCCTCCCTCGTGCCCCCCTTAGCTCCACCTCTGCTTATGAGTAAAGTTAGTCAGAATTTGAGTCTTAAAAGAAGTTCCTCATCGGCAAAGAATTATCAGCAACGAAGATATCCAATCTGGAGACTGGACTCTCCTTCCTTCCCGCGCTCAATCTCGATACCTGAAGAGGATGAAATTCGGATACTACATTTAAAGTTATTGTAATCATGCACTATAAAACATATTAAACATAGTTAACTATAAAACTAATTAAACATAAGTTTTCTTAAAAATATTCAAAATCTTTCAAGCACAATTGTCGATCGAGGCAAAAATCTGTAGAAAGCAAGTTCAGTCGTAAATTCTGGAACTCCACTTGTCGGGTTTCTACAAGCAGACGTCTACCGACTAGTTTCCTCACAATGCAAACCGTGTGTTGCTTTTGTGAAGATAAACTCAAAAGGCACGACAGGGAAGCACGACTACGAACTTTGACAATTTGTTTTGACCCGATCGTATCTCACTGCAGTTGGTTTGTGGTGTAGGGCTCCGATGGCATCCGCATTTGAGGCGCATACTCGGAATCACAATGTTCCAAGCGCATTTCCTGCAGTGCTTTCCTCCCATCCTTTTCTTATTTTACTCTGTCCGCTTCGAGATCCTCACCAAAGATACGTATAAGATACGGCATACTAGACTCGCATCCAAATAGGAACCTTAAACCCAACGACGAGAAGTTTCGTACGGTGGTATAGAAGTCCGAACATGAGTCTCCCTAAGAAGCAACCGTGTATTACTGCAACTTTTAATGTGGCGATTAGAAGAAAAGATTGTTGCAGTCATCATTCGGCAACAATGTGAATTTACTACACTCTTCATTGTCGTTACAAATTTATGAGCGCAATGATGTGGATTACATAGTAAAAATTGTAATTCGATGCCATTTTACACTAATCCATGGTTGGGTTACATGAAAAAAAAAACCTACACCAATACAGTTCAGTAGTGTAATTGTTACACCAAATAGGGGCTAGGTGAGAGTCATAGCTCTTCTTCTGTGAAAAAGTGGGTGGAAAATAAGCTCAATTGGGTGTTACCATCATGTAAGCTACGTTAAACTAAGTGGACGGTTTTACAAATGTTAGATTAGCTTAAGGTGATAGTAAAGACAGATGGAAAGACCCCTTAAAACCGCATAAGGAAGATTACAAACCAAATACCAAGGGCTAGACCATAACGAAATGATTTTGGGGGTAAACGATATATCACTTACATTAGGGATATAATTTAGATCAAATTGTACAACAAGGCAACCCATGTTGCATCACATATAGTGATCGCTTTCTTGCCTAACAAATTAGCAAGTTTACATGTGGAACAATAGAAAAATCACAACTTCAAAAAAGAACAATAACAAAGCATACACCTATCGCGTAATATAAATGATAATTCTCAAAAGGGGTACAAACTAGAGGATCAATGACACCCAGTTTTGTTGTAAAAATGAGAAAATGCATAGGGAACTAAAGTGAAGGATGTTATACAGAAATCGCCACCAGAAAACATCATCGCAACTGCCCGGAAAGAAGGATAAGCACCCATTATTGCATAAGTTCATATAAGTAAGTAGAGATATAGACCTTCGCGTTATGACTCAACGTCAAGCAGCCATGCTGCTTGATCACTTCGCCCCTCTGTGCAATTTCATTTCTTCACAACTTAAGCACACGATATTCAAATTTTTTTATTTTCTGTCGTCAACCATATGCGATGCTTGATCAAATTGTTATCGGCTGTCGAATGCCACCTTATTTTCATATTTAGGCTGTTTATTACAATTAAGGATGATTGGAACGTCTTTATCTTGGAGAAAAAGACTGACCTATACTTTTGATTCAGGCTTGTACCTCTGCCCATCCAATATCACATTTATGAGGTAAGCACCTCCTGTCTACTTAGTTCATCAGTTCCAAAGGCCATACCTGTTGTGCGCGTTGTAATAGTCGTTTTGAAAAAATAAATGAAAATGGCCTTACGCAACCAAAATTTCTACGAAAAAAAGCCCTCTCCCTACGGTCGAGTATCCTTAATTCCGGAAAGGAAGCGTCGTTGCAGAGGGGGCGCAGTTACGATTATGACTAAAAAATGAGGGACTTTACGAACTCCCAAAGACAAACTGCCCATGGCCTACCTTTTTCATAAGTCATGGCTACCTTGTAACCCGGGCCTGAAGGGCGAATGGGAAAGGGCAAGTGAAATACTAAAGGCTGGATTGCTCGTGTGTTGATGGGGCCGAGCCGTACTAGATAGTAGCCCATCATACGGCTCTCTAACTCTTCTTAACTTTTGGATTATATGCGTTGCACTCTCACCGTGAGAGGAGAGAGGGCACAGCAAAATATATATATCTTTTAAAACCGGCAGGTCCAGTCCATCCGGGCCACTCCCTCTTCGCACCTCCGGAATCCTTTTTGCTTTCAGCCATTCCACTTCGGATCCACCGGGATCATGTCAGGGCCATAAAACTCCAGTTTATCGTCGTTTACCACATGATAACGCAAGCGTATATAATAAATGGTGGGCGAGTTTCTCGCTTTGCCCACCCTTGAATAAACTAAAGAAAAATAGCACTTTTCTATTTCATAAAAAAAAAAAATTTGAATAAAAAAGCCTGGTCCGCGCAAGTTTTACTTTATTAAAAGTAAAACTTAATTTCAAGTTCAATGGCAACTCGTGCGACATTTTCTGCAGTTGCTTGAGCAGCATAATTCGTTGACCGACGAGATATTTAGAAAAAGAATTCCCCAAGGAACTAAAACAGAAATACCCTTTGGGGCCCCTACACAGTCCGGACCTACGGACTGAACGCGGTTTGTCCCCAAAGACCTGAAACACCGAACTCCAGGCCCTCCGAGGTTAACTCCATTGCTCTGAATTCGGCTTACAAACTATTAAAAGAAAAAGACTACAGTATATGAACTGCCTATATCTTACAAATTTGCTACTCACATTTCAAATAGAACTTATATACCAGCTACAGAATCATGATAAAGAGTGTAGCCTAGACGCTGCTTGCGGGACCCAATCAATCGTCACAGAGAAGAAACCGAAATTGAACCAATAGTATGAGATGGATGACGAGCAAACTGTGTACGAGAAGAACCGTAGTACTGTACTTTCCCAGTGGACTCTTGTAGCTCCAAAGACCTGGCAAGATAAAGTCCAGCATCTTCGCCGTACAGCCCGGAATGTACGGTCCAACATGTTTGGTTTCGTGGTGTCATGCCGGGTGACGTCCAAGAATCTACCCACGCCAAGGACGAAATCTGTAGGACACATTTAGTACAGCAGCTGTATTACTGGCTGCCATGTACGTTCCGCGTTGATTTGTTAACTCCAAGACTTGGCTAATCTAAGTCAAAGTCTTCTTAACCAAATTTAAACTAGTAGAGTCTACTATCCGCAGTGTTCATGTTTCACTTTGTTGTCTAGAAGCGTCGTGCCTCACATGAAGGACTGGGTCTTGCCATCATTTTGTGCAATTGTACTCTTCCCTCCTTTTCACGGTGAAAGTGTGGCACGGTGAAAGAACATACACACGTCAGAAGGTAACACCAATTGTGCGGTTAAATACGATTGAGTAGAGTCATAATTGAGCAAACATTGAGCAAACATAATTTAGTGAAGTGACCGTTTTTCTCCAATGACAACTGACGAACAACACATCATGTCATCAGTAGTATGGAGAAATTTGGTAGGCGAGAATTATTTTGCACCATCCCTCATATCTAGTCACCTACAACTCACCAGTCTCTTGGATGATCAAGAAGTTATCATGACCTGTGGACTAAGTCAGTAAGAGAGTGCAAGGGAAATTTATATCAATTTCAATTATACTTCAGTTAATACACACTAATTCTTGTCAAGAAATCAATGGAAGGTACAATCCATCAGAGGACAACCATGTGATGCTTCAAATATGCTTTGGTATCATCCAAACCCAGATCTGATCACAAGAATTTGTTCAAATGCTCTAGACAGTTCTAGTGTACGTGCATTTACATATGTACTACCATTATAAGGTTAAACTCTAGCCCCATCCTCTCCAATTGATGTCATCTATTTAAACCTTCATGCTGTATTCTCAAAACTTCTGCTAAACTATTAGCGTCTTTCAAGTTTCAACCATCATTATAAAAAACAACACAGAAGCCCTTCTTTTTTTATGTTGCCCATGACTGAGCATGCTACAACCCTCGATATGGAGTTTACATGAGTTTAAAGAGTTTGAACCTCTCGAGCTGGATTCTCATTCAGATACTTTGGATTTCACATCGTGATGCCATGGGGGGCTAGCCCCAGATTACCCGATTCTTTTCATCCATGTTCTCGCTGGGGTCTTCCCCATGTTGACTACAATGTGAAGTACGATGTAAGCCCAAGACTTCGGCCAACACTCCACCTCGAGGACTGAACTGAAAGCCCTGCCAGTTGTCTCGCTGTGGAGAACCAGGATGTTTCCGACACGGGCCCTGTGAGTGTATGTGCGCTCACGAAAGTCAACACAAAATGTGATCTGTTCGTGTGAGCGTAGTTGAACAGTTGCTGCTCAGCACAGGGATCTCGAACATGAAGGATTCTGCTTTGGGCTTCCATCAGAGAGCACTGGTGGTGAGCGTGTCGGATTTGACTGATTCTGTATCCCCAGAGCGACAATCAGTTCCCACGGACCATATCTTCGACAGAGCCTCTGCATCTGAGCTCGCCTAAATCTAGAGACCGTGTAGTCTGTGCATGTGAGAACCGGCTTCGCGAGCACACGAATCGCACTTCAATATTCGCCTCCACCTTCGTAGACGGAGGAGCGAGGAGGATTTTAGATTTTGTAGAATGCCGGGTCTGGAATCTACGTTTGAACGAGGCTCGCGGTCGAAAGTGTTCTACGATGGTAAGAAGATGGTCGGTAGGCGACTTGCGTCGCTCGAGGGTGAGAATAATTGTGCATGTTGCGGTGATCTTCATAGTGATCAGTCAGAGCTCGCAAGCAGGTGGCCAGCCGATGCAGAGGATCAGGGGAGATGAGTATCTGGCGTTGATAGAGGACAGCGTTTTGCAACTCGCCGGGAGAGTTGCGGAAATGTACCCGTGGCCAGAGCAATGCGATACAGGTTAGTGATCGCTCGATCCCAACAAGCTGGTCGCTCAAATCTTTATTTTTTTCGCCTAATTGCAAGAATTTGGATCATGCAAACATCCTGTAAACAAAAACGCATAAATGAAATTCTGGAAATCAAGGACTCAGTGCCACTGCCGTAACGCGAATGCAGATGCTCCGGGAGCTTGTGCCGCGTGCACCCAAGACGAATGCCGTCCTCTGACCGGCCCGACCCAATGTGTCAACGTCACAAAGGTGAGTGAGCACACTGCCATGGCACCGACCTGAATGTGAATGAGATGCGAGTTTACAGTTGACTATATTCTCAAGAATCGATCAGAAAAAAGGTTGCTCTTCAAGTCGTCTGGAATTCGTCATTTCTGAATTCGTCTGGATGGAAGTAAGTGCTTGAGCCAGATGGAGCTATGCACATGAAACAGACAGACAGGCACCGTAGTTCTGACTGGAGGTACGAAATCGATGGAAACTGGGCACTTGCAAGCATGAATCCAATTGACAGAGTTGACTCGGTTACTTGCAGAACGCGCGCTGCAACACGCATTTTCCCGGCTGCGTTGCTTCGATAGCAGTCTCAAAGGATGAAAGCCGTGTCGCATTCCCAAGGTATGATTCCATTTTCTATACACAGCCCCAGCTGCTTACCATGGCAGTAATTTCTGGAGCCAAGACGTCAATAGGAACCCTACGGAGTACGAAGATACGTCGTTCCAATGGAGACTTCAAATTCTGGCATAGCAGATTGGATAATGAAAAAGCTTGAAAAGAAGTTAACACAAACTTTGTATGAAAGTAATCGCCAGTCAGGTCATCGTCGTACTTTGAGGTGTAGGGCACAGTCTCTCCGAGAGTTGATGACATCTGATGGTTGCATGCGGATTCATGTCTGCGTATTAGGCAGAAGTACAGATAGATCTGTTCTAGCGCGTTTGGGACCTTGCCCCTTGACCTGTAATGGTAGAGGACTATTCTCCAGCTCCGTCTTCGTCATGTCATCTGCAGGGAATCGATTGAAGAACGGCCAGACAAAGCTCAACTAAAATCAATTTGTGGAACGAAGGGCCTCGACGGGGTCTTCAAAGATTTGTACGCGAAGAATCCTTATCACGCGAGCTACTATGTCGGCTTCATTGACGGCACCCGTCGTCTGTATCCAGGAAGGGTAGGTTCCGTGCAGGCTTCCGTCCACTACTCGTCAAATTGCTCGATACGGGATGTAGTCGACTTAAGCACTTGTAGTTGCAATGATGATCAAGGATTAAACATGGATTCGACATTTTTGGACATTTGAGGGCTTCCCACTGGACAGTCACATGCGATACGAATAGGAGGTCGAATTGGTAGTCTTGTGCATCTAGAAGGTCGAGCTCGAGGTCAAGATCGTGACTATGAGTGTCCAATGGTTCTGAGAAGAATGTAGGCCAGAGTAAATATTCCGCCGTAGCCCCAATTTAATCTGGTCTGGAACTTTCGAATCTTTGTGTAGGACGAGGCCGATGAGAATTCGTTGTACTCGTGTGCAGCTTATGATCCGAGGAAGCGGCCCTGGTACAACGCCGCTATCACCCATCGGAACCATCTGATAATCTTAATCGACACGAGATACGTGCCGCTGGATGCGTCTTTCACGCAGAAGACCGACACCCTCAGCCTCTACAAAGATTTCGCCCAAGAGCTTCTCCAGGCAGTCTACGACGGCGACCGTGTCAACGTCGTGGCTTTCGACTCAAAAGCACGAGCGCTCGTTCCTTCATCGGTAACAACTCTGACATCTCACTCGAACTCCAGTAACTTGGAACTCTGTGTCCTTGAACATCTTTCCAGTCATGTGATTGCGTTTGTCTCAATGTTGATGTTGAGGAATTTGAGTGATGTGCCGATGTGCTCGAATCTGAGGAGCGCTTGAACTCTGTTTCTGGAGGCCAGGTGGTAGTGGAAATAAACGTCGAGCACCCGCAGCATCATGACGAATTGGAGGTGTTGGATTCGAAGATGGCCGAGCTGACACGGCCAGATCAAGGGGGTGACAAATTGGCTTCTTCCAATTTGGGGAGCGGACTGCAAGAAGCCCTGAGGCTATTCGGCGAAGCGGACGACACGATGGCCAAGAATATCATCGTCTTCACGAACGGTGGCATTTTAAGCGACGAAGCGCTCAATACAACTCTGGATGCTGTTGCCAGCAACTCCGTCAGATTATTCCTCTATAGTACGAAGAGCACCGATGCTAATCATCAACTCCTGAACCAAGTTGCCAATCGGTCGCGTGGCATTCATATCAGATTGACGAGCTCCCAAAATCGGCTCTGGAGCTTGCGCTCGTACTTCAGTTACCTCGCTGCGCTGCAGCAGACGGCGGGTCGAATCATGCCGTTTTGGACTCCATCTTACACGGACTATTATGACATCGGCGAGATCACCACAGTCACGGTTCCCATACTCTCGCCTGTCGGGCAACCTGGTAAGTATCCGCTGGAATGATGTGCAGTGTGATTGGGTATCGAGCAGGTCTACCATAGTCTCAATTTAGGACACTGATGAGTGCAGAATCCGATGATATTTGATATGGATCATGCGATCACAATATATCGCGTTTGGGAAGGATGGCATGGTGAAGGTATCCGCTCTAAGTTCACAGTTTTGAATTTGTTATGAAGCAGTAGGATCGAGCGAGAAGGCCGATACACCGCAGAGGTTGATCGGAGTTGCAGGCATTGATGTCTTGTACCTGGAGATTGGTGACATTCTGGATGAGTTCAGAGCCGCTCTTCAGAACCGGCAGGTTGAGGATGGAGTATATGACGACCACGTGTTCAACTCGACGATGCCATACGATGTAAGTTTTCTCACCGGGTGGTTTGAGGATTCTAGAATCGTGCAGACATGTGATTTCCAATCAATGCCTGAAGCAGAATTGAGCACAAAAAAAGATACCTCAAAGTCACATCTATCATTCATTCAGTCTCCTAAATCTAGTTCTCTCCATCTTCTCACTGCAAGTTTGGGACATATGCAATTGTCGGCAGTTTTCATACATACAATGACCACATGTCTCCAGGCTTGCACTGAGTTTGATCATTTTTTCTTGTGAATTGTTTTCCTCTTCTGGCCATTTGATGTTTCTCCGTGATCCCCTCGACCTTTGGAGTCCTTCTCGGGTTAGCCGTTCGGTTGCTTTCTTGTCATCCCTGTATCTCTCATGAATGAGTGGGAGTGAATGTGCAGGATAGCTCTGTTGATTCTTGCAACGAGATTTCGGATGGTCCAGACGTGCTCTGCAAATCGGACTCAAATGTTAAAACCAAGTTTCTGGATCGGATGTGTTGTAGAACCTGTTCAGAAGGATCAGGAAGGTCCAACTCCAAATTTTGGATCTACATGGGCAGTTCATTAGGTGGTCTTTTCGTAATGGCCGTATTGATATCTATTCTAATAATCTTTCTTCGCATTAGACGAGGTCCTGTTGCAGCAGTAGAACCAGAACCACCCAAAGCACCAGATCCGCCGCCCAAACACTCCAACCCTCATCATACCCTGACCAAATTGATCGCAGATAGGCTCCCCGAACGATCTAAACCGGTCTCGATAGTAGTGCCCACAATTGTCCAAGTAGCTACGTAGAAACTAAATTCATTAGTCCAAGGTCAATACTAGATGTCTTCAGGTTAACTAGGACAGCTAGATCAAACTGAAGAACTGTAGAAGTTACTCAATTTGATCCAACTGTCTTAGTTCAGTTTGTATAGACAGTGGTCATCTAACTCTCCATCCATCCATCCATCCATCTCTGGATGGAGAGTTACATGATGACCTCAGGTTCCGATATAGAAGGTGTATATAGGTAGATTAATGGTTGCAAGATTTATTTTACTGTAAATTGACGTGATGAAGTCCGAGTGACGGCATAGACTCCTGCTTAACGAATTCAATTCTTCCTCATTGGACATCTAAAGTGAATTGAAGGGCACCTGTACATGCCTCCTCTTGCCTCCAGTGCCGGCTGTGGTTCACAAAGGTATTAGTAAACTTGTATTTCTCCATCAGTCTTGAATATGGGGAAATATTCAAATCCTTTCGATCAATCGGTCTCAAGAATTTTGGGAATTGTGATATGATGATAAATGAGTCGTTTAGTCGTAAGCTGGAAATGAGTCGTTTAGTGGTTGAGTCGTAAGCTGGATGGGCCAGGTGAAGAGGATAATGGTACACTATGAAGAGGCAACAAATTCTAGACATAAAATGGTTGATTGTCAAGCACTTTAAAACGAGGGAGTTAGCATTATTAAATAAATGCGATACACATGATATGATACTGAAATATTTAGGCGAATTTATTCTATTAACAATCCTTCGTCTCCATCAACACCGAGTTATTTTCAAAATAATGGCTCTATGTCTCGAAATAATTAGCCAACGCCCTTAGCAACTAAAAGTAGTAGTTACGGTGATTAGTTTCAATATATATTGCTGCTATGAAAGGAACATACGTTAGCCTTTATTACTTCTAAACGTTCGGATATTGGAACGAAGGAATCATTTAAAAGAATTTGAATATTCGATTTTAATTTTTAGTTTAAAAACGCTTAAACAAGGAAAATTAAATGAATTTTTTTTACAATACTTTCATGTTATTTTATGCTTTTATAATATCTATATATACCTGTACTATATATTTCACGGAAAAAATTTGAGAGGTGGCGGGAACGCTTTGTACACCAACCTTCAGTTATTTACTGAAATTTTAATCGGGAGAGTTCACCTGTTCTGATGCGGGTTCCAGGTTCAAGTCTCCCCATGCCATTTCTATATGATACTTTCATACGGACTCTGTTCAATTTCCCCAACATCGATAACGAGAGATCACTGGTATCACCAATTGGTTGAGAGTGCCCTTACCGAGGGTTTTGACTTCAGAATGGCAAACGTTCATGGGGATCCTTTGAAGTTAGTTCATCACTTTCACTCCCAATATCTCTAATCTGTGTTATATACAAGTAGCAAAGGAGCAATTTTCTTCTCAAGATTTAGCAAAAGACCGTTGGACGAGGCTACGTTTCACGTCTTTACGTGAAACGTAATTGAAGCAATTGAAGACAGACTTTCAAATTTCATCTGCTTCATATATCAGTCTTCGCTTCTGCTGATACGATAGTACTTGACGAGCTTTACTTCCCAGCTACTACATGGTAACCGAAAAGTCCCCATTTCTTCTTTCCTGGAGGATAATGATATTGACTTCAGGGCCATTGTTTGAGCTTGCAGAGTACTTTCCAGTGGCTCCATCCCTAGATTGGGCCTTGAGTAAAAGGGACATGATAATTGAGTTCGGGCTACATGCATCGACCAACTTTTATGCATCAAGGAACGTGACCACAGGAGAACAAGTGTCATGTATAAAATACTTGAAAGTATAGGTTCAATTTGTGCAAAATTCGTTGTATTGAGCGACGAATGGAATCCAAGAGCGTCACACCGAGAGGGATAGGCCAGTCCAACAACCCTCGTTTGGATGGTTGCATGCAACTGAACACGAGAAGAGTGCAAAACATGAACTGATTTGTCATCTGAAACAGTCTGATGTGGTTGAATGGTCACGTGAATGAGCGCGAGCGACAGAAGAATAGTGTCTGACGTTGACCTCAAGCCTCACCAAACAAACAAACGCATCGTACAGATTTATGTCTCTATCTGAAACCTCGTAGGATGATGCTGCATTCGAATTTCACTCATATTCGTCCAGGGCCAGAAGCCATCAGACTTGCAAAACGTCGCCAGGCATATGACGAACACTTCTCCAGCTACTGATTGAGTTTCTCCCACACACTGGATGAGAACAAGGCGTATTCGACGAAAGCCATCGCATCGTGAGCACTGTGGCTCTTCCTTCGGTGTTGACCTACACTCGATGCCAATTGTGCCGACCGAAGAAATCCAAGTTCTGTGGACGTGCGAGAGGATTAGCAGCCATGGGAAAGAAGAGGAGCATATGGCTGAGGGCTTGTCCTGATGATATACGGTTCACACAGGAAGCACTCGACAGCAACTTCGAACCACCTCATGCAGGAAGAAGACTGGACGACACAGTGGATCTCATTTTGTGCGATCGATTGAGCTGGAAAGACATTCCGCCCTTGCGCGTGATCTTGGTCGGGAATCGACTGTGGACTCTGGACAACCGTCGGCTGTGGGTATTTCGGAAAGCGAAAGTGGCCCGTATCGTCGTTAGATTGCAAGGAAGATTCGACGATAAGTCCAATCCTTTCTTCCGGAGTCATTGTTACAGAGTCATGATTCCACAAGATTTCTTCCCTCAAGTCCGTGGAGTCTGCAGAACTGAGTTCGACCCTCCCAAAACGGGTCAGGCGTTCAGAGGTCCAGAGAGGTGTCAACCGCATTTCCCATACGTACCACGAATGTCTTGTGCGTCACGATTGTGCGAAGAAGTGGATGCGTTTGCCGAACCTCCATTTCCAGGTCCAGCAGTAGCCGCATCCCAACCAGGTCCCTTGAGATCGAGATCGATGCAACACTTCCTGGTCGGTGGAAGAGCCAGGAAGCATCCAGGGGAATCATATCTAGCTGACGAAAGTGGAAAAATGACGCAAGTTGAGGGTAAGGACACCGAAATGTCGGAAAACCGGCGGACGCACATTCTAGAGAGCGCTCTAGAAACCTGCGAGGCTGTAGAAGCCCTGAAGAGAGTTCGAAACGCTTGCTCCGACCAATACCAAAAAAGATCCATACCAACTTACCACCTCTCTAAAGATGAGACGATTATTGGGGACTACAACTTGGCTGCCAAGGTCAATGAAAGTCTAGATTTCAGAGCTCAGTCGAAACAAAGCTTCAAGTTGAGGCAGTCACAGTTTCCAACAGCAGCTCAAGAGGATGAGCTCAGAAACTACATAGTCAAAAAGGAGGAGACTCCGAAGCTGAATTTGCAATTGACGAGAGCCAGGGAATTTTGGAACAATCAAAGGCTCCATCGTGATGGTAACGCTGGGCCTTCTGTGGATTTTTTGATCTCGTATAATTCCAATGCTCGCGTTGATCTACACCATGGAGTTACTCAGGAGAAGTGTCGTAAAAAACGTGAAACTGATCGAGCTGCTGAGCGAAATGGCCTTGAGACCGCTCGTGTCTTAAAGTCTGACCCAGGAAATTATTCACAGTCATTTGTTCCCTGCGCACAACTTCCACCACCGGCTGCGGAGGAAATATACTCTGGAAAGGAGTTCTATGTCCGGATTGAACCCAAGGAAAGAGACACCGGCCCTGAAACTGCCAGTTACAACCTTCATGTAGGTCCATTCAAAATCGTTCACGCTGTGAACAAGTGGTCATCGGTTCTCGATGTCCCTGAAAAGTGCCCCTTATTCCCTCGAGTCAGCAACAGGTGTCTGAAAGCACACCTTTCTGAAACCGACGTCCTGATCGAGTACTGGAAAGAAGAAAGTCGTTGCGAGATCGATGGAGAGCCTGCAGTATCTGAACTCCAGGATTCTAGTCAAAGGACCCCTTATCAGCGAGCGTAAGTTGTGGAATGGCGTCGTCATTTGATCGCAAGCAAATGGCAATACTTTAGGAGATCTATCAGGACAGCAATCTGATGTCTATATCTATTAGGAAAACAGTTCCTGGACTTTATATTCCACTCGCATCATGTTCGCTTCTCTGTATACTTTTCAGAAATCCTCACTAAGTCTGTACCGAAGGTGCAGAGTGACAGAAGGATTCTTTTACATGTTCAAACTGCTTTTAGTTATTCATATTCATAATCCTTGCCAGACATTAGGTCACCATTGCAAAAAAAATTGGCATATACTCTAACAGGCTGAAAGTTGAAACGAACTTACTATTGCCTAAGCCATTACCAAGATCGAGAATCTGTCACGCTGAAAGTGCTATGATTTCTTGGATAATGTGAACGCCTTATTGTCAAGATAATGTGAACGCCTTTCCTTGTTGTCACACAAGTGCGAAACCTAAGGAGAGCCAGAGGGGGCGCCATGTAATATACAAAAAAGGGTGGGAGCAAGGAGAGAGCAAAAGCTAACGCTGGTAACCAGAAGGGTTGCAATTTCAGCTATTAATTTTTATTTGTTTACCTCTATGAAAAGTTGATCTATCTGCGTGGCGTCAAACACAAGAAAGAAAAACCACTCTAAATAAATACCTACATGTATCGGATGTCGACAAAAATAACATTTAAGGCTTCTATGTTTGGACTATTATAGACATATGTGCCCAAGATCTACTGCCGAAGCACCAATTGAAAAACTCATAGTGATCACCGTCGCCGCATTTGCGATTAAAGCTGTCGTCATGGACTGACATCTTGATTTCAACCTGAGAAAGCGGAACAGATGTGCATACAAGGTTTGAAAGATGGAACAAACCCGGAAATCTGCTTAGACTAGGAGCTCCCTTTTGATTTATGTTTATTTCCACAGTTGTCAAACCATTTCCACATTTCCACATCCAGGCTGCTGAGCACAACATGTGCACACGTGGTTGGAGACATAAAATTATCCAGAAACTGGTTCTTACACGATGCTTTTTTCCAGCTAAACAATCTGCCCTCACAAGATAAATTCTGGCGATGTCCAAACAGTGATTTCCACCAGAGAATGAAAATATGCATAAACGAGGTTCGACAATTTCAATGAGATTGTAATTTTCTTTCATTTGAAATTTCAAATATGAGTATTTTAGGTGTCAAAACCTTCGTTACTTAAATAGATGGTTCAGACGTTTTCCTATGAATTTTTCGGTTTTTATGCTAATAACCAACATGTGTCATGGTTACAAAATTTCCAGTCTACACTTTGCGTAGAGTGCATCTGTTCTGATGCGGTTTCCGGTTGCAAATGTCATCCGTACATATATACTGACTCTGTTCAGTTTCCAATAACAAGTCTACACTTCCTTGTAGATCATCGGTGTCACCAATTGGCTGAGAGTGCCCATATCAAAAGATTTTTCACCTTCGAGTGGACAAAGTTCATGAGGTTACTTCTAAATTTAATTCCCACTTTCACTCACAATATCTCTAAACTGTGTTGTTTCCATGTAACAAAGGAGCAATATTCTTCTCATTTATTAGCAAGTCCACCCTCTACGAACACCATAAAATTTGTTCATCTGCGCACTTTCCACCTACTTTTACCTTCAGAAGATTAGTACTTACCTCCGTACTTATCCCGTTACCGCTGCCATTGATTCGAAAGTGTACTTTAGATGATCATCCCTCGTGGCTCACTGACTACACTCGTGGCGGAATGTAGTCACCTCTCTCGACATTTATTCATCCATCCTGGCTCAGTCACTGCATCCCGCCCTCGCTCGCTCCTTCCTGTGTCTTTCATCACTCCGCTCTGAATGTCATTTCGTTTTTAAGCCTTGGTATTCACATACCATGGAAGTTAGCGGTGGAGGAGAGGTGATGTGGTTCAAACCACTTGATGTGATGCAGAACCCAAAACTTCGGGAATGTGCTATCCATAGGTATTTCCACACTAGCAAAGTGGAGTATTGCGTTACAAGAATATACACCACCACAAACTTCAGCTGTCCAGTATGATCCCACGCTTTGACTCTAACGCAATTTTCCACTTTACTCTTCTTGGCTCCTCCATTCGAGATAATTAATCATATTTGAAAAAGTATTTGGAAGTGCTGCTGGTTCTCTCTTCTTTTACCAGTTGGAGCCGAATCCTACTCCAATTCGTAAAGACAAGTAGCAGTGCAATAACTGTAGATTACACTGCTCTTGACTTTCTTCATGCTTCTGGAGCACCACCTACGTCCCTGCTCCATCGTTATGTCCGTTGACGTTAACTTTATATATATATATATATATATATTAAGCTCAAAGTCTGGCGAATGCAATACAGAAGCTCATTATGTGTAGACAACAAGATTATTTGTAGATGGTATTGAGTTGTAAAAATATATATGTACAGGAAGATAGTTGTGTAAGTTATGTGAGAACCAAGAATGAATTTTATTTCAGACCAACTAAAAGATCATGTTTGGACCATGAAACTTTCATTTGTTAGAAATGACGAGTGTGATCCAACCAAATCCGTTATTGAATTGTTCGTTGAGAGAGTAAGTTTGATGTGAGTTAGAATGTGATATAGTTATTTTATCACATAAACAATGTAAAAACACACGTTTTTGAAATTTAGATTTCACGTTCAAAATCTGAGAGTATTTGTTCAAAGTGAAAACAGTCATTTTTAATGTGTTGGATTTCAGAGCGAGGGTGTTGAAGAAATGTCATTCACAGGTTATAAAAGACCTTGTAGTACGATATATCTCCTCCTGCAAATGTACCATGTGGTTAGGACTGTGCCAACTCTCTGTTCCATTATTCATCAGATACGAATTGATTCTGAGAGAAGAAAAAATATCAACCTCGAAAGTTTCGCCTGATGACTTCCTCACAATACTTTGATCACCTGCTCTCCTTCCCAAGCCAGAAGAAGATTTGATTAGGAGAGTGTAACAAAACTTCCAATTCCAACTTCTGTGAGATGAACTTTGGGAATTCAAACGGAAATTTAGTTCAAGCCAATTGTGCTCTCCAGCATGACTAGATTATGAACCTGAAGCTTGCTCTGTCTATTCCTCAAATGCAGTGCCGCTTATAACAACATGTCGCACAGTTATCAAAGAGCTCAAATCCTTACACTACGAATCTCTTTCCGATTTCAGTCTAGTGCATAATCACGGACAGGTCGTGAAAATTACAACATTTTATTTTCTTTCATCACTCTCTCGCTTGTGCACGCTGTTCTGAATCAGTAGGGTCAGCATGACTTACACGCTTCCAATAACTCGTAGCACCAATTTCTGTCTCTAAAGACTTAACGTGATACAGGTAGACCCTCCGATCCCACTCTAATCTCATCATGGGGCGCTTCAAAGCACAAATCTTCAAATTGAACTCTTCTTAACTGTGAAACTGCAAGTTTTCCATCAAGGAAAGATGACGACGTACTGTCTTATAAAGTGGAGTCGTTGTCGACTGACCAATGTCTGTATACAAAGGATTTCTAAGAAATCTGGAAGATTGCCTTCCGATCGAGCGATTTGTGACTAAATTAACAATACATCCTCGCGTCGATTGAGGGCGAGGAGAACTGGAAACCGCATTTCTTTCACGACTTGCACGTCGTCCCAACAGATGGACCTTTCCATTCGCGGGCATTTCTACTGAGAGTGATCGAGGACTCGCACGGTGGAAAGAGTCTCATGAGGACGATGCTCGACGATTCTGACGCTCGAGTCTTCATGAGACGGGCGACGGTGCCACTCCAGCGGCACTGGCTGCAGAGGACCGTGCTCCTCTGTCGGATGGGGGTCGAGCGAGGGACCTCGTCCGCTCATGCCCTCGTGGTTTTGCCTTCGTCGGGACCGGCTCCGTACTGGCCCTCGACTTCGTGCCCACTTTTCTCCGTGCCTGTGGTGTCTCCCTGATATTGAGCGGTGCCTTCTTGCTTGCGCGTTTTCTCCTCGAACGCTTTGCCTCCGCCTGTTTCTTGAGGATCCGCATCTCTTTCGAAAGGTTTCGACTCCTCCGGAATGATCTTCTTCATCTGCAGGTCACTCGCTGATTTTAGAATGGGGAAGAAGCGCCTTCACTGTGTCCTCTTTCAGTCAAGTATCAAACGAATTAGCTTCTTCGAATGGACAAGCAGGAATTGAAATGGCGAGCTTTGATGTTCTCTGGACTTTCGGATACATTATTAAGGCGTGATGTACTGACTCAGGGCAGTATGCAGACTTTGTTAGCAATGTTGGCCACTACATGGATGGATTCCATAGCATTTTGAACACCATTCGACTGAGTAGAAACGAAACAAATTCCCACCCGTCCGTGGGAGGGACAAAACAGACACATGAAGATTCTGACGCGTTCTAGATTTCTGACAATTGTATCAACAGAGAGTTTCTTCTCCTTCCTACTGTGATGCGATGGACGATGATTCGTGTCATCTCAAATGACCGGGCAATCGAGAATCCAGAAGAAAAGTCGAGCCTGAGCCTCTTGAAGATCTACAGAGAAGCCCCGCGAAAAATTGACGACAGACTACGGCGAGAAAATCTGATCGTACCTGAAAGTCGGGAGGTTCTTGCATCGCTTCGGCTGCAGCCTCCTTCGTGATCTCCTTGGGCTCTGCGGCATGAATGTCCAGTGCACGAAAGTCATCGGGAGTGTCGCCTTTGGTCTTCGGATCTCGATCACCTCCCAGTACCGGACCGACCCCATACGTCGGCTCGTGAGCGTACTCCGCTCTTCGAGATGCATGGAAGCCAGCCACCCTTCCGACGCAGGGCGTTACACGATTTCTAACAAGACCATCGGATGAGAAGTTTGATGTTCTGTGAATTGTGCTGGATTCGAATTCCGATCTACACATGTGAGAAGCTTGCACATTCACCTGCCTGACCCCATTCCTCACTATACTGCAAAGCAATGCACGTCCCCCCATTTCTAAACTCGATGTGATGCAATCAACCCTTTCTTCTGATGTGGAATTACCTTCCGCTTGATCTAGATCTTCTGCAAACTTTCGCAGAGCCCCCTCTCTCTCTCTCTCTCTCTCTCTCGCTCTCTCTGGGCTGTAGACGAATTTCTACACAGCAAACAATGAGACTGTTATTGGAACTCTTGATACGTGTGCCGAGAACTCAAGGATTTCGTGATTTCGACCTCGAGACCATTGCTGAGTTGATCGGACATTTCAGGGAGTGGAATTGAGATCTGTCCCCGTGCAAAGAACGGAGGACGGGTGTTGCCGGGTGCGTGGAGAGGGCGATGTGGCGCAGAGCAGGACTGTCTCGAGTGTGGGAACTCGAGGTGTCACTCATGCAGTCGAGGAGTTTGTTTGACACGTGCCTCTTCGGTATCTGTCGTTTGTAGCTCATGCCAAGTGTGACATTCGGAGTGCGAGGTTTGGCCCAGTGGTTTGCGATCAGAAGTAGCTCAATGAGAAGCATCATGATCACTGGCTGAACGATATCGGTGATTAGATGTCGTGCATTTTGAGTGCTGTAGAGGATTATTGCAGCAAATTTCGCTGCAGTGGCGACATTATCCTTCACCTCCTCTACCAGAGTAAACTATAACCATGCAAGAGACTGGAATAGAGTGATGTGTAATTACAATAAGTGAGGATAACAATCAGTGTAACGTGTTCGACCAATCTGAGAATTGTTTATATGAGGGCTAATTAACCCTAAGCGAGTGATAAGTAACATTCCCCTTGATTAATTATCGAACACATTCAACGAAGAATGTGTTCGTAGACTCCCCGCGTCGTGTGATATCTACCGCATTTTGAGTCTTCGGTTCGGGAATTGAACGTTCTTAGACGTGTGAAGATAAATGTTCGTTATAGTCCGGGAATCCACTGAGGGTTTTCAATTATAGTGAGCCGTACGTCAGTGACTAAATGTGATGTTTTGTGGCAAATTTTCCTACTTAATTTACTTAAGATATTATTACAATGTTTGAAATGTAACATGTCAGGAATTGAAATTCAAATTGGGGCAATTTACAAACAAATTTCAGACTTCAGTTATTGAATGTGAAATTTCTAGCAACTGATACGGTCAATGGCTGCACGCGCATGGAAGTTGATGTCCACTCATCCTTCTTGTTAAATGTATAATCTTTCTCAATTTTTTCACATATTTTATTTCTTGAAGAGATTGAACAGTTAATACAGTGAAGAGTTATGAGTGTGACAGTTCGATAGAAAATTTATTCATTTTCAAAGTTATGTGGTTTTTTCTTAACGTAATATTTTCTCCAATCTCAATTTTTTCGGTGTTGTAGCAATTGTAGTATTTATATGTAGAATATTTCCTATTATGAATGTACTATATGACAAGTTTTTTTCCCATCTTTCATTTTCTTACTTTTCAATAGTTTTAAATGCTTTTGAAAAATATTTGATTAGATATAGGGAATATATAATAGAATTTTTACCAAATATTTGTATTATGTTTTTCGAATATGTTTACTATTTATTATGTTATTATTCTATTATCTGCAATTTATAATTTTGCACACGTCTTGATGTAATTTCCAATATTAGTATATAATCAAACTTTTCATTTTCCCTTCAAATGTATTATATTTTGGAAAATTCTTACTGTCTACTTTTTCACCATGTATTTGACGCTGAAATTAGATTGCCATAACAGCATATAATACGGATAGTGTGCGCTTTTTCTCTTCCTATATATCTAATATATGTTTTATTGGAAAAATATATTTATTTATTCATCATATTCCCGTTCCAGGAACCGAAACGGGCAAAATATTCACACAATCTTTTGTATTGAGGAAACGTGACAAACTGGAGCAGAAACTGAGATAGATGCGTCTGACTGTGTTCGGACCGATCTTCACAATTACTACCACCACTTTCCCTATAATACTATGTACATACAAAGTTCTTGCCGATTTAGAGTTCTATCGAGCAAATATATGCCACGTAAAAGGAGAACAAAGGACCATCGCCCAGAACTCATCTGTCTTCTACACTTGACACGCACAGTTATGTACCCACTGCTACAAAATTGTCAGGTACAAAATCTAGTTGGAAAATTTCGAATCATCAATGTCGATGCCTCGGTCCTCGGCAACTTCTGAACCATCAGCTCCATTGCTCGACAGACCTCCGAGTTTGCCCATCTCCGCGTAGCCTTCAGAGCCTAGCTGCTCCTTGCGGTGTTGTCCACCCTTGCTCCTTCCTGCTCAAGGATTGAAAATAGCTGTCGGGTTAGATAAACGAGCAAACTTCATGCTCCGTCGTCGAAAGGTGCGCTGGGCTGTTGGACGAAATGCTTACCTTCGGCCAAGCGCTCCTGGGCTTCAACACTCTTTCCCCCAGTTCCTCCTGGTACCACCGTCTCTCCAGCTGCGGCTCTGGCGTCGAGATCCTCCTTTTCTCCTCCGGCTGAGGCTTTCGGCTTCTGCTGCTTCTCCGGCTTCTCCTCCTTCTTCTGGGATCGAGTTGTCATTTGACTCATGTTTGCTAATTGAAGTGCTCAAAATCCTGTCATAAATGTGACCGACCAGCACGGCGAGGTTCAGTGACGATCAGTCTCCAACAAATGATTTCCATCATCGTGCAGGGTTTCAGTAGGAACCGAGGGCAAGTAGGAAATTGCTCAAAGCAATTGCTCTAAGAAATTGCCCATCAGTGCCGAGCAATCTCAACAGGAGGGCCAAACTGCTGTGGCCAACTGATGGCATTATAAAATCACCCGGAAAATGGATGTGATCAAAGACTGGAGGAAAAGCATCACAAATCTTTCAGCCAAGACTTCCACATTCGAGCATATTTTCTTCGACCATTACACTAAGCTTCCCCACGTTCAAAGTGAGGACATATTCTCGGCCGCTCCAAACATTCTACATTCCAAGGACCAATTCTGGCAAACTCTGAGGACGTTCTTTGTCTCAAGCAATATAATATACTGCTAAAACACGGCAAAATCTCCGGCCTAAACCAAGAAATCGACCCATCAAAAGAAATACCACACCTTCTCACCTTCTCACGTAAAATTTCACGACTCAACGATCTCAGAACGCTCGAAAAATTTCCGCTCGGTAGCTGAATTGATGGAAAGAAAAGTCTGCTTTGGATGAAAGTGGAGTCCAGTTTATGTACAGCAGAGACATGCTCGCCGAATGTTAATGGACTTCATGGTGCTCGTCCAGCGTGTCGGGCACTGTATAGCCAGGAAATTGTGGGGGGACACGTGTACGTGGACAGATAGATCGGTACCTGAACAGGACGGTAATCTGAAGACGTGTCGCCAGCGGGCTCCGATGTATTAAGTTCCCAGAGGCAGCCGAGTTCGTGGGACTTCTGAATTCGGTACTGGGCATACGTCGTCCTTCTGGCCATCGATCCATTCGCTAGAGCGGCTCCCTCCGCGTGTAGTTTCGACTGCCGATGCGCAACACGAAGTCTTGACGCGGAATGAGATTACGCCTGCTCGACTCGTCTCTTTCCTTTTGCAGCTCAGTCGATCCGCTCGCTCTGTCATCTTCGTCTGTCGGAGTAGGTAGCAACTAAAAGCAAATGTACATGTACCTTCTGTACCTGATCCAAAATTAAGCTTTGAACCCCAAAACTGGATGAAGCAATGAAGTTGATCATGGCTTCCCCATGTAAAACTTGGCAAACCCCCGGCAGAGCTCCAGGTCGTTGCGCCGTTCGAATGTTGACTGTGTCGGTACATCTCGAGGTCTACTCTACGTACAGCGAGCGGGGAAGTTTAAGCTGATCCTATATTTTACGATCGATTTTCTGGTCTATGTCAACACGATACAGTGATTGAAATGTACGAAACTGACTCGGCGGAGTATAGGTCAGGCGTGAATGCAACATGGACATAAATCTTTAATGGCTAACATGTTATCACTGATTCTATAACCTCATTGAACAGCTTGCCTTTCCCTTGAGCAGAGTTTTCCTGGGCCTGGTTTGATTTGAGTATGCTTGTCTTCGTGGATTGAATAAATTGTCAACTGAATTTGCTTCCAGATCTAGTGTTTGTGCAGATGGCATATCAAAAACATTGCTGCTGATGTGTTCAATCCAAAGACTTCGTACCAAAACTGGAGAAGACAAAATCGCCATCGTACATTTGTTTAATGCTGTTTTAAATGTCCTGTTTTACTGATTCCGCTTCGATCTTGGAGATTTCTTGTATCTCTTACTACCTCTATTTCAGATCTTCCGGATGCACAGCTTGTGACACTGGTTGGTTGTTTGTAGTTATGATTCTAGGCGATATTCCACGCCTCAGGGCGTGTCTCCGTATGGGGAAAACTTGTCAGTTTCTCAGGTGATGCAGCTCCATGTAGAGGGAAGAGTAATCGAGATGTTCGTGATGAAAACCGTATGCTTTGCAGATTTTCCTGGATATGTAAAGCATGCACCATTTTCCCACGATGTCATCCGCGGTTTAAGCAGCTATAGAACTATGTAAGGTTATCAGAATTTCGCGGGTACAATTCAGTGATGTAGATGCTTTCAGAAGTAAAAGAATCAGTTATCGGTATCAGTTCAGGCCAGTCGAAATGAAAGCCAGAGTTTCTTGTTGTTTCCTTTTTGCTGAAGAAGAGATCACGTGCAGATACTTTCTTCTGAACTACGAGAGGATAGACTGGACGATGTGGCAAGGAGACGTCGGGGCAGTGGAGCATGAATGCATGTTTGTATCTTCCTTCAATCGTCAGCAACCATTAATTCAGAGGTCAAAGTCACGAAACTCTGTTTGAAACAACCAGGTGGTGTTTTTGAATAACGTCGGAAGTCGGACCGATTCGGAGCTGTAGCAAAGCAAGATTACTTTGTTAGTCTCGGGTTTGCAGTTTGTTTGAAATTCAGTTCGTATGCTTGTGCTGCTGCGTGGCGTGTTTTAACTGAGCCTTGAAGCACTGATGTGGAACCTTCCGCATCTACAAGAACCTCTGCTGCCGACAAACAGCTTCATAGATGTGAAGGAAACCGACTACCTTCTGTCTTTCATTGCATCCTCCGATCATGCTGCAAGTTATGTAACGACGAAACCTCCACTCAAACAATCACTCTTACTAGTCAGTGGATACATGAGCCCATTTATCATCTGTTTGTTAAATGCTCAGGCTGCCTTTGGAAAGGTCAAAATGAGCCCAAACGCTCCTTTGCTCGTAACTGCAACTGTTGAACAAAGAAAATCAGTGCCTGCAAGAAGGCTGACGATATTTTAAGGAGACAACTATATAGGAATTCGAACGTAACAATAACACAGGGTTTTACGTGGCCGCGTTATTCACTGGACACCAGAGAGACGAACTTGGCGCATGGGCTTTAACTGATGCAGACCCTTGAAGCTATATTGCTTCTCGAAGCCTGCATACTCTGCTCACAGGTCAACTTATCTGGACAACAGCGCTAGTGGGCATCTATCTTCTGGTTTTTGCCGACCAAGCGAGAAAGATTTTTCCCACATCCTGTCGTAGAGACGAAGTTAAGAGAACGGGACCAGGAGCCTCCGTGACATACGATGTCGGGGACACATGGAGAGAGGCACCATTGCTGAGAAATAAGTAGCACTGAGAAGGCAGCAGTAAGAAGGCAGTGTGCGTTGCCATTTGATATGAGTGGCTATGAGGCTATGCAACGATTATCCTGGAAAGTCAGAGGCGGACATGCGCGAGACAGACAGATGATTCAGACTTTCAGTTCGCATATTCCAGTTCCCTAACTTCAACGAGTCCACACTTTTACATTTTCGGTTTCAGCGTATAAGATGAATACAATAATGTAAAAAGTAGGTCTGGAAGTGCTCAAAAAAGTACAGAAATTTTTCTGTCTGTACACGATTCATATAATACTTTGATGATGAATCAAAACATTTTTTCTAAAGAGAACTCTTCAGATGGTTAGGGGTAAGCGAAGAATGATAACTAACCATTCACTTGGTTATTCCGAAAGAATGATCTCTATATTCGTCCATCCATTCCATCCAGCGGACCTTTCCATATACCCTTCATGGGAGGTAACTGTGCCACAAATGCTTTCCATGGGGGTAAACCGACTCCACTTCCCCTTACACGTCCATCTAACCTTAAAGAAATGTACCTGAGTGTCCATCCATTACAGAGGAATCAGTGTCATGGGAAAGAATATAGAACTCGGTATCTGAAAAGCTTGCCTGTAATCACAACTTTATGTGGTCTATCCGCGCTATTACTCTGGTCCCCTGGCGACGCATAACTGATTCAAGCAACACAAAAGGGGTGGGTTGGCTTACACAGATTTGTCTTCAGATACATTAGCAATCTTCTTCTGCTCATTTAACCACCTGCATCAGAATCAAGTAAACTGATGAGCAGAAGAAGTCAACTGGGATATGCCAGATGTGCATGAGTAATTCAGTGTCAGGTCGTCATCTGTCACAATTTACACCTTACTTAGGCTACAACTCAGGCTGGATAATGGACTAAGACCATCACATAATCTGACTATGATGAGATCAATTACAGGACCGCCTGCACTGAGAAGGAGAGATCTTAGACAATATCATTCTGATGGACTTAGACATTTACAACAAAACATGAACAAATAAAGTAAGCGGCGAATCTCGATTACAACGTGCATACATGTCCTGGTGCATGGGTAAACAGGCCGAGCTAGGACAAATTGCGCTTGATGTCTACACATGGACAAAAATATGCCCGAGTATGATGAAGATATCAATATCATCCCTCATTGGAAGGAGGTCCTATTGCAGATAAGGTTCGTCCTTTGCAACCAATAACGTCATGAAACTAACGCAGGGGTGCTGCGATCATTTCCTACTGACTTGAAAAATGCCAATAGCTTATAGGCTAAGGCAGTGCAGTTGAATGAGAAACAGACAAATGCAGCGCACTGAGATCAGAGGGTAAATTTTACTCGAGGGTCAAGCCTTGATGGCGAGAGTTGTGAAAGAGAACAAATAGTTCTCAAGTCCGATAGGATATAACGGGAACATGAAGTCGTATCCTGACACTGTCTTTAGAGAAAAGATACAAATGCTGGTCACAAGCTTCCTTTGAAAATCCGGACGTTAGACTTTGCTGGTGTTTCTGTTGTATCGGTTTCTTACCTTGCCCATTCATTTGTGTAGATTGGATTGGCCTTCCATCTGCTTGTAGGCGTGACAGCTCTTTGCTCTTGCACTGCTACTCCTGAGTCGAAACTTTGTTGAGTTGAGCTCGGAGCAGGTTCGGAAGTTGACAGAACTCCATCCGTAGGATATGGGACCACTAACACACCCCTTTCTAGCAACTCTTCCCTAAGTTCCTCCCCTTGTTTTAAAGCTTCTTCTACGTAAGCAGTCGTACCGGAGACTATGACGATCCTGCACAGTCCTCTCAGCTGCTCCAATGATACAACTTTCTTGTTCGCCAGCTCGACTCTCAAACTACCCAGAGTTTCTTCTCTGGACAGCTTCGCTAATTGGACATCACGCGCTTTTGAGTCAGATCTGTAGAGAACGGCGAATACCGCCACTGCTGCTAGATCTATTCCGAGATCTTTGAGAACGTCTCCAGTCGGAGCCGCGTTTGCAGCGTGGCCTATCGATCCGATTAGACGAGGAATTGTGAGGAGAAAGCCCAGAGAACCACTCGCTATGAAAGCCAAGTAGAAGAACATGCGGACGGTTCGGAAAGGAGATATAACTTCGCTCCTGATTTTAGCCTGTGAACTGCAAGCAAGCCGTTTCAGCGAAACACACCATTAGTCGAACCACCGAGCTCAATCACATACGGTGCTCACTTGCCTTTTTCAGACAAGAAACTAGTAACTCATTCAGGTGCATCAGGTCGTCAGTTGATGGAAATCTTGTTCAAAGAGCACTTGCATTTAACTCGGTATGTACAGAGTTGGAGGTGTGTGGTTCTGGTTGGACAAATATCGTTCAGATTTCTATTTATGATTCATATCAAACTTCAAGGCAACAGAGACTTATCAACATCTTACTACTAATTAGACACCATCAACTTACTTTAAAAAAGCTTGAGAACTGAGAATACAAGAAACTCTCCCAAGTGTGACTAATACAATTACTTTTTATTGTAACATCAGGTCATATGTCCTCCATGTTTGAGTTCTCAGATTTCTTATTGTCTGCCTCGGATCTGGTTGTAAGCCCTCCACTTACAGGAGGTGTGTTTAATAAATTTTAAAAAAACAGCATAATCGGCCTTTGGCTAGCCAACAATCGAAGTTATGACAGTTTCAAAGTCACTGATCCTGCAGATGAGAAAAGGCAGAGCTCCTGCTGATTGAATGTTAATAGAAAGCTCGAGATTCTTGTATGATAATCCCACTCATATTCTAGGAGTTTTCTGTAGACCGTATAATCTGCGGCAGGCAAACAATGGGAAGTCCAAGTTGAAGATAGAGACAAGACATAAGCAGGCATTGAATCTTTTGCGATTGCGAGCTGATTTTTCCAGCTTGGAGGACATTGACACCTCTCCATACAACTGTTGAGGAAGGAGAAATTATTGCACGTTGGAAAAACAGCGGATCTACAAATTTTGCCCTTGAATCCTGCAGAAGTAATTTCCTTACATCAAGGCAATTTCAACCAATTACCATAAGAATGTGCCCGCCAGAAAAAAGGGTGATGGAAGTAATCAAGCTGCGAGGATCAAGAAAAGATCGGGATGTAAAGCGTGAGACAAGATTTCAGCTCGAATCGCTCTAAATTCCGATAGGCCCTGGCGTGTTGGAAGGAAGCATTTGATGAATTCAGAAACCAATGAAGGAGAACTTCATGACGAATGTCAAAGCCAAGTTCACAATGCTCCAGAACTACAGTCCGAAAATTGTACCCATTCAGCTTTGAGTCCACCACGAAATCACTGAGAATGAGATGAGCGCAAATCCAAACAAGAACGGATGATAGTGAAGGCTGGTGAGTTGTTGAGAAGCTTAAAAATGGTCGTATCTAACCTGTACTGCGGAGCTGGACCGTTGTCTCCCTTGGCTCGCACTTCAAGTCTCCAGCTCCTGACATGCCCGACAGGGGAGAGAACTGTCTGTAGAAAACATGAAGACAGTTCACTGCAACCAAAAGCGTATCTAAAAGATATATTCTGAGAGGGAACTCCGTCAGCTGAGAATGCTGGAAAATTGGCTCTTCTGGAAGATTTAGGTGCTAAGTACGCCGAATGCGCATTGTCGCTGAAGCGAATCCTATACTGCCTGCTCAAAGGTACGTGCAGGTGGAGCAATCCCGCGTTGTGGGCGACATACCCCATTTATTTAATGTACAGAAGTCAGTCCTTTGGGTGAATTCTAACGAGTGGGTTCTACGGAATCTGTCATGCAGGCTGCTAATTTTTCAAATGTCCGCTTGCGCTACAGAGAAAGCAAAGGAAGGGCGAGGTGGAGTGGTGTGTGGAGAAGAAAATAATCGGAATCTTTCAGAGCTTCCCAACAGAGAAGGCACTGAAAGCAGCTGCGCTCGATCGATGGAGAACACTTGAAAGTTCTGCAGAGAAAAGTCAGCAGACAAAGCTCTGTGATGTCAGAGCCGATTGGCCCGGCCACTTCCACACATCACTTCGTCGTCCACTCGGAAAAGTGATGTGGACGAAGTTGGCCTCGACAAGTCCACGTCTGAGAGCACCCGTGCTGCCACGTGGACGTCGAGTGGATAACGTCCTCCCTTCCTGTCCCGTCCCTGTCCGACGTTGTTCGTGCGATCGGGTCGTAGCAAGTGCAACCTTCGGAATTTCACCATCCGTCGCTCCCATGTTTCAAAGAGGAGAACGTATATAAGATACGATAGATCCCAATGAGCATAGTGCAGTGAAACGAGTGATTTGCGTCTTTTGCATGGTGCAGACATGTCTGCCAAAATATTATTGGTTTTGTAACATTTTCATGCCAACATTGACTTACACAGTCATATGGCAGGAAACCATCAGTATTGAAAACGCTGTCATTAGTATATCTTTCGTGGCAAACCATTCTACATTCTAAAACCTAGTCCACATCTTGCATACATTTCAAGTATACAAACAGACTTAGTCGTAATAAGAAGATATAAAACGTTTGAAAATATTAATTTATATAGAAAAAATTAATATTTTTAAAAATACATCATTATTTTTCTATTTTATTACATATATCTTTCACATTAATTTGATTATGTGTGTATGTATATATATATATATAATCATAGTTTTGAAGTTTCCTATTTGCTTCCACTATTTTTATCTAAAGATGTAAAAGTGTACATGAATGCAAACTGAATGAATGAATCGAACAACTTTTTTTCATAAAAAACATCAAAGATAGTAGATAAATATTCTAGGTATGTACTGTTTTTTTCATTATTTCTAGTTAGAAAACTGAAATAATGCAAATCTATTTTCCAATCATACTTGTAAGCAGTTTGTGTAAGATTTTGATCACCATGTTTATTTTTTCTCCTAATCATTTCATTTGTTAGTCTTTAAAAAAAAACTTGTCAACATTAGAACTATTTTGCTTTCTTCATTCATTATTGAATTTGATCATTATGGCACATTATTATAACCTTTTATTTGACATTTTTCCTGTTTTTTTCTTGACTTTGATGTTTTTAATTTTCCAGTTTCAATTTTATCTACTTTCATTTCAATTCTTTGATAGCTTAAAGCATTTATCAACTAGCATTTTTGTACTTCACTCATAATCTCTTTTTTTTCAAACTAGAATATAACCTATCTTCAATGTTTTTAATTATTTTTTTTACATTAAGTCATGTCATTAAAATTAGTCACAAATAACTAAAGTTGCTCATGATTAAGATTATCATAGTCAAATATATGTTTAATTTTATATCATTACACAACTATGTACATTTTCTTTATTCTCAAACCAAAAATTTAGTATGTTTCAGGAGTGAAACAATTCAATTGCCGACAAAAAAATTTCAATTTGATAACAAAATTGTATTTTCAACTTCTTAAATTAATACATAATTTTTTTTCATACGTTTTGAACCATGAAAATATCAAAAAGTGTTTTAAATAGTATCAAAAAATGTAAATTATATTTCATTTTCAATTGCGGCAAAACACATCATCCAAATCATTTTTGTATAAACTTTTTGATCAATTTTTGTGGTACTTTTTAATAATTATTGAGATCGTTTACACAAATCATAGTTTAGTTTGAGATTTTTTTCAACTAAATTGTTTTTGTTCCGACTTAATGAATTTTATTTCATTTTTATTCTTCAACTTTTGATGGATTGTCATATTAGAGAAGAAAAAAATAATATCGATTCATTATTGACTATTTATAACTATCAAGTCAACAATTGATGTGTTTATTGAATTTTTTTATTATTTCGTTTATACATCACTAGTGTTAGTCATTGAAGATATGAATACATCTTTTGATTTGAATCAGAACTAAATCCAATCATGACGAAACTGAAAGAAATGAAAAAGCTAGGACGTAGAGTCACATGAAATAACACGTCATGAACAATAAAAGTATTTCCAAAAAAATCTACATCCATCAATCAAATTGTCAAAAATTCTGCTTCAATTTCATTCAATAAAATGTAAAAATTTAAATTATTAATTTTATTTTACTTGCAAGTATAAAATCGTGAATTTGAAGCAAAAATTAAGTATTCATGTATACACTGGAATTTTTGTATCTTTTAATCATAAATTATGTATATAAGAAAATTATTTAAAAAATTTATTCACACAAGAACTTCAAAAAACAAAAAAGTTAAAAGATGAACATACCCAAAAAAAATTGCTTAACAAATTTTATGAGCTTATGAAATCACACAGAATATATTATCTACCAGTATTTAAAATAGCTGGTTAAACTTCAAAGAAATTGGAAAACTTGTAACACATTGTGTGTTAATATGAAGTAACACAAGTATCAAAAGTAAGCTGTAGATGGACATATTTTTGAATCACTTCTTTATGCAAATAATGAAGTGATATGAGGAGTAATGAAAGTTCAATAATAATAATAATAATAATTTTCAATGTTATGTATTCAAAAAATTGAATCATTTTGACATTTTTTACCTAATTTGTATAAATATTTTTAGGAAATGATCCGTGTAACAACAATTTTTTCAAAAACCAATGAAAAAATTAATAAAGTTATCCAGATTACAAAAATCATTAGTAAATTTATATTACCGAAATTCATCAAATAAACAAGAAACAAATGCAACTTAAGGTGAAATTTTTTGATTATTTTTAAATCAATAGAATTCTACCGATTCAAATATCTTAATGATATTAACTTTGATATTGATGAAAGTTATAAGTGCAATAAATTTTCAAATGAATAAATGAAAACACCATAACAAATTGTGAAGTTATAAATGTTAAAGATTTGATCTCATTTGTGTATACATTATTTAATTTTTTTGCACTCTTTAAAATTAAAACATATTATTTTGACAACTTCTATTATTTTTTCAATATAAGTAAAATTTCATGAACAGTCAGGCAATAAACTTACATACATGAAAATATGGTAAATCGACATTCATTGTAATTATATTTTTGTTATTAACTTCCACATGGTTTCGTTATTTGAAATAAAAGATTGATTTGAACTGCAATCCTTTTTTTTATTATTTAAATCATCAAAACGGTTGTGAGAAATGACTTTGTGATCATTTACTTTGATTCAACTTTCATATTTTAAAATTTTATTTTTCATCTTTCACATTTGTTCGTTTTTCCTAAGTTCTTATTCTTTGATGCGAAAATACATTTTTCATTGTTTGGTTCTTTGCATAGGTGTTTGCTAAAGTTTTTTAAACCTCTTTCACTTCAATAATAATTTCATTTGTTTTTTAGAGCAATTGAATCATATTGTATTTTACAAACTATTACCAATAAAATTTTTTTGGTGTAGTATTGAAGGTTCTACTTCACTATATCACAAACAAAGTAAAGATCAAAACTTTAAATATGTATAATCTCAAGTACTTTTATGCATTAATCTATACTAACATAACATAAATATTCAAATTACTATATCATATGAAATTAAGTGTATTATTTTGAAGAATAAATATATAGTCTGATACTTACATATAAAATATTGTATATATATAATATATACAATTTTTTTGGAAATACTACAAGAAAAGAAATTATGTTTGTTAAGACTTCAAAATTGAAATCCTTGCAATTAATTTTTTTGAATAAAAAACTATGTCATAAATTAGATCAATAATCATCAAGTTGACAAATAATGATTTGACTTTGAGAAACCGTATATAATTTTTATTACAATTTTTTTCCATTCTAGATATCATTTAGTATCTAAAGTGTAAAACAAATCTTAGAATTAAGGCTTTCAAATATAGATATATCTTGGTTTTTTGAATATAATAAGAGAAAATTACTATTTTGTGAGTGGAATAGAATTACTTCATAAATAATATCGTACCTCATGATTGGAAGTAATCAAATTTACATGTAGCAGAGACAACTCACCACATGCCAAACTTAACATATTTATTGACATAGTAGACAATGATTCTAAAATTACTTCAACTATATAGGCATTATTCCGTATTCCATCTATTATTCTCCTAAGTATTACCTTCCCGACACGTTGATCCATATCAAAGGGTCCTCTATTTAATCTACAGATCCTCAACAAGTGTAGTCATTTTGCAAACCCTTTGTGGGGCACTCAAAAACAGGTAGGGCAGTCAAGCTACCCGCACCAGTCTGGTCTGGTGCGGGTAGCTTGACTGGTCTGACATTTTAGCGGCTCATTCTAACAAACGAGGAGAATGTAAATAGAACACATCTCCTAGTAACATCGCCTCACGACCTGGTGATCAACGTAATAAGAATGATTGGTTACTCAGATAATCATAGATAATTAATGCGTGCATTCCATTATCTCTGAAAATATTCTCCCATAGCACATCCGGAAAATGGTGTCAGGAATTACAGAGGAGCTGGATCCGAAGCAGTTTTATCAAATTGAACAAATGAAAATAGACCAATGGACCGAAAAATCCAAAAGAGAATTGTTCCTAATTTTAAGTGCATGACACCGCCCGCAATATATACTCGTGGAGGAAAGACGAGCGTCATTATCTCGATGATTTCGTTAGCAGTACGAAGGATCTACGGAACGGGTCAAAGCCTACGATGGGATGACGAGAGTACCAAAGGAATAACAGTTGAGAATCCGGACCTGCAAGGACGAAGGATCTGGAGCAGTCAACGAGGTCACGAGCACAGTGATTGTCCAATCGAGAATTCAGGAACAGGATGGATGGCTGATGCCGAGGAGGTCTGCCGTATCGAGCAGACGACTCAAGCTTCCGCAGCCGATGACCATGCAGGCGACTGGAAGCGCACTGTGGCTGCGGCTGGGCAGGATCAGCGACGAGGATGTGAGATGTCTCGTTACGAATATTTACGAGGAACCACACGCACCCACCCACCCACGCTGTAGCGATGAGCAACGAGAGATCCGTCCGAAGGAGTTGATGGGCTGCGGTCGTCACATTCACTGACTGCCCCCCTCGGCCTGCCGCAATCAATTCGTGGAAGAACGATGGACGATGATCTGTAGCCGAAGGCGAAGGAACTGCGAGAACGGGCGCCGGTCAGAGAGGACTGCGCCGAGAGGATCCAACACTACAGGAGCGAGCTGCGTGGTGGACTACCACCTGCACGTCCGAGATCCAGCGAATTTCTGTGCGGACCACGGATCCGACGGTGGGATTTCCCTCTGGTGCCCCGACGCGGTTGAAGGGAGGAGTGACTTCAGGACCGCTTAATGAACACAGTAGAGCCCGTGAGGTGTGCGGGGACCAGGACTCTCCGCGAGCGAGCGAGCGAGCGAGCGAGCGGCGGCTAAGTCAGAGCGCGACGAGGGAGAGGAGGGGAGAGGGGAGGGGAGGGGAGGGATGGCAACAGTTGCGCCTTTGTCCCATGCAGGTCCGGCGAGCGTCGTAGATTGCACCGAGTCCTCGTGCGTTTCGCCAGATCTGGTGCGGCCGAATGGCGCTCACGGAGCTGCAATTTTCAATGATTTTGTTTCCGGACATGCGTGAACAGCTGCAGTGGCCGCCGCTCGGTGCTTCTGAGTCTCGGTAAGGGGGGGCTAACTCTGGCGAGGCCTGCAGCTCGGCTTCCGCCAGTGGCCCTGCCTCGGCGCTATTGCTCTGCTCGGAGCTGGTGGGATTCTCTCACAGCCTGGGTGACAGGACGATCTTAGTGCGCAGGCACTCTTCTAAAACACCCAGTCCTCGGCACGAAGCAAGCGCGACGCCTCCCGGACCATATCAAATTCCCAACACCTCCCCTTTTACTGGTTCGATCTCTGAATTCCGAACGCAGCTGTATCGAGCCGGACTCGGAAAATAAACCGCGGATCGTACTTCTTCCGGTCCGCCTTGCCCCGCTGGTGAATTGGAGGAGAGAAAATCAGGGGACATTCGGCCGACTCGGTAAGTAATCGCAGGCGTGTGGATTTGAGTCGAGCAGAGAAGAGGCAGTCTCGAGTATTCCAGGCAGATTTCGCTTCCACCGTTGCCCTCGGCATTCGTGACAGATCTTGCTCGTTTGTGCTTCAGAATTCCAGTCTAATGGTGAGTCTTAACGAACTCTTCTACGGCGGCCCGGGCCCCGACTGGATTGTAGGTCCGCCCCCAGAGCCTCGCATCGTCAACCCAGGAAACGACGATGGCGAGCCTCAGTAGACGTGAACACGAGCAGCGAATCTTGTGCGATTACATCGAAGACTGAGGTTCATCCTTACGGGGAATTCGTTAGCCCGCAGAAGGTGTGCTGTGCGCGCGCGCACGAACGAACGAGCAGATTTTGGTTTTGGTGAACTTGAGATTTGGAGACAATCTACAGCCGGAATCGATTGAGTAAACCTTAAGGAGACCTGATTGGAAGGCATCTTCCCACTTCTTGTCTGGGAGGCGGGGCTATGAAATCATGACATCGTCCCGAGAAACTCTGGAGATCCACCTCGAGAGTTTCAGGCTGTTACATCTGCTGAATGCTGCTCTCTCCGCGTCCGAGGAGAGCGGTGAATTCTCAAGGAGGTCTGTGAGTCCAGAGATCTGTCGGGCGCTCGGATCCTCGAAGCATGGGGTTGTCGTCGAGTTATGCAACCTACTTCCATACATATGATTCTGTGATTCTGTCACCGGCTTGTAGAATAGTCATGCGGAACTTAGCTCTGTTGCTTCTGTACACCATATCTTCTCAACGGACTCTGCAGGGGGATCAGGCATTCTTCTGGCCGGGATTTTCTCCACAACCTTTCAACGATATTGACCGCTTTCCAAAGCATGTCCTGGAAAGCTTCCTTTGGCAATTGCATACTCTGCAACTCAATTATCAAGTTCTAGTACGACGTCAGAGAGAGATAGTGTCGAAGAAAGTGGGTAGTTTTTCTACTGCAGATCTGTTATGTTTTAGACTCAGTTTTGTGCCACAAAAATCTTCTGATGGGATTGTAGTTAGCTGTACAGTGATGAAGATGAAAGTTTAAGTTGCTCTCTTGAGCTTGCAGATCTGGTTACGTCTGTCCCTCTTGTGACGGTGACAAGGTTTTAAGTAATTGGTTCTCTTTTTCTTGAGCTAAACAACTGAGCTGGCTTCCTGATATGTTCATCGCCGTTCGTGTTTGACTCGTCTCACATGTCCGCATCTCGTTCTCAGGCCCTGCGAAACTGCTCTGATGCATGCCCCAAGACGAAGGTTGGCAATTTTCTTCTTGTGAATCTACATGTTCTTGTCACTCTGGAGCTTGAGTAGATTCGCTGGACTCACTACTTGGAGGTCTACTTGTTCCGGCCACTCTGTGCAGAAGCTTGCTTCCATTTTCCATCACTGGACATGACGTGCCGCTCTTGTTACATGATCCAAGGGAATGGAGGTGGCATGATACTTCCCGCTTCACCCTTGATCTTTTGTACCACCTATTGCTTTCGCCATAACATGACATACCATTCAGTTTGAGTGTAAAAACTCTATCACGGAATGGAAGTTTGAGAGGTTTCGTTTGTTGGGAACAAGAGCAGAATGTATGAATAGTGTGTCGAGATTGCTGTCGTCATGCTCTTTGATCTTCCTCTCGCTCTTCGCATCTTCATTTGAAATATGAAAATAACAATCTTGGATAAGGGAGATGAGGGGTAATTCCCTCCCTTGGAATTCTTGACAGAACTCCCTCGGCTTAAACAGAGTAGAACTTGCTTCATCGTGTGTGACAATTGCTCGGAACGTGTAGATGCTTCCCAATGGTCAGCTCAATCATTTCTAGATAATCTACTGTGAAACATTCAATAAGAAGGCAATCATGTGAAAGAACAGCATTGCACAGCCTTCGCTTTCGAACATCGTGCAGCTACGGTTGAACTTTGAGCTAATAGTTTCAGCTGAACGCACACTGACGTACGAAATTTACTTTGCGCTACAAGTTCTCATGACTCAATGTTTTTTCACTCGTGCCTGCTGGCTTCAAATCAGACGAACAAATTCGACTGAACATCCAATTCACGGTCAGTGTCGGTCTGTGGTCATCTTGTCTTTCACAGATCTTGCTAAACGGAGATGAGGAAAACGGGTAACAGGTAGATGAGGTTTGTGATCTATCTTCTTATAATATTGTATGTATGTATATATCGTAATATCCATAGATGACTAGTTAGAGACAGACATTTGACATTAAATTCTCTTTCTCAGAACGAGTGTATACTTGGTGATAAACATTCTATTCCACAATCTCTGATCTACAAATTCCACCAGTCTATGACGGTACACGGGCCACAATATGGAAAGCAACTCAACCGCCTCCTTTACGGAAGCTGGACTGTACGCTTTTCGGATCCTCGGCATTCAAGAGAGGATCAGCTGTCACGAGATGTGAGTCGATTATGATTGCATGGTGATGTTAGAAGTGTCCGTAGACATGAGTGGGAGCTTTTGGCTTATTGGGTTGCAGGCGAGGATCCCTTCCGGGTGAACTTGGACACGAGTTAGAAACGATATTCGACAACAATTGGTAGCTGATCGAGCTGCCCCATGTCCAACAAAATGTTCTTCTTCCTCGCAGATCCGAGTCCAAATCCGATCCGAGCCCGTTCCCATCGCAACGACAAGAAAGAGCATTGATCGTAGCTGCAGGAATAAAGGACATTGCTCTGCGGGGAGCAACATGACTGAACCAGAGTCAGAAAGTGCGAGGTAAAACTCTGCACAGCGTTCGACGCTTTTTTACCAATTCCGCGTTCTTGCTTCAGAAGAGCACGTACTTTCACTCGAGCAAACATCTCTCGCGTTCTTTTGTTCGTGTCCATTGAGCTTTGAAGGGGGCTGGGGATCCTGCAGTCCAATTTGACCATAAGAATTAAAATCTGTCCTCATGCAAAATCGAGGCACTCGCCGTTTGCCGTCTCTAGAACAAGAAGGTCGACCGGATGTCCAGTTCAGTCTAACCAGTTCCTTGCCCCGGGTACAAGTAACTATAGTAACTAAAGTTACTACTAACTAAAGTAACTTTAGTAACTTTAGTACCTAAAGTTACAAAAAAAGTTCTTCTTCCTATAATTGTGCAACTAAAGTTTAGTTGCACAATTATAGGAAGAAGAACTTTTTTGGTAAAGGACAGAATAAAAATAGTCAAAGCTTAGAAAACTGGGCTGGATCAATAAACTTGAATCAAGGAATTCACAGGGCCAGCCAAGACGCAACCCTCCATGTACATTATCAGGCCATCCGTACTGTTGCGAATACACAGGTTCTTAAAACAATCAATGGAGTTGCTGATAATCTGTGACGGAAGATATATTTCGGCGCCTCAAATTACCTATGAGTTTTACTTGATCTCTTGTCCTGGGAATAGAAGAGGCACAGGGTGCAACTAAATTTTGACCTTGTCACGAGAGCTTAAGCTTTCGTTCACGGGGACTGTATCGAGAGTGAAATGTCGTCAGCAAAGCTTTGTTCTCCGTGAGGCTTGTACCTACGCCATCGCCATCGCCATCGAACCGGCGTGTAATAAAATATAATAAAAGTTGCGAAGTAACCTGCTCGGAGTGAAGGGTATTTCTTCGTTGAAATTTTTCAACATGATTTTAAATTATGGTTCCGGAAACCCATAATATGATTCGCGCAGAACAGTTCGGATTCGAAGCTAACTAGTTATACGGAAACCTTGCAAATACCTAAGATAGGAGAATCGGCAGGTGACCGCAAATATCGCAGGTAGGTCTTTATTGAACCCAACCAAAGGTCTTCCCATAAGAAAGTAAATATATTAAAGAATTTTGATATATCTGAGGGTTTCTCTGGAATAAAGTGAATGATCAATTCAATTTTCAACTATCGATTAACGAAGATAGATGAGAATAGGATAGATTGGGATTAAATTACGTGGATGGGATATATATATATATATATATATATATATATATATATATTCATGCTACAATTTGTTTTCCAAAGCTGCCCAGTCACGTTCAAATCAATTATCTCTCAAGAGAATATTTGTTTAATTTTGACTTCATTGATCCTGTTAACACAACTGATGTTATTAAACATATATTAAAATTAAAAATATATCATATCTCGGCAGATATGTGATATATCGGATCAATGAAGTCAAAATTTCCGAGTATATTACTGCCGAGATCCTGAAATATATGTCAATACTATGAGTTGATTGTCAAACTATATGAATGTAGATGTCCAAAGTTCTGAGAAGACATTTTGAAATCCGCGGTTCCTTTCTTTATATTTTTTCTCCAGTAAATACAGTTTCATCTTCTTGAGAGAATTACAAAGTCCATTCACTGCACCGAAAACTCACGCTGGAAAATTTTCATTATTTTCCATCCATTGGAAACTAATTCTACTCAAAATCCATCCAGAATCCATGGGTATGGGCATCATATGTTGGGCTCTGCAGACATTTGATTTCTGCCAGTGCACTTAATTATTACTCATTCCATTGCCATCTCATCCATGTTCATTCGGAAACCTCATGTGAATAACTTCCTATCTTTCCAGGTCGTACATATAAACATAATAGATATGCAACATGCAGTTCAACCTTCGAAGCAAATTCTAAGTAAGTTTAGTACATTACAAGACGATCCAGTTTTTGGAGTTCCTCTGTCTAGCCTGAATTTTATGCCGTCACTAATACTGAAGTCAAGATCAATTCAAGATAGCTGCAATTTTGTCAACCAGATCTTTCCGTTTCATCACATTGGAACATTGACGGCAATTAGCATTCTGCTAAGATTTTGGTCCTCCTGATTGTCTCACGCTGGTAGGGACGACAAAGCTGGAGCAGTTAATCCGCTCGACTTGAAACCCTCAGTACTGCATTGTTTTCTCAGAAGCCAAATCCAAGAGCAATGTTTCAATTTTCAACGGCATGCAGTAGACTTAGATCCCTTACTAACTTATGCGAATCTAGCTTTTTAGTAATTTTGTGATTAGTTAATAAGACCAAAAAATGAATTTTTTTCTCAGTACCAATCTGAGAAAAGTTCTACCGCAGCAATTTTTCATTTCAAGAGATAAATCGCTTTTTGTTGCACTTACATTGGCTTCTTGTAAAACGCATAATTCAAACACAAAGTATCAAGCAGCGCATTCCTTTTATTTCCTTGTGTGCGTGCTTTTTCTGAATTTCACTATATATCATCATTCACTTGATTGTTTTGAACTATTTAAATTTCATTTTTCAAGATTAAATAATTTAATTTAATTTTATTTTTTATTTTTAATCTATTTATTTGTTTATTTGAACACTATTGGTTTTTTCAAAAGGAGTTTTTACAAGATGATAAACATAGTTAAATACAATAATAACAGTGAGGATTTGACTTATTCAAATCATATCAATTTTTTAAATGAATGTTTGATGAAGGAAATGTGCAACTCAGCACCACTTACTGATGTCCGCGGATCAGACTAACGAGAAGCCCCGCCCCGCCACGTCCACACTACTGTCATATACACTTTGGATAGTAACAAAGATTGCCAGCTTCGAAAAACGCCGCTGCCGGGGATCGAACCCGGGTCACCCGCGTGACAGGCGGGAATACTCACCACTATACTACAACGACTTGATATCCGAAAATACTGAAGTTTAAACTTTAAACTTATTAAATGTTTTAAAAATTATACAAGTTCTTCATATCCTAATACTGTACCTCGAACTCTGCACTAAACCCCTAAATCTAAATTACACGGAGTCAGAGTCTCTGTGCAAATGGTCAACGGCACCAATGTCCGGGGGGATAATTCTTGACCTGACAAAATGGACGAGTTGACATTCACGGAACGAGGGAAGGAAATTCAAGAAAGTGAGAGCTCTCTGAGCTCATGCGCAGTTGGGAAGTTTTTCGTTCTCAAGATCCAAAACTCGATCCCTGCGGAGAGTTCCTGAACCGGATTGAGAATCGAGATGGCACTTCCACGTGGAGAATGCAGAACATGCGTATTTAACAAAGAAGCAGATCTGCAAAGGCAAGTTACTCATGAGTCTAGATGAAGATGAGCAAAATATTGCTTACATAGAGTATCAACTTGTTTGATTTATGGTCAAGCAATCATTATGCTTAATTAGTTAATCTACCTTCATTTTGATTACATTGAGGTCTCAAGTCAACCAAAATATGCCTACTTCCATTACCAGTGCTCAATGACAAACTATAGTTCTAATGAGAATATTTCATGAACTTAAATGAAAACAAATGAGCAATTTCAAGCAAAAGCATCACAACATAAAGTATGTCATTTTGCATATACATCAGGCCTCATAGTCCCAGGCAAATGCCAAGTTGCCAAAATTGATTTAATTTTGGCAACTTTCTTAGGATAATTATGGCAAAATTTGCATTGTGTATATTTTAATGTCACAAAGTGACTTTCAATGGTTGCTGCGATTGTGTGGAGCGTTTGAACGTTTTAAAAGGGACTTTAGGAGCTCGAAGCAATTTGAGCTTTTAAAGTTCCTACATGATACCAGCTAGCGCCAGGCTGATCAGACTTGTGCAAGTGTCATTCTTTTCCCACTTGACCATCGAGAAGTCGCTTTCAATAGCCTCCGTGTTGGGAAACGCCATTGCCAATCCACCATAAAACTGGCGTAGACCACTGCATAGTCCTTGATAACGTCCCACACATCGTTAAAAAATGTGTTTTTGTCATGATGATCGAATGACTTCGCAACATGTGGTTCGTGATCATATATCACACGCAAATATCGATGTTTTTTCTCCACGTCATTGACCTATTGTGTTGATCAAAGTTTTGAGAGATGAGCGAGATATAGATCCAACACATCTTAGATAAATGCGACCAGACGGATCTTGTTGAGATTCGCGGCATAATAGGGGGTGCTTCCAACTCCTGGACATTGTTGTTCAAATCACGCTTGGCTTTTAACTACAATACATTACCCATAGTAGAAATGCCAAAGATGGTGATTGCTTTCAAAGTAGTTTGTTTGTTAGTGTAAGAGAGATTATGGTACAAATCACAAACCCAAGATTTATGATCTTGAATGTGCATGACGACATAAATTTTTTTAATGAACCAATCGCTTTGTGTGATGATGATCAGCGGATCAACCTCTTCCAACGTCTCATTGCTGGCAAAGCGGATGTCCAGACCTGCAGCAATATCATTGATCAATTTTGACATTTCTTGTCGTTGTTGAGAAATTACGATGTTGCGGTCCTGGATCTTGGTAAATGTGATTGTAATTCTCTTAAACAATGATGAAAGAACATCCAAAATAACACATCACATACCCAACGGCTTCTGAATGAGACGTTTTGTGGCGTTGTGGATCATCATTCGGCGATCATTTTGAAGAAGCCAGTGCCGAATGCTACCAAAAGCAATCTAACACGTAGTATCTTTCGGACATTTGAATTCCATGTGTATGATCAGAATCTGATGCATTCAAAGATGAACAAAATATGCATGAGTTACTTTCTAGAACGTCTAATCCAAAACATCTTGCATGACGTTCTTGACGACAATGTTCAATTGATGTGAGACGCATCAAATACGGAGCACTGGGTTGTTGCACTTGTTCTCGAGCAAGGTGACAACTCCTTTATGTCGACCGATCATCGTATTCTCTCAGTCAGAGCTGATCAAAATCAATTTGAAGCGCCAATTTAGACAAAAAGTATCGAGAATGATTTTGATGAGTTTCACGTAGTTGACGGCCAGATGTCGTTCAAAGAATGGAACCATGACCATATGGAGGTTGTAGAGCACCCCTTCAACGCAGATTCAAATGCGTTGATCGCGTAGAGAGAGTTCCATATGCGAGCTAACATCAGCAGCTAGTGAAAACACCCATACATGTTTTTGATTCATAATGATGGACATCGAGTGCAAGACGACGGCGAGAAGCACTCGGACAAACTGTCTCACCATGTGATTGTTGAGATCCGCAAGCTTTGAGTTCTTGTATAGTTTTCGATGCTAGGTGATAACAACTACAGTCTGGCAAAACAACAATCCAACAAACAAGTGCTCAATTGTGAGATTCAAACTCAATGAATTTTGGATGATAATCAGGTATGATATTTCTTCCTGCAACTTGAATAGTTTTATGGCGTTCAATTTGGTGATCGATTTTGAATCGTCATCTTTCTTGTCTTCCATAGGATTAAAAAACAGAATTCTAACAATATCGTTAACAATGGCAGGCTGCAATATAGCAATCGTTAGGCTGTCACGTTCCTTGTCAAGAGACGCGTTGATACCCGTCGCCTCGTTCTAGTTGAAATACACCAGTTTGTGTTTGCACAAGGAAGAGTATGGTATTTCGTCCAGTCATCAGTGTTGCGATTGCATATGGCTTTTGTAACATTCGGGGCGAAAAGTAAACCAGAACAATTGCACATACTTCGTGCACTGACTCTTAATGGTTGGACCATCGCGCTTCTCACATTTGATATGCACGCAAAATATTCATTGGACTCTTGTAATGGTTTCATTTGGCACATGTTGAACGACTAAGGCCGAATTCAATCTTATGCTTCTACTTTAAGGCGGTTGGTCTGGCGATTCATGATACCCAAAAATCACAGTTTGAGCATGCATTGCTGTTCAATAGCCACAAAAGGGCCATTGAATCGCTCAATCTCAGCTATTGTGATTATTGGAATGCGGATAATCACATAAACTCATAAATAAAACAACCACTTAATTTTGGCAAATTTGTCATCTAGAAATTAGAATGCCAAATTTTATGATACCTGATATACAATATTCAAAGTTTATAACTGAACTGATCTATTTATCACATGAGCGGACCAAGAATCATGGATGAAACCAAAGTAATAAGATATCTTAGCTATGAATATGAAGGACTTACATTCTGCGTGCGAATAGGAAGAGTCATTACCTAACGTCATGAATTGATTGCCTCACCGATTGCTCCGTATAAGGCTGAAGAAAGAGAGAGTCTTTACTCAAAACGGCTAGAAGATACCCGTGGAGAAAACTAACGGTGACGGACGCAGATTTCTCATGGCTTAAGAAAGAACAGACTTCCGGCAGCTGTAAACGCTCGGCCACTTCCAGCAGTCCGTCCGTCCGTCCGTCCGTAAATCTCAGAGCCAGAGGAAGAAGAGGCACGCGAGGATAAGGTTCCGTCTACGTCTCCGAGAGCTCGTTCGTTCGAGCAGCGGAACAGAGCAGCAGCAGAGCAGCAGAAATTGATCACTCAGAAATTGAGCAGAGGCGCTTATCGATTGGATTCTTGGAAGAAGAATCGAAAAAATGCAAGCATTATTAGCCCAGCCGCAGGTGGCGGCGGGATTGGGAGTTGCTACTGCAGGTGCCGTGCCCAGGAGCAGGGGAAGGATCCATGGAGCTCACTCTTTTCTGAGCAAGAGCTTGATGATTCACCAGAAGACATCGAGCTGCGATTCGTTGTCCTTGGCTTCGGTTCCCCGGAGACGTAGCAGCAGTTCAGGGAGGATTGGATTCAGGAATGGCGTAGCTAGAGCTGAGAATTTAGAGACGGAGGAAGAGGCGCAGCTGATGGTGAAGGAGGAGATGCTTACGAGGGGATTGATCGACGTCGACGGGCTCGTTCAAGGGCAAGTGGGCAGGATTGCGCTGGTGACGACGTTGCTCTTGGGAGTGGGAGTGGCTACGTTGGGAGCGGCCGGAAATGCGGAGGCGGCGACTGTACATTTGAGAGATGGATTGCATTCCTCGCTGGATGTGGATATGAGAGCGCTGGCCATGGGGCCCGAAGGCCCACTTCTGGAGGAATTTTGGGATAACATGCGCAGATATGGTTTGTACTTTTTGACGGTCGCGTCCGGTGGCATTTACAGCTTGCTGAAGCCCGCCATCGATGCGCTTCGGAACCCCGTGACTGCAGTTTTGGTCGTCATCGTAGCCACGGGCTCAATTTATCTCGTGGGCCTCACTGTCAGTGCCATGTTAGGCATCAACGAATACCAGTACGAATATGCCCCATAGTCAAGATTTGTCTAGGCCTACGAATTATACATGTATATAACATGTTTCAAAATCGTCCAATTCTTTTCCGTGCCTCATTTTTCTCTTGGCCACTGGAGTGATTGATCGGACTGTTCTGCATCTCGCTGAGGATTCTCACGTCATCAGATTCTGGCAATTCCAAATATCGAAGGAAGCCAACGGAAAGCTTCAATTTCATTTGGGGTTTTTCAGGGCTTGATAATATGGTGCATCTTTCTTCCAATTTTGAGAATATGAGTATTGAGAAGTCCAATAAGTCCAAGCGCCAAAAGAAATCTTTTTGATCTCTGAATTGCACCTGTCGATGCAAGTGATTTCTATGACTGGGGTTTTGATCTTCAGGATGATGAGGAATCGAAGCCCAGAATCATATCTGTCACCTCAATGCTTGAGGAGGAACCTCAATTTCCGTTCTCTCACTCTGCAGAACCTCGTGTCAATCCATTCTCTGAACTTGGTTACGTGTTTTCTCGTTGATTCTGCCTGGTTCAAGTGCAGCCTGTACTCTAGAATTGTACTCCAAAAAGTCAGGACCGATGATTCCTGCCGCTCGCTGTCCAGACTGGTCAAACCAGTCATTAATACCCCGCACGGTATGATCTCTCAAGTATACAAAATGGTACTTGTATTTACCCGGGATGACCCGGAGAACATTAGAACAGTCATTAAAGTTTGTCATCAGCATTTACCATTATTATTATTTTCATTTTTCCTATCGTGTGCACACTCTCACAGTATTCACGCTCGTCGATGTTTTTTCAGTTGTACGTCATATCGTTAGCTTGCATCTGGAATCACGAAATTGGAATTGCTAGGATTGTTTCTTTAGGATACGCATCCTCAATTCTTGTTTTGAAATCCGTGTGTTCGTATTTTACCTCATGTACCTTAGAGAGTACGCTGTTTTCCTTAACTACTATTGATTAAGACATCCGGCTGTGTTGGTTTTCCATGATGCGTACGTCTGGTATGACGAAACCGCAATGCGATCTATCCAATTTCTTCCTGGAAGACGGCAGCCTTTAGCTTGCAAACATGTTCCATCTTGGCTATTTGAGCTTCAGCAAACATGTTGAATTATATAAACCTCATTGATGACCAAATTGTGCGCTCAGAGTTAACCAGGGTAAAACACTCTACATCATAGGAGAATTCGTTAGGTACGTGAATCCAGGAAATAACGGGCAAAGGCTTGCTTTGTGTGGACTGGCAGCCAAGTAAACAATCTCATTTGCGGCATATCATGGGAGTTCTGAGAGAACTCAACGCCACTCTTACAGTAGGGCACGTTATTGAGGTAAGTCCTAAGTACAGCAATGAAAACTCGCAGTAGTCTCACTACGTGTTGCTAGGTGTAGTCTCACAAACTAGCCCGGACCTTGATCGGGGAGAGCTGAAGAGTTGTAGAGCTTCCATAAGGGCACTGGAGAAATGTAAACTTCGACTCTGGAGAAGGAGCTTACAGGCTCTACCTCTCCAGAACAGATAGAGCCTGTAAGCCTTCCGTACCCACAGCCGAGAGGTTGAGAAGCATAAGGTGTCCAAGAAGCATGTATTGAACAACAGGGATGGCTACTTAATGAACTCGACAGTCTTGAAGGTAGAGATCTGAAACTGGAATTGAAGGTGGAAGTGAGTCAACAAGCTTAATCACCACCACTGGTCAACAGTAGACACCAGCAACCACAAAACCACGAAAAATTTGAATCCTAAAAACCGACTTTGTACCACCAAGGCCAAAATGGTCACTAATGCCTACTGACCTACCATGACCAGGATCAGGACTACTATTTTCAGCGCAGTTATGTAAGTATGTAAGTAAGTACACCCATATAAGGAGAGTTCACGAATTTGAAGCTTCAGAATCTCAGGGACACACTTCGAAGAAAGTAACTGTACAAAGGATTGAATATCCGACCATCTGGCTTTAAGGACTAACATTTATAATAGGTTGAACATAACCACTAATGATTTTGACTCGAACCACTTCGTAAGAATCGCTGGGCCATTGACAAATTCTTCGGTATGTATAAAAAGGACCATTAATGTTGTACACACTCTCTCATAATATTGACAGCAGTGGAGCCACCAGTGACTTCAGGTAGAGGCTAGTGGTGATCGAACCAGACGTAAACTCCCCCCACCACTTCGTAAGCTCCCAGTAGAAATGGTGTGGCCTGGAGAGGTGCATGTCGTATACAGGATTCGAACTCCCATACACGTACAACTCCCTGCTGTCAACAACAAGGATTACAGAACCAGAGTTGACCAAAGCTAGCTCGTAAGGAAGTCGCCCGTCGTCAATCGGGGCAGGTCTCTTCACAACCGCCTATACATGTTGGGAGCATTCTTTCTTCGTACCCGCAGCTTTAGACTGCATCCCTTCTAGTATTCATGTGAGACTACGGAGCCCAGCCTCCAACATCCCGCCATCCAATGGTAGCTCTTCGGGCGAAGTTATGCTAATTTACCTCCCCAGCGGACTAAGATCAGAGGTATATAATCTACGAGTCAAATACGAGTATGACACCAACTCTTACATGGTATACTTCCACCTACCGAAACGCAGAGCCCTGGCGAAGTAGCAGCAGCAGAGGAGAGAAACTTCACAGCTGGGTCTGTACATATATGGCACGGCTGATTTGTTCGACTTGGGCAAGTTTCTCGCAATAGTTAAGGTCACATGTACATACAAGAGCATTCAGTGATATACCGAGCTTAAAGGCTTACAAGAGGGAGCAATCTTTGTTCAGAACAAGCTTCGATTTGGGATCCACAAGCATCTTGCAGTACACAGTCACCTGCAAAAGCAATGCAGACGAAGAAATTGCATTAAATCGCGCGTAGGCAAGTCTGAATGCGGACGAATACATCCCATCCATGCGCGACATGAGAGATTTTCGGTGACCAGTAATCCCTCACTTCAACAATGCTTGGCATTGCAGTGCAGCAAAAAGGAGACCCCCCTTTTGTCCGAGTGTGCTGAACGGTGTAGCTGGAACTCACTTTCACTCACAGAATGCGCAAGATTGCAGATGCCAAATTCCTGATTACAATAAACTGCAACTGCAATGCCTTGTCCACACACAATTCTCAACCTGAAACCGGAAGCTCATTCAAGTAAAGATCTAGGAAGTAAGAAAGTTCAATTACATACCTCTATATGTGGCCTGAACATCATAATTTGCACTACTCCCGAAAACACTGTCCTCGTCTCGATTGGAACTTCGTTGTTAGCTACGTCCACAATTATGTCAGACACATGTTTCATCAGTTGTGTCCCCTTGAGATCAAGCAGGGCAGCAACCATAGCAACACTCCGCGCAGGGACCAGACCGCCTTGAGATTGCACTTTCCCGAGCTCGTCTCCTCTGTAGGAAATGTGTACAACTACCTTATCGTAATCGACTCCGAAGAAATTGGTATTCGTTATCTTAAGCAGCAGGCTGAGACTCAAATCCAGAGTGACACTAGGTATGATTGACTTCCCATCATCCATGTGAAAACTGATATCCTCCAGAGTGACTCTGCGAAGATCCATCACAGGCTCTTTCGGATACAATATGAATCCAGTTCCAACCATCGACAAAAGAAAGATCGCTGCCGTTAGAACTCGGCAAGCTGACCACACGCCCCAGCAAGGTGCACGAGACCGATACCTCTCAGGAACAGGAACAAGAACATAATGAGGGTAAGCTGGAATTCCATACACGTAGTCCTCGTTAGGTTTAGACATCGTAATTTATTGATAGTGGAATCGAAACACAGCTCTCAAATCAACCAAACACCCGCCGAAATCAATCAGGGACGGAGAGTAACGACGACGACGATGGCGAATGCGATGGTGATGACTCAACGGGACTCCCCGGGAATCTCCCCCTTCTCCAAGAGAGAAACCGAGTGGCGAGCGATGTCAAGAAGCTCTCGGATGTTGTGCACGGAGCGCTCGGATGCGGCGAGCTCGAAGATGTGGCGCACTTCGGCCTTTTTGGACTCCCTGGCGGCGAGAGACAGAGGCACTTTCTCCAGATTCAATGCCCTCAACAGGCAACGATAAGCGGATCTCACAGCCGGCTTGTTGCGAGCTATGTCTTCAGCCGATGCCCACAGCAATCCTACTCCCATGGCCTCGACTGACCGACCGACGAGTTCCTCCGCACCCTCACTCACTCCACTTACGAAAAGAATTTCCACAGGCACTCAAACTCAGCTCCGTCAATCCGCTTACACAATCACAGGCCCTTTTTTCTTTTACCCTCGAGCATCATCGGTCAATCCGATTCCATCTGCCATCACTCACTCAAACGATTTCCAATCCGCCTGCGACCCTAGTCTTGCCTCGCATGCACGCGCTTGTTTGGAGATGAAGCTTCGTCTTCCTCTTTTCCTCTTGCTCTCGGCCTGTCTGCCTGCCTGCCTGCCTCGCCCTCTCGATGGAAAGTCCTTTTTGACCGGCGGCTGCGAGCACTGTCAGTCTGATCCCCCTCCGCTTCACTCCATGTCCCTCGCTGCCACTGACAGAACCGTCACCGACTGTGGTTCGAACCCGATGGTGAGGACCTGCGGGTTGTGAATGAGGTAGGGTCGGGGGTTCGACCCGTGGGTAACTCGTGTTGTGCAGTGGTTACAAACGCGGGTCCCACGCGAAAGCCGAGGATGTCCCTTGCACATGTTCACATGGTGAACGACCTTCCGCGTGTCAGCGTTCCCTTGTAGAAACTTGAGCTCTTGGCAAGCTGGTCATCGGAATGCCATGGGTTCCTTCGCCGGATAGAACCAGGGGTCAATCATTTCCAGGTGATTTGGACGCTTCCTTGGACAGAGAGCTTATGACTAGAGTGAGTAGAGTACTTTGATTCGTTATTATGTTCTTTGGATATTAGTGGATTTTTCTCTGTTACATAGATTTAATATTGTTAAAAAATTACATCATGTTTCTGAAATTTACCCAATATATAACTTTATTTATTTTTTTGTTAAATATATTAAATGTGTTAACAAAAATTATCAGGAATTATTTTTTAAAAGTTGTTTTGCCATCCTAACGAAATCTAGTAGATTAGATGAATTTTAGTATACTAATGTCATTCCAAACAGTAGAAAAAAAATTTTAGAAACTTGAAGCTGTCGAAATGCCCACTGACTGAATGCCTCGATGTTCTGTTCTTCGACATGATATGAAGCATAGGCCATGACATGGCAGTGCCGGCGGATCAAGTAAAACATCCACAACTCTTCGAGCAGCCTTCCAGATTACAGCTTGGGTTGTGATTCGTTCTAATTTCTCGTACAGATTTGCTGGTCTCTACGGACTTGATGTCTAGCTCGCTCGGCATGTGTCAATCAGCTCATAGATCGAAGAACACGAGCTACGTGATTGCCGAGAGCAGGAAAGAGCACTTCGATCACGGAAAGGCAAAAGAGGGATTATTCGAAGTCAGCTAACAAGCTTCGGGCTGTGCTCTCGTCGGCATGAACTCGAGATCAGAATCACAAAATAAGCCACTGATTTCAAGTTCCTGTCACATTGATTCCTTGCACACCATGCATGTTTTAGCAACCTTGTATCGTGAGGCATATAAAACGCGCAGATTTCTCACGTTACTATCCTCACTGACGACTGGACTGCGGGCTGTGATCGTGCATTGATTAGCCGACCGAGATCCACTTCACAGCACGAAGCTTGCGGGGCACATGAAATTAGCTCTGTCGTGCTCGTTTTGTGCACGAGATTGCGCGTTGACGAAGCAAAGAAGGAAGAAGCGATACATACGGAGGGAACTATCGGAGCCCTCTTGCTCCGATCCTGTGAAATCGGCCGGCGATTGGGACGGAGATGGCCGAAAGCCCAAGGCTGTGTGAAACCGGCCACAGCGCGGCGGACGAAGATTCTCGGTCACAATCTCGAGATTTGCGGGAGGCGGAAGGTCGCGGACGAGCAGTTCGCGGGCGCCAGTCCACAGAACTCTCGACTCGCAATCAGTCCCTTGCTCTCGCTTGCCGAATTCCAGTCGGAGGGAGGAGTTTAGCTGGTCGGGCAGATTTCTGATCTCAGTGATTCATGGCGCACCTTCCCCAGATGATCACGTTTCATCCTTTCGAGCAGCGGACCACGTCTCGATGGTCGTGGAGCTCGAAATTGGATCCTCTTTCTCGCTGAGCGTCGGGTCTGGACATGAGAGGCAGGTCCAGCGCGTCGAGGGCCTGCTTTTTATCTCGTGATTCTGTTCCCGTTTTTTCGTAATGATCTCGTATGAGGTCGACGTCGTGTCGATGGATGATGCAAATGATTCGGCACGAAGGTCTTGATTAGACTACAGATTTTCGAAGATTCTTTCGGAAACCGAGGGTGGAACTTGTCTTGTACCAATCTCGTGTCGGTCGGAGTCTAAAATCACACACCATCTCCAAATCCCGTGCAAATCCTGACCGTGGTGTGGAGACCTCGCTTCGCACAGTTGCTTATTTGAACAGATTGGCTTCGGAAATTGCTATTGGAGGGTCCGCAACTGTACACAGAGCATTGTTTGTCCAGTAAGGTGGGTGGATCGAGCTCATCGACACTCCTTCTGCCTTCTTTCGAGGTTGATCTGCCGTTGTGCGTTTTATTTTTTGCCCTCTACTCGCTCGATTAGTAGGACAACCTTGAATCAAGCAAATGGAGATTCTCAGTTCTCAATTGGCTGTGAATTCGTGTGAGGCTCAAACGAAATCCGGATGCCTGTCCTCAGGCGTCACATCGACCTCTTAGCATTCCCCTCGTCTGTCAGAACATTCACACATTGGGTACACGATTTGCTTCACTCCAGGAGCAGAACCTGAACACGTTCAGGAGTCCAGCCTTTCAATGATTCAATAAAGTCGACGACCTTCAGCAGAAATTCTCAGGTACGGCGTTTCCGAGGCCTTCATTTTCTCTTTTTCTGGATCAGGTAAAACTGTAGAAGAATGTGTTTGGAAACATTCGCTGTATGTTTCTCAGTTTCAATTCAATGTACTCGGAGTCGTTTTCTACCGAATTTTCAGTAAGGTACATTCTTATCATCCCACGAGAACACGATGTATTCTGGATGCAGTTCGATTCCGAGTTCTCTGTCCTTAGAGGCCACCATTTGTGATCCCTCATGGTCTGCTCTCCTTTACTCCATGATAATACTGACGTAAATTTACTGAATTCATAGCTCAGTGTCTCACGAAAGTTCTCACTTGCCTGTGTGTTCTCACTTTTGAGGTCTCTCTCATGTATATGGGTACGTGGACAGCTTACACATCAAGCAAGCATTATGTCCCGTGTTGTATCTTACTGACGTTTATATCGTGTTGTATCAGTAGACTGTCTGCAATGTCTAAAACAATGCTCTTATGATTTGTATTCTAGTCATGGGTGCCTCATTGAAACTGTTGACGTACTCGTTAGTGTGTGACTCTCGTAGACTGGAGATTATGCAGCCACTCTCTTTGGAAACAGAGCTGGAACAAAATTTATGAAGCGATCAAGCTCTATGTATATTAGAAAATGTTTCAATTACTTTACAACAATGTATAGAGGATCACATAGGCATGTAAAGTCGCTGTCATTGTCACTCTATGGATGAGCCTCGTTGATTTCTGCGACTACTCGAAGCAGGTGCTCTATTCTATGCCTTTACATTGTAGAAAGACAAAGCCGATGTGATTTTCACCGAGCCTTGTGTATCACATGTCTTTCCTTTCAGCTTCGAGGGGCTGTCTACATTTATGTTGACCCAAACACAGGCTCTTCGTGTTTGTTACATTCCGAGCAAGATCACATGCACGGTCCTTTCTCAATTTCTACCCACCAGGTCTTTACTCACTTGAAGAGCGGAAAAGAATGCCAGGAAGTAGTGCAGGGTGTGTATATACAGCCGATTGTTCTATCTGCACAGCAGTTGACGAAACTCAAGGTTGCAAACCATCCGAGATACTCTTTTCTCGACAGGCGAACTGCTGAACTGTCTGTAAACGAATCATGAAAGGTTGTCAGAAATGGCGCGTGGCGTATCAAAGAACAGATCGATCAGTAGTTCCAGGAATCCAGCTCCTGTGGGCAGAAATTAACTTCTAGCAACGTAAAGCGCATATATAGTACATCGAAAACTTTCGAGCTGCATAAAATATATTATCCTTTAACTAGTGCAAAAAATTGGCAAAGCTGAGAACACTTACGAGGGCAACCAGCGACCAATTCCTGGAACAGCCGATCACACCTCTTGTACACGGACCTTGAAACCGCGAGACTAACTCATCACCCTTAAACTGGCAGTCATTTGTATACTCTCCCTCAATATTCTCTGTAAGCTGTAGACCACACAAGCCATATATCAATAAACGACCTCAGGATAGAGTGAACACAACTTGACCATAACTTGAGAAAATGAGATGTTGACTAACAGCAGATCCATTGTTACAAACTTGCTCGCATGATGTTAGCCCATGCTTCTGAAAACTAATGTTACAGAAACTGTTGTTCAGACTTCCGAAAGTGTACCAAGCGCTCTTGATTGGAATGGGATCATAGCTAGTAAGGTCGTGAAAAGACTAACGATACTACCATCAGTCTTGAGATTAAAACCGAATAAAGTACACAGGTCCATGATAATTTGAACTACTTATATTACCGTCACATTCGGAATATAATTGTTATGTCAAGGGGCTTCGATGCATTAGTGGACAGAAATAGACCTGTAGGAGATGAAGATGTGATGCGAATAACCCGAAGCACGAAGTAACATCTGACAATATGTTCGAAGAAAAAAGTAATATAGAGACTCTTTCATTTTACTAGTGCACAAGCTAAATAACCAAGGTTTCAAGATCTGGTAGGCAAAAGGATTTGAACGTCGTGGTGTGCCATCCAGATTTCCTCTCTCCCACCGAACGAAGACGATGCTGGTTTCTACGACTGAGACTTTTTATAATAAACAACTGAAGCAATAAAAACACCCGCAGTCCAACTGAAGATTCAGATCGGAATTTTAGCAAGCAATCTAAAAGAAAAAGGCAGTTCTTCAAAATGTCAGATATTCAGTTCATCTTGTCATACTTCACTGCAAGAACCCAAGCTTAACATACATTGACTGCTGGACAATTTGAGTTTATTATTTACCGCATGGAAATTTAGTGGGGCTAATTAAGGTCCAAAATACAACGTCGTCAGTGATATATATGGGTGAATCAACCTCGTGGATCTAAGACATCGGTGACATATTGTGTATTATCTAAGTAGATACAATCGCTTCCCTGATCACAAGTCGATGTACGAAGAATGGAGCACCACTCCCAATTAAGACTTCAACCATCTGGAGCTGCCGATTCTTTACATAAATGATCGAAATCCCAGTGAGTTCGACCCACTATATTGAAACGAAGAACTAAAGAAATTCCATCCAGAACAGATCAAGGTCCCGCAACTGCTGCAGAGCTAGACGTTCACGGAGGTCCTTTTCCATCTAAGAAGTCTCTAACTCAAATGAGAGCACTTGAATAATGGCACCAAAGAGCGATGTTCTACTCCAGATTCTGGCCCAGAATAAGCAGTCTGTAGCTGAAACATTCATCTACCAGGACCAGAGGACACTCAGACTGTCAGTGCCAAACAATTCTGTAATAACTGTATATTCATTTAAGCCACTATCTTGTCCTGCTTCGACACCTAAAGGAAATCTTGAGACAAATGCGAGTGAAACTAAACCCATACGAACACCGGCCACATGTAAACTTTCCTTTTCCAACGAAACGCCCTCATTGGCTGGGTAATAACAGCCTACAGCCTGAGACTAGATGATTTTCAGGATTGAATATACAACGTTAATGGGAATGTCCAGAACTGTTAGAGGAACTAGGAACAGTATAATTGGAGTATAGAAGTTGGTCGTCGACGGTGGCAGAACCAACTTGGTGCTTTAAAAACCTGACAAGGGAGACTCTGCTTCTTGTGTACAACAAAGGGCATAATAAAGAAGGATGTGAACGAAGAGCAAAGACAAACTTAAGCGGATTTCCCGTCCCTCTGAGTATATGATACAAGTTTGACCAAAACAAAAAGTTGTTAGAATCCAGTGCTGATCATGAGAAAGTTTGCTAGTGACGTCTAGCGTTTAGCATGTTAAAAGACTGGAGGAGTCGACATAATGCCCAGTCCCCAACTGAGAAAGCACTTACAAAGCACCAACCATGTTCTGTGACCAAGGGAGGCTTATTTGGCTTCAATTTGTGTACAAGCATAACCTTGTGAATGAAAGAATGAGAAAAAGCCAGAAAGGAGAAGATGTAAGTCGGCACGTTATCAAATGAATGGACTCAACAACAGAAACCTTGGCTTATTTCTACAAACACTCATTGGCACTATCACTCCACCATGATTGTGGAGTTGTAGAAATCCCGGGTACTCGCGCGGACGACAACCCCTCCAAGATTTCGGGATCAAAAGATGCAAGCAGTATTAACTTTAAGCCCATCAATGCGATGCTGGACGTTGTTATGGGTTGAGAATGGTCTTGTTTTGAGCATTAGTAGACGCAGCGGTCTTGGCGAACGGCTCTGGGGCACTAAATTGCAAACCATCCCTAGATACTAATACTTTCCTGGTTTCGTTCAAGCCAGCTGGTTCTGATATTTCCTCGATGAAATTCTCAGTCTTGCTGAACAACTTGGTGATGGCGAATTCCAAAGAGTCGTCGTGAACAGTTCCATCCATAATTGCTGTCTCTAAACCTTCGTCGAAAGTTGAAAGGCCTGAACAGAAAAAAGTTGAGTCATGAGCTCACACATCCTTCTATGCGCTCATAGCCATCACTCCGTGTGTTAGGAACATTATCCAAAACTTTCTGATTTTGCTAGGAAGTGACGAAAGGACACTGATCCCAGTAGTCTAATGATCATGGTTAGGCAATGCCTTCACAGTTTAGATGAAGTCTATGATGGAAGAAGGTGGTTTGGTGAAATAGATGGTAGCGGTGCATGAAAGGATAACGAAAAGCCTACCAGCGTCTTTGAACACTGTGTAAATTTGGCGCTTGAGTTCCCTAATGAGCCTTAAAAAGTCGTTCTCGGAAAATTGAGCGAACATGTCATCATACTGATTGTCTTCCTCCTCGTCGTCACTATCCATAAATGAACCCAGTCTTGCTGCTGCAGCTGACTCGATTTCCTGAATTAGAAATACACGGAAATTAGCACTTGCAGTTAGGAGACATTAAAGATCGACCAGCGGCCTCCTTGATGACTCGTGCTCGTCGATCGTGTTTGTTTGGCACAGTACACACCAAGAACCTTCCGCTCTAGTTTAATACAAGTACCGTCCCTGACTGCTCTAGAAACCTTGTATCAACTCCTCTCAAACAATGCAGGTAACAGTGTTGATCATGTGAAGTATGATAGTCAAAAGCAACTAATTCCTTAGTTTGAATTCAGAAATGGTCATCAAAATCTTCGGTACGATTATTCGAGATAGAGGTTTTCAACTGTACTGCAACGAATTCAAAATGATTTACCTTTTCCTCAAAAACACTTCGACCTTCTTTGATCGGTTTTATGAGCTAAGTCGGTTGCTTGAAATCCACAGGAGTACTTTCCCTTATGTAATAGTCGAGATAGGTTGTAGGGTTATTCTACAACCTATATATTCAACAATAAATATTTACATGAGCTCAGCCCTCTCCATTAACAGAAGTATACCGTCAGTACAGATACTGACTGTGTCAGTTATATGCGATGATAAAACGGTTTGGTATAGAGCACAGATCATTACCGCATTCAGAGCCTGAACTTTCCTCAAGAGCTCTGCATGTCTCTCCCGTGCAGCGAGTAGAGCGGGAAGGACAGGGTCTACGTCTTTTGTCTCGAAACCCAAGACCTCCTGAGTCTTCATAAAAGCCTTGATTTCGATGACTTTTTCATACTTCTTGGTATACGGTTTCGAAACGAATCTGGTCATGTTATCGTCGTCTTGAATGCTAAATATTTCCCTCAGGCTAGCTTCCTGCATTAAAACGCGAGTTCGATGAACATTCTCGTAACGGATGTAAATGAGACTGTTTCGACCCTGAACTCTTTACACATAGAGTTTACCTTTGTGATCAAACACAGGAAAGGACCAACGATGAAGGGCGCTGAAATCTCCCAAGTTGAATGTAAGTATCAAACTTCAGTTTGGTGTCATTCAGAGGATACTGACAGGCCAACGACTTCCAAAAAATTATTCAATTTGATCACAATTGTAATTCTATCAGAAAGAGGGGTTACTCGTTTACGTTTGTCAAGGGCAGCGTGGGCCTCTTCATCTTCAGTCGTTTTTGCTGTCTCTCATCTAGTTTAAATGCTGTTTCGGCAAGTGGTCTTCCATCAAGACCAATCCAACTCCCGTAAAGCTGCCAACGTTTATACGCCTCCCCTTCTGCCTCCATTTCAAGGATCTCTGATATTCCAACAATGAAGAATGATTGTCAGGTCCCCGGTGTTATGACAGGTTCCTGAAAGCTAGTGCTAATTATCCTCAAAGTTAGAGGGTCGCAACAGGTCTAGAAATGAACCTGAATCCCACACGAAACTCACCCCAACCATGGCGCTCTCACGAAGGCAGAAGGCATAACAACTAGACTAGCATACTCAGAGAATCAAAGTTGTACCAGAAATGAGGCGCTGAAAATCATCTCTTTGCTCGTATAATGCATAGCAGTCCTCAACCAACTCGGCCATCTGGGCAATCTTTTGGTGAAGCTCTATGTCCAACTTCGCACTAAGGATGTCGAACATGTCATGTTCTGTTTTCAATCCTTGCATTTCCGCTAGGAGGCATTTGTTGTAATAACAGCAGGCATCCATATCTCCCATGGCCTGAGTCAGTATAAAAGAAGCTTCAGAATATAAAAGAAGAAGAAGAGAAGAAGGCGAGGATTGGAGAAAAATATGTTACCCACTGTCGACCTTTTTTCAAATCGAAAGCATCCTGGAAACAAGTTTCGAACAATGATGCTCGCTAAAGCCTGAAAATGCACTTCCGACCTCACGAGTCCTGCTAACGTCTGTACAGCCCCCACTGGACTTCGTTCTGACTTCATCTCAAAAGAAACTATCTTTCGAGTATCTTGAACTGACCTTCTCCAGGCGATTCTCCAATATGCAGATATATATTTGATTGTGGTGTTCCTTGTCCCTGGGTGCAAAAACTCCACCCATGAGTTTCCTGGAATCCCACTCTCTGGTGTTCATCTCCTGGGTGACGTGGTCCAACTCACTCAGACGTTTGGCCTCCACCTCTATCTTGGCCGTCATGTACGTTACGTTCTCTCTCAACCGAGCAATTTCGGCCAGCACGTCCTGGAAAAGAGCACTTGAGTTTGAAGACATAATTCGATGGTATATATTGACTCCCTCTGACAGGAACTATATCCTCAGACTGCTTTGAGAGCTGATAATGTATGCTTCCAGATCGGATAGTGGGGGTTACAATTCGTGCCTTTTTCTGAGATTGAAGTAAATGTCGCAGAAATGGTTCTGTCGGAGCCTAACGATCAGCCTGTGCGGTGCAACTTGACCTGGGTCCTGGGAAGCAACCAGTAGACAGTTTCTAGAAAAGGAAGTGGAATGAGCATTGTGGAATCGGTGGAACACCTCGTTGTAGTAGAGGTCAATCTGCTGTTGTACACTCCGGTTGTCGGATAAAAGTGTATCCAGAAGTGCTCGCTGTCTTCGAAGAACAGTTTCGCTTTCTGCGTGAAAGTGTCTTTGACTGGCCGTCATCATCCTGAACTTCTTGTGTAACTCTTTCATCTGATGAGCAATTATCGGATACAGTGAGCTTGAGCCATTCAGCTGACAGACTTTTCATTTACAACATCGAACAGTGGCATCCTCGTGGGGTTTCATTATAACACAGTAATAGGTCAGGTTCTCAATTCCACATTTTTCAGCTCAATCAATCAAGTCCTCGAGGTTCATCTCATCAAACTCGGCTTCGAGACAGCTGCAATAGAAACTGAACAGTTGAACCAGAAAATGGGATGGAGTTTCTAGCATGGTAAAAGATGTGATCCGTGTGCCAGCCGGCAAAACTTTTTATTGTCACTCCAGTGCAAGTTGTTTGCACCAACTGCTGCTGAGCTTCTCCTCATCCGCGCAGAACTCTACAACAATTTCTGGACCATTCTATTCCACACTCCATAGCTGTGATCCAGAGAAAGTAGGGACTTGAATAATCTATGCTCTAGAAGGGCCTTTGAAATTGAAGAATTCACCCTCAGGGAGTGCTTACGACTAGCTTGAAATCTCCTACGAATTATGTTGTTTGCACATTAGAACACGTTCCTAATTGATGCCCTGCTACGTTCGCTTCGGATCTGTAAGTGCTGCGAGAACTTCGAGAGAGATCTGACGACTTTCAGTGCAGTGATCTGTCTTAGTGATGGTTGTGAGCCACAGTGAATTCTCCCATCGGCTCACGGACAGAAGAAGGGACGAACGAGACTAGCAGGTTATGATTACCTCGTCCTCGGGTGGAACTGCTGGAGGTGGAGGTTTCGGAGCCTTCTGTACAGCAAATGCGGCAGCAATCCCGAACGAAGTGGGAATGTTCTTCGGGTGAACTGTCGGCTTGAAGTGCTGCAACACGCCGGGAGTAGCTCTCCGCGCATCGAGCCGGCTCTTCGGGCTCTTCGGGCTCTTGGGTTGCGTGTAATCAATCTCCTCCTCGTCATCGCCATTGTCGTCCCCGAAACGTACATGAGGTTTGTCTTCGTACGATCCGGAGGCCATGGCTGCCGATCACGAAGTGCAGCGCCCGTCTTCGATGCAGAATTCGTCGTCGAAACAAAAACCCTCAAGCAGCGCCTCCGCAAGACCTATCGTCTTCGATCATCGAAGGCGACCTCCTCTCGCCCTTCAGCGCAAGAGCTAGCCAGCGCTGCACCATGCCGCATGGAAACCTCAATCGGCAGAACCTGCTACGTGTATTTCCCGGCGCTACTCGGCATGGCATGTGAGCTCGCGTTCTTAGGGCTAGTCGTGGGAGATTCAGAAAGAAGGGCCTATTTTCGTGCTCCTCCCTCCTGCAAGGTAAGGATGGAGGATGGATCCCCGGCGAGTTCGATTGATGCGCGTTACCTTCTCGTGCACTTCGCACAGCTCTGCCAAAATGACCACAACTCTCTCGGTCTTCAATCTGAAGGGGCACCAAATGTTCTAGATAGTATCCGTGACGGCCATTGTGCGCGGTTTGTTCACGAAGGAGGTCGGGCGGTTGTGGGTAACTCCGGCCATCGATCTTCCGGATCGGTTACCTTGACAGTTTCAATTTCGCCTTCACGCGGCTCGTATGGAATGGAATCAATCGCTTGCGACATCCAGTTTCACCGAGCGGGCACTCAAGCACGACCCGACGCAACTCAGATGGTGTACACCTGAGATCGTTAAAGTCGTCGCCGCGACACCTCCAAGGACTTGCGTCGAGACTCAAGAAGCTTCGGCCATCGGCACCAAGTCCGGACGTCGCGTGCGCATGCGGACGCCCATGTCCTCTCTCGAAAGCTCCCTCTCCATGCTCGCGCAGGCTTTGCACGACCTCTACGTCTGAATGTTCACCCATGAGCCAAACGATAGGAACGTAATCATGAATCATCGAATTCCATCACTCGACTGCTCACCTCCAAATCTCTCATAGCAAAGAACCAAAACCTCCACATCCCTTAGTGTTCAAGTCCCTCATTACCTGTGCAATTGTTCCCCAACGACCTAGAACACCTATTGGCCTCGCTCTGCCAACAATTCTTTCAGCGACTACTACTGCCAACTGAAATCCCGGGTCTCCTCGAAGACACACGATAAAGAGAGGAATTATTACTAAACAGCAACTCTGTCCGACTTGTGAAAGCACCGAGAAAGATACCTACTCTTTCTTGGGCAGGGCCCTTCTCATTCCATTCCAGTGATGTGTCAGGCCGCTTACTCCTGCAATGTGTACTGGCAAAATCAGTAACCACGGTACCACAAGAGAAGCTGACCATTTTAGGAGATCCTTGCAGTCCCTTCCCCTGCATTGACGTGTTCGTGGCAAGGTACAAGGCAGCATGCGAAGAGACGCCCGATGACAGCTAATTATGCCCTGATTGGTAAGGCCGGCAGTAAAAGTAAACACTAGGATACAAGTTTTCAGGAACAGGCTGTAGATATAGATGCAGAGTGGAGAGAGCTAAGAAACGAGACAGAATCACTCCCGCAACACCATCAGCACCGTACATGTAGTGCTTCAACCTATTCAAATCCTGTAACCTCCACAGACTTGGGTGGACGAGGACGAATGAAGAGTCTTATGTAGATACAGGAGCATGACCCTCAAATCTGCCGGTACATATGAGTTGACATAAGATCGTCCCGGATATCATAATACCGCACGCCCAATTAATCAACCCAATCAATGGAGATATTACTCACTGAATTGAAAATGTTTTCTCACACATATACATCATACACAAGTACTCAATGATTGCACCTTCTAGCGAGATCGCGCAAACCAAAAATTTTATCGAAAGTAGATACAGGTAAAGGTGGTACTTGAATGGCCCAAAAAAGCTTGATTCTAGGAGAATCTTCACATTGTCTTTCCTGTTTACATCAGCGCTGACGGTAGGCACCAAGACTAGCATGAACTATCACTTCTCTTGAGCCTGTTGACACTAAGAGGAGCCCTCTTTGCGCAATTTTGTTGAACTTCGCCTCCTAGAAGCTCGTGTAAATAAGAATCCTCCTCGAGACCTAATCTTGCAACAAGGACGACGTTAGACTCAGTGATATTCCAGCCTCATCAATTTGGCACCGCCAGAAAACGTGACATTTAATTCTGGCAATTACCACACATCTCCAAGCAAAACCGCTGGCTAAATAAGAAACCACCTTATCTGCGATCGGTTTTCGGCGACGGCTTGCGAAAGTCTCGCTGTATCCCTTTCACACAGTCAGAGGCCCGCTAAAGGTTGCTCTCCTTCACTATGTGAAATAACCTCACATGAAGCTTCCTTTCCATCCCACCTGAAAAAACAAGAAACCACAGACTCACACTCGTGATCATCTACTTAATGATAACCTTTCACGGCGACGAGTACGCCAGCTGTGTTCACAATGAGGGCGTATAAACCCTTGACCATAGACTGCGTTAGACCCACCTACTTAAAGTTCTCGTGTAAACGTCCAGTGGAATTCTATACGTCTCCACATCTTGACTTTCACAAGTTTGGAAAACGCAGGAAAACGAATCTGTATTGGGCCCTTTTAGCTTCCAAAAGACTTGGATTTGCATAAATTTAGAAACGTCAACCATACACGGAATGAATGGAAATCCAGAACCAACTCAAACTATAATACCGACACCATGTCCTACTGACAGTAATGACAAAAGGAGCTATTCACAGCCATCCAGATGGAAACGTAAGCACCAAGCCTCCCATTCTCGCAGACAGGAGATTCACCTTATGCGGAATTTTCCGAACTCACTCCGAGTTTTCCGAACTTATGCTTCACTCACATTTTCGTACTCTGAACGAAAATGTGATGTGGCCTTCCAATGTGCCTTCCCTAGTGAGCTCCAACTTTGCTCTGGTCGAATATGTTACAGGACAATTACTGTGCACGCTCTGCTTCGGGTACAACATCAGAAAGAACCAGTCGAGCTCCCGTTGAGGGATTCAAAAGCCAACGCATCAAACTTTCACCCCTACACATCCACTTCCCAGAGTCTGCAGATGGTTTGAATGGTGCTCTAAGCTTGACAAATTCTCTCTGCACTAAAGTTCGGACTATGGACGAGCCTTCTTCTCTACTCAATTTTCCCCATCCTGTGACTACAGTAACTAAAGGTGGACACTGGAGACCAAAATGTGATCTTCCAACTGGGCGAGTCCCCTTATCGGGAAGGATGTCTTCTAGTCGTGGTAGAAGAGGGAGTAGTACTTCCACCAGTACGCTAGTTTCAGGGGTCACCATTCTTGTCCTCTGATCTAATGAGTCGTTCTCTACTTCACTGCTCATCTCAACAGTTTCATCCTTCAACATCTTCCGAAGTTTAACTGACTCTAAATGTCTAGCAACTAAAGCTAGATGTCCGAACCACTGGTACAGAGCGACCAAAGCAGCTCCACTTGACAAACGTCTTAAATCTAGTTTCCATTCCCTTGGTTGAATGACGCATATCTCGTCGAAGAGACCCTTTTCCATAACCCAGGCGACAACCAGGGTGGCTCGGCGGTACCAGCCCAAAGCCCAAAGAGCATCTACCATTGCACAGCTGAAAACCGTCCAGGTCTTGATGTCCTCCTTATCTAGCAGTACATAGAGCTTGTGTATATTCTTTTGCACCTAATCACAAGCCAATTGAAAGAATAGCCGCGTACTTAGTCTCAATACTATACGGAGCTTACATTCCTCATAAAGTTCTCTGACGTTGAGAACGATGGGAAGAGATCGGGCATCGGACTATCTTGGATACAAGTTGTCCAATGACACCTGAGAGAGGAGAAGACTTGAAACGTGCGTCAAAATCGGTCAAGATCTTGAACCATATGTGACTATCAAAAAAGAGTGAGGTATCGGCCAACAAGTACTATCTCACCTCTTCATCACTGATCATGATCTCCAGCAGCATTCGACAAGAATTCGCCATCAACTCGATATCGAAAGCTTGAAGAAAGTCCACAAGAACGCAAGCCTCTTCCTCACTACTGCATTTTGAACCTAAGGCAGAAAGAATAATGCTACAGGTAACCACGTCTGGATGGCAGTTGACTGCCAACATATCAGACTGTATATCCAAGATTCTCATTAAATTTCCCGACTTGATGCAAGCATCCACGGCCTCCGTAAATACATGTGTATTGCATATCTTTCCTAGCTTGGCTTCCTCATATGTTGCAAAGACCTGCATTTAACAGTATTATTCGTCATTACTTTGGACAAACGTCCTACAGTATTACTTGCCAAAGATACTCCAATGTTTCCAAATGGTACATCCTTTACCATTTCCTCGTAACATAGATTCATGACTTCATCAAGCTCTTTCAACTGTGATCAAGGTCACCTAATAGCGTGGAAAAAATCATTTACGTGTCGTAAAACGACAAGACAGGATCAAACCTACATCTCTAGAGAAGTATATCATTCAATCGTAAGCAAAAGGAGTGGTGAGGTCAAACTGTTGCTTCGCCCACGCCTCACCTCGTCATAATTACCCGAAGCCTTGTATGCTGACATAAGACTAGCAGCAGTTATGCTGGTTGGCTGAAGACCAGCCGCGTTCATTTCCTGGTAAAGTCTTTTGGCTGAATCACAGTCACCGCGCTTCCTGTTAAGATCGATCATCGCATTATAGGTGACTACGTTTGGCTCAACCTGGAAGTCCTTCATTACTTGGAAAAGTTTCTCGGCCTCTTCATAGACTCCATCCCGAGCACAGGCCGTAATTAATGAGCTGAACGTGACGGCGTTAGGTAAGCAATTGTGAGCTAACATCTCGCTCAACAACAGCAAGGCATCACTGCAATGACCTGCATGACGTCCATCATTCAAGAGAATCAAATACTCCAAACTTGGTATGAGGACGCAGCCATTACAGTAACTTCACTGAAACCCGCCCACAGACGCAAAGTTGATCAAACTTTAAGGAAGGCATAAATGACAAGGAACATAAGGAAAATCCACCCCCAAGATTTAGAAACAAGCAACAACATGACAGGCACTCCCCATCGTTGTAGCGCGACCTTGCACCAATACAGCACTTACCAGAGTTGGCGTAAACCGTTATCAGAGTTGTATACGTGATCACCGTGGGCTTCAGACCCCTTCTCTTCAGATTATCGAAAATCTTTTGAGCTTCTTTGACATGGCTGCCGGAAACACAAGCTTCAAGAAGAATGTTGAAGGAAACAATGTCAGGTTCTATACCCTGAGTGTACATGTCTTTAAATACCGAGACGACCGTTCCAAGCCCCATGCCTGCTTTTACATACGAGTTCATGACGGTGTTGTACGTCACGAGGTCAGGTTTGTAGAAGCTCTTCTTCATGGACTCGAAAAGATCTTCCAGAGAGTCAATCTGCCCTGCCTTGCCCCTTGCGTTGATCATTGCGTTGAAAAGTGCGATGTCTTTTTCTACCTCGGAGATATTTACGCTACTAAAAATTTTTTCGGCCAGTTCTAAACAACCTGCCTCACCGAAAGTATCAATAATTGTAGTGTACAAATGTGGATCTAGCTTGCACCAGCCCTGCCTCTCCATCCATCGTACAACCTCTAAGGCACCTTCGAGATTACCTTGCTCACCTACAATTTGCAGAACCGCATGTACAATACGAGCAACTTCTGAATATGGTAGGAATCTACCTGTAGAACTTTGAGCGCTACTATTTCCATTATAATCTGTGTTTACCATGACTAGAGACTCTCGTCTAGAAGCATATTCTTTGACCCACTCGCTCAAGACTTTCCCAACTAACTTCACATCGTCCAGATTTACAATGTTGTGGACGAGATTTCGAATAATTTCCCTTCTAAATTCTAGCTTCTCCTTGGTCACACCAAACTGCCTACGTTTGAGTGTCTTTCTACCACTCGTGTACCTCCGTCTATCACCCTGCAGTAAACAATATAGATTGTGATAAGTAGTCTTTACTACCCGTCCGTTTAAAGGACAAGTTACAAATGCTCAACACAACAGCAATTAAGGTTAAGTACGGGTTGAAAATAAAGGAAACTTACTACATAGCCTGAGGCGATTTCATCATCGTTTGGATCGTCTTCAATCCTCTGCAATATACAGGGCAGCTAAGTCACATAAATTCTTTATCTGCCCATGTGTAGCTCCCAGTATCCGCATGGAGTATTCATCCTATGTCACTTTCTTTATGACTGAACCCAATAGAAATCTCTTAGATCCCGACTCAAACTTATCCATAGGTTGAGAACTCAAAGTCAGATCCACATGCAGTTAAAAGTGTCATGTGTTACCTCTATCTTCTCTTGCAGATTATGGAGAGTATGGTCCTCAATGTCATGGAAATACTCCTCCTCCATCAAGGAGCTGGAAGACAAAAATCGCAGATGTTTTCAGTCGCTTGAGGAGAAAGTGCCATTGCAATGCGCATCTCGAAATAGCCTTTTCAACCAGCATTACGTCCCAACAGAGATGGCAACATTCAAGATGCTCACAGAGACTGCCCCCAGCAGACATGTAAAAAACTATCGCTTCAAGACTAGGAGGTACCCCTTATGAGCTATCGACCGGGAACTAGCAGGAATAGAAGAATAGAAAGCCACTTCTAGTGCTTGTTGAGTTCAATGCACTAACAAACCTGGCCAATCTGCTTCTTGATCAGAACATCTTCGCCGAGCGAAACTCGTTGGCTAATCACAAAAACCGAGAAACAGATTGGCAAAACTGTACCTAGGGTCCACAGAAACCGGCCCTTCACTGTTGGCCGAAGAACTGTAACACCTGGAATTGACCCAACTAACAGAACGCCCTTCACTGCCATTGTGACAGACCTTGACAGCAGGGACACTTGGAAACCGATCGTATCCACAATCATTGCTCGGCCGCGGCGTCCTCATTATCGCAGTTCCAGAGCGCCCATGAATTCCACGGCCCACTGGAACACCCACGCATAGTTCATGAAACAATCTTCTGTAAGATGCAAGTAATGGCGGAGCAAGTTTCTTCAGTCTCATCTTGTCTCCAGCACTCCCAGGCTCCTCCTCTGCTGTATTCTTTCAAGTTATAGAGGTTAACGAATGCTTCATAGCAATCCTGCACAAATCCAAAACCAAAAATCTTCAGCAAATCCGGGTGTCATTAGGCATGTCCTCTTTTCGACCAGTGGCTACGACTTCGACTCGGTTAAGTAGGGTTCAGTTCGGTTGAGAATGAACCGAACTGAATTTTCCCGAATAGAGCCTCGATTCCCTGACCTAGAGTTGGCTCAAAATTGACACCATCGACAGACCAGTAAAGGGCGACCCTGCTTTAATACAAGCCACGTGAGCCACGTCACCAACTGCTTGTGAACAATTGTAAAGAAGAGATGAAGTCTTCTGAGGTGGCATTTGAAGACAGCTATAGTTTTTCCCAGGGTTTAGATCTGCTTCCAGATTTCGACCAAAAAAATAGAAAGAAAGAAAAAAATTGCATCAACGCAATGTTACAGTTCTCGGGTTAGTAACAACAGAAAAAACGCTCAGAGATTCTCACTGCCATCAAATTTAACAAGCGACCAAGGGACCACAACTTATCTGGTAAGGATCACTTGCCAATTGTGATAAACCTCCGGCCCTATTTGAATGCTGATCTTCTCAGCATTTGAAAATTCTCAGCAATGCCTATTAGGAGTGCAGAGAGAAGAGAGCGGTTCAAATGCCGGGTAGATATTAAGATATGTTCGCATGAATCGGGGCGTCAGTCGCTAATCCTCAAAGGACTGGACAACACTCGCTCATGGGAACATTTGATGGTCATGGATGGACGACAGGAACGGGACGCATTCGTCTAACCTTCAAACTGTTTGTCGCCCTTTGATTATTTTCTTTGACACTAAAGAGAAACTCGAGCTCTGCGTGGTGTTAATTTTATCTTCGACCAGCAAGTCAAAGAACTATTCCCACATCAAATTTCCAAAATTACAGCTCCCGTCAATTGTTACTGAAGAGTATATATAGTAAGATGTGATCCACCCATCTCGGCTTTCCAAGCAGCAAGAAAGAAACTTTCTTTCATCCCACTCAAAAGAACAATAAAACTTCGAATGTACTTCTGTTCGACATATAGTGAATATATTTATAATCTCTCAGACGTGTAACACCGAGCATTGGTTTCAACCGCATTCGACCTCAAAGCTTAGCACGACGGATGGCCCACACGAGAGATTATTCACAGAAATGAAAAATCTTGCGATTTCGACCGGCGACAACATTCACCAGCTGCTTATAACGCTATCGTAAGTCTTGAAAAAATATATTCTCAAGTGCTCGATATGATCAGACAACAAATTCAGGTTGCGAGATTCCATCTGCCTTTCCAACCACAGAACCGTCAACCTGTCCTCTACGTTGTCTGAACGTAAGATTCGAGACCCAATTCGTTCCAGCGTTCAGATCCTCTTTCGAACTTTGCATATTCCCCTAGAAAATCTTACAAAAAGTCCAACACACGCACACAAGAACAACAACAGGGAAGGTCGTTTCCAGCGTAGCCCAAAAAATTGTGAGGAGAAAGATCAGAATTCTCACTGCCAGAAAATTGGAGAAGGAGCTGAATCTCCATGAGTCGCAATAGAGCGATCACGACGCTGGGATCAAAGACTCCAGGAAATTCACGACACGACCACCACCACCTCCTCGAGAGATCGAAAACTCGCGAGCGAAAGCGTCCTCTGTCGTCGGGCGAAGTGCAGAGCGAGGTCTCAGAATCAGCCACTCTTCCTCGAGGGAATGCGTTCCCGGGGCGCATCGTGCGGACACTTTGCTGACGCGCGGACGCCTCGCCCTCATGCTCCTCCAGGCGCATTCATTTGCAATTCATTCAGCCCTCGGCGATCCGCGATGCGCGAGAGAGAAAGGCATCGTCCTCCTGCTGCTGGTGCCCGGGCCGTGGCAGATTGCTGGTCACAATTCCTGTCAGCTGGATGGACGAGCAGCAGGAGGAGGAGGAGGAGGAGCCTGCTTCGCCCGTCGGCCTTTTCGCGTCCGACGTGGTGGACCTCGGGGAGGTTCCGGCAGGGGCAGAGCACCACTTCCTCGCTACTTCTGTAGTGGCCCTTTGGGGACGAGTTCCATCTAACCCTAAACGCCCATCTGCTAAATCAGCAGATGCCGCGACTCGCTACTGCGTCGGTGCTACTACTCAGTCACCGCGTCACCGCGTCCTTCGGCCTCGTTCTTCTTGACCACTGCAACGCTATTGCGCCGAAGATATTGCCAGCTCTACTGTACTCGTTCTCTACTCTCTACTGCGTTGGTGCAGTCTGCTGCAGTCGCTGACTGACGCGGTGAGAATGTAGAAACCACGCGGTGAGCGCGGTGATTCCCGCCGCTAAAGCTTGGTGGCAAGGTGGTTCATCTACATTTAGCTAGTGGTTGTTAACTCCCTGCGTTGGAGCCTTCGATTTTCTCTTTGAGTATTCTGTGATTTTTCAACCTTCCTTTTGCACATTTAGCAAAAAAGCGTGGTCCCGTTTTGATTGCAGTAAACAAGTGACCACGCTTTTTGGCTCAGGTGCTGAGTCATGCGAATACCCAAAATCTGGCTCAGGTTTTATTCCACTGATATATTGTCCATGCTTTACCGGTGAATAGTCGAGTCACGCGAACTCCAACATAACATATATGATTCTAACGAGTTGGGGCATTTCAGAAATTAACCAGTGTTTGCATAGTTGGTAAAACACCATGCATGTAGATGTAAATTCCACAAATCCGATAGATTCATTCGAAGTGCTGTGAAGTGTCATTCACTTCACAATTCAATGACAGATATTAGATTTATATTGAGATTGTACATCGACTACTCTGAAGATCACAATGTGAACATTTTGAGATTGTACCCGTTTACAATCTCTGCTACAACAACACGGTTGGAAGTTTATAGGCATTCAACTACAAACCCTTGATGATTGATGTTATATACTTACAGCATTGTAGAGCATACTTTTATTCTTACATGAACCTACCTATTATTATGAATATGTACACAAGAACATCAATTTTTAGTCACAAAATACCAAAAAATCAAACAAATCAAAATTTTTTAAGTCTAATATAAAAATATTTCAAATGATCAAATCATATACATATATGAATGATCCAAATGAAATAAGTATCAAGTCGATTGATAGATTATCAACATTATTATTATTATCCAGTAAAATGAATGATCCAAATAAGGTCATTATCTGAATGATAGAGAAATCAACACGAGGATGGGGTTATTTGCAAACACACACGAGGATAGTGTGTTTGCAAATATACAGACATATGTGTACAAATTTCTTGACTTATACAAAAATTATTAGATTGAAATCATGTTTTTCAAGTCATATCCCAATAATGTAAAATCAAATTTTTTATTAGCCAAATGATTCAATTCTGAAAATCAGAATTTTTTCTTTCAAAAATCATTTAATTTTATAGTTCTAACTTATATGATGCTTCAATGTCATGATGAATCATGGATGAAATATATAAAAATCTAGAAAATAAAATCATTGATAAAAAATTATTTTTTCAATATCAAATTTTGAAATTTGAAGGAATATTTTTTATTTAAATTTGGCATTTTTCTTTAGTGATTTTTTTATTTTTTTGAAAATTCGTAAAAAAAATCTAGTGAAATGTAATTCCTTGAACTAATTTTTTTGAATCTTCATATTTTGCAATGTTGCATGTTGAACACATGCAAAAAAATTAAATGAAAAAATCAATCAATAATCTGAATCAAAATATTTAAAATTTCATAAAATAATTATTATTTATAAAAAATTGAAATCTTTAAAATTATTTTTTATCATTAATTTAGGACTAAAAATATATCAAATAAATTTTTTTATATTTATTTATCAATATTAAAATTTATCAAATAATTTAGTTTTATTTAATTTTTCATTTATAGATTATTTACAAAATAATTTATAAATGTAAATTATTTTACATTCATAAACTCTACTCTTGTACTTATTCAAATACTTCATCTTGAATGCAGATCTCAACTACCTCTTGCATCTGTTAACAATGTACGATGCTTCGTCAATATGAGCATATCATCCATATAGAATAATAAAATTGAAGATCTCATTATTCAACTTCTCATGCATATACAAGAATCATACTTATTTTGTGAAAAATCTTGTGTTTTCACAAAATAATTGAATCATGCATTCCACTCCCTAGAAGCTTGGTTCAATACATATAACGATATCAGCAATCTACAAATCAGCTTTTTCATAATAATTTTCAAAAACAACTAGTTATTTTCATATAGATTTTTTTCTTTATAGATCCATAGAGAACTATTGTAACTTACTTCTTCCAGTTTTAAACTAAGAAAGAGATCTAAAAGTTATATATGAATCTCTCAGAAGTTTATTAATTATTGTTGGTAGGTTTACTTTTGTAGGCGCTATGACGTCATTCTTCGCGGGAACCACCGGAATATTATAATACATAACAATACTAAATATTGCAGCAAGTGCACATAAAAAATTTGTAACATTGTTAAAGGAAAAATTTTTTGTTATAGTTCATATTTTTTTTGTGTGAAATCTCTAGTCACCAATTTGATTCAAAGTTAACTTTTTCTTCATCAATTGTATTATACTTCAGCTTTTACATGCACTTGCAATCAATCAAAATCTGAATACTTCATAGCTCCACAAGCTTTCCAGTCTTGTTATCTAGAAGCGACTGCATTGCACATTTCATATCAGCATTTCATCATAGCATGACAATAAGCTTGAATGAAATGAACTTCCCAATAAAAAGAAGTTTTTTTTTTTCTTCCAAGATCAAAGCAAGGTCGTTATCATCATCTGTATCAATATCATGATCTTCAAGAATGAATGAATCAACTCATAATACATACAATAAATGAGCTCCACTAATCGGATTTGATGATCAACTAGCAAATGATTGTGGTTTATCTCTATCATCTGATGTAAATACTTGAGGCTGATTTAAAATAACATGCTATTTCAGTTCTTGTTATTAAAGAATTTGCTTCATCTATACCGGAGTTTATCTTCGTGTCACATGACTAATCACATAATGATCAATCTTTTCTCGACAACATCGGTGAGTGAAGATTTTTTCTTGTTAGTCTTGGAAGTCTAAGAATTTTTTACTTCTTTTAATGAGTTCACATCATACACATTATTAGATCTATAAGACTATAATTCTTCACATCACTAACATATTTGAAAAAATAATATGTCTTAGATGTAAGATCTAACTTAGTGCTATTCTCCTTAGGTATGAGTTCATAAAGTGTATATTAAAAACTTTTCAAACGATTATATCTAGTCATCCGTTTGTGTCTAATTCAAACGGAATCAAGATGTTGATTGCGATAGAAGAGAAGTTGTATTATCAAATACATTGCATTATTAACAACTTCAGCCCAAAATTCATATGATAAATCAAATTGTCTCAACTTTTCCAACAATGTTAGATTGTGACTTTCAGAAATAGCATTCTATTGCAAATTGTACATCTTCATTGTTGGATAAGATGATGAAGATTATAGCAAACAACTTAGGTTGAATAAATTGGCTAAGTTTGAATATTTTTGGGGGCAAATGCACTTTGTGCTTCTCTCCATAATAATAGAGTGGAAGCAACTTGAAAAACTGATTGATTTTCCAGAAACAAGAGAATAATTAACAATTTTAAATTGATAAATGTGATCCATAAACTTCATAATATAAAAGGTAAAAGTGTATAAGGTTGGGCATTTCAAACACAAGCTAAGTGCATGAGAGTAGATGGTAAGTACGAGTGCAAGCTACAATAGAATGTTAATGACTACAAAGCTGGACCATGTAGAGATCAATAATAGTGGAAATAGACAATGATGCATGTAAGCAATCTTTAAAGTAATAAGTAGTACAAAGATTAATGTTGAATGTACTTTGATTAGTTGGGAGCTATATTTTGTCATGGCTTTTATAGAGATAATTTATTGTTTTTCTGTAATCTGAGGTGTTTTCTTGAAAACAAGCTTGTGTAGGTAGGTTTGGTCGTGATGTGTGACCTCAAAGCTGGTTAATGATGAGAAGATTGATGTATTCATCACAAGCTACATGGAAATTTGTAGATTTTGTCAATTACCAAACCATGGAAATTTTGAATTTTTTTCTGTTTAAGCAATATAGCACATGATGGATGAAGACTCCTAAGTACAAAGTACTTGCAAATCTGATTTGATGATTTGTGAATGTGAATTTACATGTTGCTTTTTCTTCAACTAGTTTGAAGCACATTTAGTTATATGTATTTTGCGCTTCAAATTCTAAAGTTACTATATAAAAGTAAAGGCTGACCGAATTTTTCCATCTTCATCATTTGTTACCTCGTTTTTATTTAGGAACATAATTCCATCAATACAATGTATCGTTAGCATGAATTAGCTCTTGTGAAACATTATATGTGCATTCTATCGATCATAAGTCTATGTATGCATATCTCGAAATCTAAAATAGTCAATTCTAGATGATCACATAGGATTATAAGACTTCTGTGCATCTCTTTGCTTATTCAGCGCATGTTTTAAAACATTCATTCTTAACTTCATTATGTCATCACATCATTATCTATTTCTCTCATGCTGTAAATAAGTTTCAAAATGTTCAGAACAACACAAATACTTTAGTACAGTATTTTAAGAATTAACTGTGATGTATTTAAAATTTATAACAAACGTGATATATCTCAGTAATTCAAAATTTTGATAAAATGCAAAAGAACATGTCAAAAGATATTTTGGGGACGTTTTAGTTCGATACGAGCCAATTGTTACAAAGCCATAACACTATATGTAAATTATCACATTATTCAAGTCTTGAATCCCAAATTAACTAATGATTGAGAGTTGATATCACTTCAACTGATCAGTAACTGATTGTCGGCTGGATTTTAGCTCCCACAACTTTCTTTAAGACATTTCGATAAGCAGTTGCCATAAGATCACATACAAGCGGAAGATCATTGAGGGATGCCCAAGAATCCACGAGAATTTCTTCACTTTCTGATATTTCATCACAGCTGATTATCTTCAAACCGAACAGTTCACATTCTCTCTTTCATGTCTAAGGTAAGGCATGTAGAGAAGGAGCAACATTTCCCCAAGGACTACTCTACTTACCTATGATCTACTAAGCACGGTCTCATATTCTATCTTCAGTCGTCTATAAGATGGAGTAGAAAACGTGGCACAACTTACAAGATCGTGCACACAATTTGTACATTACAGTAACACTTTCAAAGTTTGTCCCCAAAAATATAAGAAAGTAAATGATACTTGTATCTGACTTCTCGTAACAGGTGAGAAAACAACCGAGTCTGTGTCCAACAACACCATTTCCACACAGTCGTTGGCAACCAATGACGGTCTACGCTGTAACCAACTAAAAATCGTCTCCTCGAGATAAAACTTCCTTGCAAGTAGGCCGCAGAAAGATTGTGTGCTCAAACTGTGCAACATAACTTCCTTTAACATCACAAAGAGGCGGTAACGCCTGCCATACAACAACATGGCCGTTAGAATGCACGGGTAGAGCTCAGTATGCTTAAGAAGAGATATTGAAAGGCTTGATGCCATACCGTAACAACACCTTGATCGCACAAGTTCTTCAACGCCATAAGGTATTTCGTCTCTCCAATACGATCCAAATAACGTTTACAAAACGCAAGAGTAGAGAAGTGCTTGTCGATGGTTCCCAACAACTGCTTGGCTTTTTGCAGTCTGAGTGGCACGTGTCCCACGTCGAAGTTCTTCGTGTAATGGCTGCATTCTAAGTCTTCCCTCACATACCCTTTGCCTAAACATCCAGCACAGCCACGCTCATTAATTCAAAACGCAGTGCTCACACTCATCGATATCGATCAAAGTCGAAAATTCTCGTCTCAAGTTCTTCTGAGCTGCATACATGTGTCATATCTTCAAAAACAAACTGAGCTCATAAACTATGGAGAAAGTCATCCGTCAGCTAAATGACGAATCATTCTGATTCCATCCATCACGAAGAGAATCATTGCTGATGCTACCATCAAACTTCGTTCATTTGGCATACCATCATCCCCGAGGCGAGGTTTGAGCCGAAGGAGGATTGGGGCCCTTACTCCATACGAGTCGTAAGAGACGTCCGTATGCAGGAACTCTTTTTTCCACGGTTGGGATTATAAGTTGGTTAATCTAATAGCTTCGACATACACAACTTCAATTCCAACTACTGCTTACCGGTGGTTCCAAAGGTCTCGATGGCAAAAAACTCTCCTTCTTCCATCTTTGTTTGCTCTCCGCCCTTGACCATCGGCACACTTTTACCGGCGTGGATCTGATACGGACCAATACTGTGTCCGCTAAGACCCCGCACACTCTTGACTGCACAAATGGAACAAGCAATGGTTATTTCATGTACGAGGTTACGTGGTTCTCCTACTAGCTTTGCACCAATTCAGATACTGTCAAGCAAACGATGATTTTTCTGGGACTATAAACCCAGACACCATGATAACCTGGATTGCAAAAGTTGGAAACAGCTTTTAGCTCCAGGCAAAAGTTTATGTTCAGCGTTAGCATAATTGCCTTACTTTCTTTACCTCGAAATTGATTAAATCATCGTCACAGCGCTCCACACACACATTGCAAGAAACACTAACCTTGAAACGTCTTTCCACCAATTTCGACTTCATAAGACTCCATGACTTCTTGTATGGCGGCTCCAATATCTCCGAGCCGAACGTCAATTCCCGCCTCCTGTTACGACAAAATTCATCAATAAGTGGCACAAGAGTGAAGTATAAGAACTGCCCGCTATCTCCAGTCAAATATCTCACAAGGTGGTCCGAGACGAAGCCCTTGACTGGGCAGATGAAGACGGTGAAAAAGACAAGATGACTTTCTGAGGTGGGAGAGTTTCTCATATGTACAACCCAAACTCTTTAGTCGTACTCCTTGTAAGTTTCAAGGTCCCAGTACAGACTGCTAGTCACAGCGGCATGAATGTCTGTCACCTTCAGTCAAAACCATTGAAGACCAACATATTGGCATGAAGACGAAACCTAGCAAAGTAATCTCAGTAAACGACACATAAAAGCAGGAGAGAAAACTTAGCCCTTGAACACAACTGGGTACAACTTCTGATCGAGCTCTCATCTATGACATGCATACTATCGCGATACATGACGTAATAGGATTGGATGGCGCAAGGAGGAACAATGTGGAAAACAGTACCCTGATTCCTGTATTCGTAGCTTCTCGAACTGCTTCGAGTAGAGGATCGTATACTGGATTAAAAGCTATGGTGAAGGCGCAATCGATAATACGTCCTGTTTCATAAAGCCAAATAACTCCTTAAGTAAAGGGACACTTTGGTCAGACATACGAGCACAAATACTGAACAAATCACCTTGTTTTAGATATCGTACATTACAAGAGATGTGTTGCTCCTCCTATGGAATGACTCGGTATTGAGAGAAGCTTAAATTAACAGTGTTACAGGAACAAATGTTAGCATCGAAAGCAAAATCCTGTTTCAAGAGTGGCCGATTTCTTCAACGCTTTATCTATACTCTGTTCACTTGAAGCACGTATAAATTGGACTCACCTTCAATGTGGGTACCAAAGTCCAACTTCATGACATCATCGTACTGAAGCACGGTCTTATCGCCAGAATTGGGCGTCCAGTGAGCTGCAACCCTGTGCATACACATAAGTGAGAAAATATTGGGCCCAAGAATTTGTGCATGGAAAGGAAGAACGATGGAAGAAAATTTCTTGCAGTAAAGGGTATGCGCTTATACCAGTTCAGCGAGCATCCAGTTGGGAACGCAATGCCAGCTTTCAAGCCGTTTTCAACAATGAGCTTCCGCACCATATCTTCCAAAGTCTCGCAGATATCAACCATGGCAACACCCGGTTTGGCGTACTTTCTAATGTAAGAACGGACCTGTAAAGCAGAAATATATGAGCCAAGTTTCAGTTTGAAAGTGGAAATCAGATAACGACCATCTTTCGGAGGACACGATGATGTATGTAAATGTAGTAAAAGCTTGTTATACCTGACGATGCACTTCTGAAGCCTGGCGCACGGCATTGTACAATGGCTTCTCCAGCCGCTCCAGCTCTCTTTTCTCCTGCGACGTTGATCTCCACAAGTTGCTGAGAAATCAAAGTAATAAGTCAAAACAGGGGAAATAGGCACAGGTACTGCTTAACAAGTACTTCCACGCTACGAAAAGACTCGAGCTCTGAATGCAAGAGTAGACCCTAGCTCACGGAGCCCTCAAAGAGAACATCAACCTGATTGTGTTTTTGCTCGTGGGAAAAGAAGCGAATATTTTACGAGCAATCATATGCAAGAGTCTATATGCTAAATGGAAGGTGATGTCTAAAACTTGGATGCTATGGCATAATAACTTACTCATCCTTGTATGCCTGAGTTTCGCCCTCTGGAAATTCTCCACTTGGAAACAGATCCTTGACTGGTATACTTGGTGGATCTGTTTGTACGAGTCCTTTCTTCTTCCTCCATGGGAAGAAATTATGGAAAATTAATCAGCCCAAGATCAGAATTCAGACTCTATACAAGAAGGCAATCCTTTCGACAGCTACAACAGAAATATATCTCCAGAACTATTTTAGTGCCCAAGAGATATTCACGACATGTAAGCAGAAAACTCTTACTTGCTCTTGCTCTTACTTTTCTTCTTCTTTGCTGCATCCGTCTCTGCGAATTGGGGGAAGTAAAAACATGGTCAATTATCAGAAGAACCGAAGATTGCAATGAAGCAATGACAGGCACAAGTGGCGCGGGTCAAAAAGACCGCTAGCGGAGATCAAGCTCAATAGTTGGGTTCCAGCGGCAGAAGTGATCGTTTTCCAGGGTGATTCTCACTCTGGGTTGTCAAGAAATTCGAGTATCTGAAATCAATGATCCATTCATCGCAGTAGAGGGAAAACATAAAAAGAAGTACTGCAAAAACAGGACTTACCTGTGAGAGCATCGGCCTGGGCCTCGTCTCCTTCTCCATCCTCCTCCTCCTTGCCAGAGTTTAGCTGAATTCCACCAATGCTTTCTACAACCTCTGTAGCAGCTACATTTGCCGGCTTCTTTTTCTTCTTCTTCTTCTTCTTTAATTCTGCATCGGATTCCTGAACTAAGAAAGACTTATCAGAAACGAAACTGAATCAGACCTGTCATATTTGCTCAAAAAACAGTCACCATGAAGTGAATGCGTATGTCCCGTGGCTAACCTGACATTGTGATTTTGCGCATTATGAATATAAAATAAACTTGTAAAGGGCGATCTGATAGGCACTCGTGTCTTCTCCGTCTTGCTTCGACGTGTTGGGTTCAACAATTACACAAGCTTACAGCCATTTACTTCCACAAGTCAAACCAGCTAAGATCCAATTGAGCAGACCGGGACCACGCACCTGCGTGGAAGTTGCCTCAGGCAAATCATTTTCTTGAGGGGCCAGCTGCTGGCTACCCAGAATGTTTTCTACCTCCATAATTCACAAACGACGAAGACTACACTGTACAACGCGCTCTTTCAATTCCAAGCACTCCGACTGCTGGCTTCCCCAAATGCTGATTGCTGAAAATTAAACCTTCTCAGAACCAATCTAATGAAAAAATCCACGACTCAATTTCGTACGTTTCCCCCTTCCGTTCAAAATAAGTCCAGTGACTCTGTCCTCCTCTCCTGGACCTCCTCTATCAGTCCGCCCGTCCCCACTTCCTCGTTCACAGATGGTGTTGTAGCTGGGACATGGAAAAGGAACCCAAAAAGTAAAGTCCTTACTCTTCCTTCAGAACTGCTCCTCCCTCACCTTCTTCTCTCCTTGCTGTGTGCTATTGCACTATTCGGATAGGCTCGGAGCTGAATTTAGCCTGTCACAAATTACGAAGTGTCAAACACAAACACCAGAACCGAAGGACCCACTTTCAGAAGACAGTAACCGAATTCTCAATCCACTGTCGCTGTCGTCGAAATTCTCGCTCGAAGATTTTGGGTTTAGAAACAGAGCAATCGCACTGCCGGGAACTGGGAATCAATGTCACGGCTCCAAATACTCCGGCAAGTTGCTCACCTCTGCGTGCAAGCTGCTGCGCTGCTCCTCGTCCTGCACTGGCGTCAACTATAAATCCGCAAGGACTCGCGATCGATCGCGACTGGTCAGAGCAAATTAGTCGCAGCTTGCAGCAGCTCTACGGACGAGGACATTGACAATGCGCCGTCCTAGCTGGCTCCCTGACCCTCCGCCTACGCCACCTCGGACGTTCTCCATACTCTGGTGACCTGGATGGTCTCTTGTACGACGGCCACGACATGTTGAAATTCTCATCTGCGCCGTTCTCTGAAAAATCACGACAAATTGAAATTCGTGACATTTGACCAAGTCAAGTTGGCTGCAACAGAAAATGAGCATCTTCGGATTATATAAAGCGAAAATTATATAAAGCGATTGGACTTTCGACGCTTAGCTAGGCTTCGGAGTCAGGGGAGAAATTTCGTTAGTGCTTCTTTGCTTAGAGTGACAGAGTGGAAGTAACGTGAGGGGTTGGCCAAAATAATGGAGAATAGAAGATATTCCAAAAACAAAAGAAAGAATCGTACTGTGATTTGGAAGTGAGATCGTCACAGAAGGTGATGTGACCGTATCAAAAGGAGATTACAGTGAATGTTTGCACGGCTACAATTGAAATTAGATTATTACAAGAATAAATTCAATAAATGGTTATATCAATTGAATGCAATTATGAGTCAAGCATTGTGTACCAATTTTAATGTTAATCGTTTTATCAAAAAAAAAAACTTAACTTTTTTGTTTTAGTTCAGATAAAAATATTAGTATTTCAGCGGAATATATCATACGTTTTTAACATGTCATATATATAGAGATATGAAGAAATGTATCAGGTATCATTTTATTATATGATCATTATATCAAATTGTTAAATTCGACCGTCAAAAATTTCTGAACTAATCTCTAAATCGATAAATGTAATATAATACTCTTTTAATCTTTCCTTGGCACTCGAAACGTAGGTAGCAATCAAAAGCAGAGCTTTTCCCGCGACCAAAGAGATATCAGAAGACAAAAGAATAAAATCTACAGAGTTTTCATCTTTTCTTCCCTTTGTCTATAGGTATTTACTTGATGGAATTTCATTAGAAACTAAACTGTTTGATGGAACCCATCAAGTTTTGTTTTACCGATGGCACTTCCGCGACGACATACCGTTGGTGAATTCTAATGTGTTCTTGTACAAATATGTGTATATTCTATGGTGTTGTTCTTCACGACAAAGTCGGTCGACAGATCTATGTTGCTCCTCAATGTCCAGTGCTCGCGAAAAAGAGCAGCATCATACAATTCATGTGCAGATTCCGAATTCTTGCACGGACTTATCGATCGATTCCAACAAATTCAATAACGATAGCAGCACAAATTCACATTCAGAGCTCCACTGCGTTGCGGCCATGTTCCACTGTGTTACGACAATGCCATTCCACCTTCTGTTCAGACTACAATAGATGTGATATATACTGTCGGTGGGGTCTCATTGGGTAAAACGAAACTTGATGGATCTCATCAATCAGTTTACATTCCGATGGAGTCCCATCAAGTAAATACCTCTTCTCTTGACTTTGAAACATGTTGGATTAACATGTAATTGACATTTACTCGAGATTTATTTCCCATTTTAATGCAAAAGCTAATGGTTTTCTCCCTCACATAAGTAAATCAAAGAGTATTATTGTGAAGAGTTGAATTTAACAACTCACGGATAGAATTTTACCATTCTCTTATTATAACCTTGATAAAAATTGAGAAAATATCATTGAGTATCCAGGTATTCTTCTAAAGTAGAAACTAAATATTCTCTATTCATATCTTTACTTGATTAGAGAATTTTCATATTTGCTTGAAAGAAATTTTATGATTTGAATAAAAATTCAGATGATGAAGATGAAAGACTCATTGTGCATGAGTCTCAATGCACAATGAGATACACATGCATACAAAAAATATATTTGTGGTTTACTTATTTCACATGAAATTTATAAACAAACATATTTCTTTATTTATCATTAATTCATTTTCTTACACAAATTGAATTCTAAGGTATCATCAAAAGCTTTCACTAGCTGTTATGAAAACATTTAAAAAAATAATATTCATATTCAACTAAAGTAGCATCATGATCAGATCGAGCAGATTTAAATGTGAACATCACAATCTTTCCGTGGATTGTAGTTTTAAGATTTTATTGCCTATACGATTTAGATAGAATATGATACAAAATTCTATGTAAATTATACAGTACTAAGTTGTAGCTTAACTTCAGAGAGCAAATTCAAAGAATGTCATATTTAGAATTGACTTGCTCACTTATATGTGAATATGCTCTAATAGTCATTATATTTTTGTGCATTCATAGGCATCAGAATTTTGCAACAGATGTAAATTAATATTTTTCAAATTAATATTTTACATACAAATTGATAATCTAATCAAATTTGTTGTCAAACTATACCATACACACATATTTGTTAAACAAAAAAATTTGAAAAAATTAAGTTAATACACTCTCACATACTCATATTATTCAAATCTATGTGAGTTCAAAACCACATAGAAATTTTTTCACTAAGAAACATTGAAGATGAAATTTAACTTACTTAAGAAGTTATATGTGGTTACACAACAAGGTTATTAAATTTGGATCCTAAAATGGAAAATTCATTCCTCAAAAAAGTGAAAAACATCAAAATAATGCATAAAAATCATTTGTAACTAATGTCAAATACATTATTATTTTTAAGTAACTACCAATTTTACTTTAAAATAGTTCAAATTTATCAATCCTAGATAATCAGTTCATTAATCAACTCAATGTATCAACGTATGGTAAAAAGGTAAATTTATACTTTGAATTTCATCAAATATACTTAAAACGTTATGTAGATTACAATGTATCAATTTTGGTATGACTCTATAACTATCACTTCAAAGAATTTAAAACTTCACAAAAACATAAAGTATCATTCAAAATTATATTAAAAAAAATTATTGAGATAATATGTTTATAGCAAAATTATAAAATTGTGTCAATAAGTGAAATTTTGCAATTTTCAATATAAATATCAAATTTTAGCCATCATCACGCACTCAAAACTATCTTAATGGCCAACAAATATCAATCCACAAAAAATTTCAAGTTATAAGTAGAAGTAGCTTTTGATACTTTTAAAATCTCACAGAAATACAAAAAACATGCACTTAGATGCTGATATCACTCATCCCCTTTGTCATCTCATGAAATGATCTATAAAATTTTTTAAATCTGATTTTTGATTTCATGAAATAATAATTCTTTTTGAATGCTTCAAACAAGTTGCCAAAAATTCACAAAGCCTTAGAATAATTGTCAACTGAGCTCTCATTGATAACAAAAACCTCCATCAATGAAAAGAAGATGTTGATTTTTTTTAAATCAAAACAACTAACTTGATTCGAAGTTGAAAATTGAGCCACAACACACTACACAAATTTAATATAAATACTGTAAGTTGCATTCTATAGAGTGTCATAACCACAACTTGGAAACAACCAAGTATGAATAAAACTTCAAAAGCTATTGGCACGTTTATCATTTGAAGAAAATACATCTTTACAAAATAACTAACAATGAATTTCTGTAAGATGACTTAAGATAACATAAATGATATAGCTAATCTGAAATGTTGAAAGATGTAACAATAGAATAATTTAAATTCATAACATCTGCCAAAGCAAAATATAAATGGTCAAGTTTCAAATTACATTATATCAATGAGCAGCAAATCGATGAAATCATGAGAATCTATTAATTGCCGCATGAAAAAATCTTCAAAATTATGTATTATCAAATTAAAAAATAATATCTATGGAAACATCAAATGTTGATCGCAAAAAGATTTGACAGCAACATTTTTGAAGTTTTGATTTGGCCCATATTCATAATTTTACGTCGGCTCCGTTCGTATACGATAAACCTTGAGCCTTGAATCATATTTTATGCATCATAAGATCCAATCCTCTATATCATTTTCAATCTATTTTCCACATCCAGTTAAGATTGAACCACTTGATTGCCGCCATTAAGCTCCGATACTCTTTGGCTTAAACTAGGTTTCATTTTGAGGCTGAACAACTTGATGGATGTCACTAAGATCTAGTACTCAACCTAAATCACGCTTTTTACATCTAAACAAGTCGGGAGGGGTGATTGGATTCGGTGATTGAATCTTGAATAAGGAGGGGTAAAACCCCTTTTTACAGTTTGGACTTTCATTGAACCAAAGTTGATGCTTTCAGACTTTAATCTCCTGTGAATAGTAAAACTGAAAAAGTTAACAGCAGAATGCACGTTTTTTCACACAACGTAAATTGAACGTAATATTATATACAAGATGTTGTTTCTAACAAAAAATTATTCAGAAATACAGCATGTAAAAAAATTCTTCACATGGAGTTGGCATGTAATACATGGAATATTTTTTTTTTTCTGACAGAGCTATTAATCCACGACATGAAATTATACAATAATATGTTCCATTCCAGAATAATTCAACAATGCACAATTACCTTGGCTGATCTTTTAGACATCCTCCGACAGAACCTCATATTGTAATTAGTAATGCCCTATATTTAAAATACTACATTCTTCTCACACATTTATCATGTGCATACTTAGCACAGGAAAAAATGTTGTCAAGTCATCACAAGCCACTCAGGGTTATGCTTTCGGAGAAAACTGGCAAGTTTCTACAACTTGAATCATCTCCTGCTTCAAAAAGAGTGAATGTTGGTAAGGTAACATGCAAGAAGGTCTAGAAGGTCCCACTTTTCAGATGTCGGCACGTTTCATCCCTCCACATCTGCAAATCCTGTGACTCACATTAAATCAGAACTTTCCGTCTTTGTAACGCTACTCACACTTTTATTGCGGTGTTTACATTTTACCCTTACTAGTCACGAGCAGAGATATAATGAAGATTACATTCAACTACTTGATTAGTTACTCGATTCCTTAGAAGGTTCACTCTCGTTCGAGATACATTTCACGTTGACTGATAATGTCGTCAGGGACTAGGGGTCAACGAGACTCATCAATCGACATGTTTTCGGAAAATTGAGAATCTAAACCAAACCATAAATGGTTCATTCCTGGAAATGTATCAACGCACAGAAACATAACTCGTAAATAATCACAGCGGTAACCTGGTGGAATTTCTTCGTTTGGATAGCTTCACCCAAATGTCCCGTATTTCGACAAGACTACTTGCAAGATGGTTGGATTCCTAGCGAAATAGCTTACGCAAGTCTAAACAAGGAAAGTGATACAAAATTGATTCGCTGCTGCTCATCAGAGTTATCAACAATGCCTCTTCACTCTACGGAACGCATATAATTTACCCCTGTTGGAGGACGAGCGCCTGGTGCTAAAGATGCTGAAAATTCCCTTCAAAAACTAATATCTTCCCTGAATTATCTACTTGTCTACTTGCGTTCGTAGCGCTAAAACCTCACTTCACGGAATTGCAAATACCTCCTCTTAGACAAGATGCTACCTTGCGATCAAGCTCACAAATATCTTCACCTACATATAAGCTAACTCCACTGACAACAACCGGCTTTCGTCGCGGTCAATCCGTACATTAAGAGTCGGAAGGCAACGTCGCTTCTCGATGATAGGACTAACAGGACTTGTTGATGCCAAACATGGAAAACCTGACACCTGCAAATGGTAAGGTACCTCCGAAATGCAGGGGGAAAAAATAAAGCCTAAACGATATTCATTGTACAACCCATGATAAATATACAGACCATCCATTTGAGATGGAATTTATTGAGCACTGGTCTCTGCATCATCTTCAGAAGTGAGAAAGAGACTGTCCCCAACATCCTTAAGAACGCTATCAGAATCTCGACTTAACTCGGCATCTCCATTTACAGTAGCTTGTCCTAATTGCTCTACATCTGGTTCTGGTACTTTATAATACACCTGCTCATACAATAGCAATATCAGATTCATGGTTCTGGTACTTTATAGTACACCTGCTCAAACAACACCAACATCATCAGAGTGAAGAGCACTTAATCGCTAGAAAAGAATTTAATAAATTTATTCATTCATAACAAAGACGCATGTACTTAAAACTTAAAACCATAATCGTTTATTCTAACTCTGGAATAGTGAACTGTGAAAGTAATTTCATACGCATCATGCATCACGCAAACTGAAAACAATCCGAACATCGCTTCCAGATGAAACAAATCAAGGGTCCTGAGTTCTACATACCTGGCAGGACCGACAAGGAGCTAAAACCATAAATGAATGAGGACGATTGTTGAAGTTCGTCGATGGAATTCCAGGAGTTCCCTCGGGGGAAGTGAAATGATCTATAGAATGATCAATCTGCAACAGTGACAAAACAACAACTGATCAATACTAACAAAACGATATATTCGAATCACGAAGTCAAACAGTTCGTAGAAACTTGCCAAAGTCGAGAACGGCTCAACAGTAGACTGTTTGTAAATCAAGGTTTAAATCTGACTGCTGTTTGTTTACGCAAATTTATGCCAGGCGGTCAAACATATATACTCTCGTGCGTACTTCACAGTCGGTCAATTCAAACAGAGACATGGCACTTGAAGTAAGTACCCGGCTAAAGCCTCCAGCCTCCGCAACGTCACTATCTAAGGCAACTCGATACTTTCCAGGCAACTCGCAGCCGACTTTATATCTGCAAAATGAATGCCGGTTTAATCAAAATTCTTTATTTCCGAAATTCAATTTCTTTGATTCATATTACAAGGAAAATATATGAGGAGTACAGCTCACGCACAAAGTTGTCATGTCCGCAGATTCTACTTTTAGCCAATATAGTGATCAACATATCCTTCCTTACAGATTCTCTGAGAGAGCTGAGAGCCAGTCACCTACCCTTCATATGACTTAAACGGGTGGAAGTTGAATACAAATACCATGTCCGCTTTCTCAAAGACGATCATCTACACAAACCACAACCACCTTGTTAATTGATTAGTTAACAGGCTCGGAGGCATTCAAAGTCATTAGACATCAGCAACTATGAATAGGAAGTACTAGAGTGCAGCGGAAAAAACTGTCATCAACACGAAGTAATCTACTCCACTTGCAACTCGCGATAAACATATGGCCTACCTTGTCCATCTCGTTCACACATGAAGTGTACTGCTTGTTGCTGCTTAGGATGCCAAACCTTTCATCAAGGTCGTTCATTAATTGGTCGAAGTTGTTCATGTACTGAGAAAAGTGAGCGAGACACAGATTGGTGAGCTATATAATAAAACTGAAACACAACAAAACCAATTTGGGTTGGTTTCGCATCTTATCAATTTGCCACTGAGAACAGAATATGTTGTTAAGGAGGCAAAGTTTATTAAACATTCAAAATCACAGATCTGTTCACGTCCTACAATCGGAAACCTTAACAGCATTACAATTTTGTGAAACTCTTCTGTCTCAAAGAACATTCTCAACTATAGATACTTTATACTTCTAACATTGAGTTGTTACCTTGTAACGCAAATGTTCGGCATCGCACAGATCCCAACGTCTCCTACATTTATCGTAGCTCCAGTTGTTACCTTCCCTTGGGAAATCAATCCACTCTGGGTGACCAAACTGAAATAGCAACAAGCTGAAATTAGAGAGTTGAAGCGAAGAAAAATCAGACAGCCACCACGCTGCGTGATCCGACACACTAACCACCTATAACAACGTTAACCGAAGAAAAAAAGGAAGATAAAGGACAATTATGTTGATAACATACCTCATTTCCCATGAAGTTAAGATACCCTTCGCCACCAAGAGCGAAGGTAATAAAATGTATCATCTGCAACCGATGAATCCAGTAGCCGTCACAAAGGGCACATATCATGGTAAAAATATTCTAAACACGAAAGCAAGAAATGGGAGAAAAAACTTGCTGGGAGAATTTCTTTTGACGCTTGTTTTTCTACGGTGAGATCTGCCTTTGCTAGGGTTGGAATTCGTTGATTCTTTACAAGGGCGAACTAGCACATTTGGACGCTATGCAGTCTCACAGCACTGGAATCAGATAAGACGAGCAAAATCTCAATTATTTTGAAAAACAAAAGCAGTTACAAAAAAAGTAAATTGCGATATCCACAGATGCACACATACCTTGTGAAGAGCTATACCACGGTCGACAACAGGTGATGACGGATTGCTAGCTGACATGCCGAAGTACATCTCCTTGTCCATGAGTAGAAAGGCGAACGTTTTGTCTCCCACTAAGGACTGATAATTAAAAGAAGAAGAAGAAAAGACAAAATAATTAAGCTCAATACCAAAGCAAAAAGCCATTCAAAACATTCGCATCATCAAAACCTGGTGGAAACGCGCGAGTTCCAGGATAGAACCTCATAATAACTACAAGCTGTGAAGTGTTGACGGGCCCATGTGTAAACGGCACAGGCGTGTCGCAACTATTGGTTATTGTTCTCGTCACAAGCTCTAGTGCCGACATGCACTACATTCTTTGCAAACATAGCGAAGACATTGGGTATCTCACCTGATCGTGACTCTCTGCGTAGCCGATACACCTTTCTGTATACCTCCTATTCAGAAGAGTGTAAACTATGTCTCCCATTTGCCAATCCTCGTCCTTTCTCTCCTTCATGTATTGGATCCACTTATCTGGTATGGCCATGGCCAAACGATAGTCGAAACCTACACCCCCCTCAGAAACAGGCCTGCCAAGAGTAGGCATGCCAGATACATCTTCTGCTATCATAGTCGCGCTAGGCAAGAGCTTATGAATGAGCTCGTTCGCCAACATAAGATATACTCCGGCCTCTACATCTGTGGCAGGACTAAAATACTCGTGATAGTTTCCAGAAAAGCCCATGTTCAATCCATGGTGGTGATATAGCATTGAAGTGACACCGTCAAATCGGAAGCCATCAAACTGATATTCTTCCAACCACCATCGCAAATTTGATAACAAAAATCGTTGCACTTCCCACGCGCCATAATTAAAGAGACGACTATCCCATAGACTGTGATAACCTCGGGCACCGTCATGGAAATAAGACCCTCCTTTACCAGGATCGAGATCAAAACCGTTCAGGCCGTCTAAAGTATTCGTGCTAGCGTGACTGTGAACGCAGTCCATCAAAACACGGATTCCCATACCATGAGCCTTGTCAATTAGGTACTTGAGGTCGTCAGGGGTCCCAGAACGACTGCTGACAGCGAAGAAATTGGTCACATGATACCCGAAGCAACCGTAATAGGCATGTTCCATCACAGCCATTAATTGAATGGTATTGTAGTGGTTGGCCTTGATGCGGGGTAGCACATTGTCAGCAAATTCCCTGTAAGATGCAACTCGTGGCTCCGCAGAGCTCATTCCTACGTGAGCTTCGTAGATGCGAGGCGCAGTCGGCTGAGGAGGGCGAGGGTTCTTAAACTCGTATCTGCGCATATCAAACGCGAAGTCAACAAATCTTAATTTCAAACACTCAACTCAACCCAGTAACAATATCTGTTGAAATGCATAAGACATGGTGAAGCACCATCGATAACTAACTGATTGAGAAATACAAGCTAACCAAAACCGACCTCTCAGATGCAGGTGGATCCCAGTATACGCCATCGTACGCGGCGGCAAACTTGCTGTGATCCACAATGGCCCACTTTATCCATGCTGGGATACAATCCACCCAATTACCATCATTCTTCATTAATCTGATTTTCACTTTAGAACCATGGGGAATTGCAGGCTTTCCATCCCTATCCGGAAGGCTAATGCTCCAGACTCCAAATTCATTTTTCTCCATCCGGTAATCAGCACCATTCCACCCGTTGAAATCACCGACGAGCATTGCCTCCCTGAATCCGTCAGAAATTGATTAATGAGCAACATCGTTTCTATGCTGTACGGATGAGCATACAAAAATTTCAATCTAAAGGAAGAACCCCAAAGAAATACTAACAACTAATTCACTGAAAAAATTAAGTATGTTCAATTTTTTTCATGCCCCTTGACTGAGTAGGTATGCAGTCCTGAAAAGTAAGGCAAGAGAAGCACAATTGGAACAAGTGGGACACCATGCAATACTAGGCGAATGCTTCCCGGGTATATCTCAGGTCCAGGGAAAATAATTATTACTTGGCTGATGGTACCCATTCTCGGTAAACTGTGACACCATCTTGCCGGTTGAAACCAAATTTCTTGTAACCTGCAGCAAATATCACTTACGTTAGTTTCATCCGAGATTTATATCTGCAGACAGCACTTACATAACCCAAAACTCTATCCCGCAACACAAGAAATATGGTTTCAAGCAATCACTTCTAGACAACGGTATAATCAGGAGAGAGCAAACGTGTAACTGAGATTAATGACAAACCGGAAGATTTCTTCGTAGATCTTTCGATATGTCAAAAATCTAAGAAGAAGAATCATGATGCCGCCATCAAATATAATATATCAAGCTCATTAAGTCACAATTCTGTATGAAACATATAGCCGGCAGTCTATACTGCTACCCTCACCCAAGCATTGTGTAGAGTATATTTCAAACACGTTAGTCAAGTGGCCAGAAAGGATTCAACACGGACTCATAAGGGGCGCTGCTTGAAAATTGTAATCTACACTGAATTTAACTCGGTAGTGAACTAACCTTCAGAAAATTCCTCGAGACTTCCTTCGTACTTCTCAATCAGCTCCTTTTTGGTTTGGTACTGATTGAACCTGTATCGAAGATGATCAGCATGTGGAGACAGGTCCGGATCCACATCCAGCACACCTAACCGGTCTGCAGAGGCTTCAACTTCTTTCCGGACAAGCGGCTCGTTAGTCTCCACACTCGCGGCATGGACAGAATGCACCTGCATCCTTGTTTTCTCCACAGCAAGCTGAGAAGACTGCCAAAATCACAAAGCGAGGGTGATGCATTTCAATACGGCATGTTAAGTGGGACAGACTAACCCAATAGACAAATCTCTTCCTTAATCCTGTAGCACGACACTCGCGGAAGGCGACTGCGATCGTCGCTCGCTCAAGGAGCCTCTCACACATTCGATGCTCATGGATACATTAAAAAGGCACAGCTCACATCGCGCCTTACCAATACAGTGCTACTCAAAGACTGATGAAATCAACTCGCTCAACTTTACCCTTTATGGAAGCCAGTAACTTTCTATCAGATAAACAGTGCAGAATCTCGCAATCGTGGCCACAGTGCCCAATAATCTGCCACTTATGAGAGACATCACCAGCTCAGGGTTTTGAATCAACCTCAAGAGCACTTTTTGGGCACATTGCGACGCGAGTAAGATCAGAACTCACCCCTCCTTTCGTCCAAGTGGACTTGCAGAAGCCGCAAGGGCCTAAGGCGGACAACCTTCCTTGGCCACTTTTAAGAATCAGCTGTTGATAATCCGTGCATCTCGCAGTCGACAACGCCTCCCTCTTTCGGCCCTGCTGGTGGAATTTGATGACGGCACCACAGTCAGCACAAGAATCACAGCATTACCGTGTGAAGAGGTAGTGATGGGATGGAGGTGAAAAAATTTTGAGGGCGACCCATATCTCCGCCAGGTTCAGTTTCTGCAACGGTCTATCATCCTCTACCATAATACCCTAGCCAACGCATATCGACGCCATGGATGTTCTCCAGATATGTACAGGAGATTCAGCTTCGTTCCAGCCATTCTGACATTAAAATTCGGGATGATCACGTTATAAATCGCAGCCAAGAGTTTACGACGATCCCTCGATCCCCTTGGTTCGCGAATCCCCTTGGTTTTACTGCTGAGTACTGCGCGTTCGTAACTCAGCCATGGCGGATGGTGACTCGGCCGTCGCATATAAGAGGCTGGATTTGGCAGGAAATCGATTTCTAGAAGAAAATAATCTAATTTCGTGATAATGCTCTCGGCCAGATGCGTGACCAAGCAAATACTATCGTGGAAAAATGTGAGATTGTTGCGGGAGTCTTGCATATCATCCGAATACGTTATCTACTGTTTACTAAGAGCAGGACAACGAATCCTCCTCCATTCCGTTGGTCGGAAGATGACAGGCTCATCATACACCACAACAGGACGCAGAGTCGAGCACGAACAACGATTCATCCACGAGTATCAGGCATTTCACAATGCCAAACGATAAAAAAGCGAGAGGAAATCTGCAATGGAACTGAATGCGAGTGGACTGATCATCCGACAAAACCAGGACATACGGAAAGCCCTAATGCAGGAGCTCCATCCATGGCCATGACACAACTCCAAATGTGACACAACACGCAAATTCCGCCCATCACTAGTCATCCATGTTCGAAATCTACCTACACCTCCGGGAATCCTGTACACCACCATCCGAATTGGCACGAGGATCGCAGCGGAGAGGAACGAACCTGGATTGCGGGAGACAACGCATGAGAGAAACCGCAACACGAAACGGCGGCGTGCATCCTGCTCGACACCCCGGACCGAAGTCCGCCAACGCTACCGCGGAGAGAATGAGGAGAAGACACACAGAGCGAGAGAGAGAGAGAGATTCCCCAACCTCCTCCCTCTCAAAGCGCTGTCATGTCCTTCATGCACAGGCACCCCAGCCCTCCCTCGCTGGCCTCTCTCTGGCCCTCGCCGTTCACACTTCCTTCCCCGACCCACCACCCTACGCCTCCATTCCCCTCGCGTCCAATTGCCACCTACTCCTCACTCCTTCCGTCCGCTCTCCGCCGCGTGTTTCCCCGCCTCTCCCTCTCTCCCGCAGGCTTTCATTAGCAATGTCTCTGCTCCACTCCACTCCCCGTCCTCTGGCGCATCAGCAGCAGCAGCTCTGCCTCTGCCTCTGCCCCTGCCCCTCTCCCCTCGATTTCACTTTCTCCCTGCTCTGCCTCGGGCAACGTCCATCTCTTGGCCTCGACCCCTGTCTCCTCTCTCTCTCTCTCTCTCTCTCTGTGCATCTTCTTGGCCCGCTCGAGCCACGAGAAACTGAGCCAACAGGTGCCAAGAGCGCGGGGCCCCACCGCCAGTTTAAACACCGCTGCCCATGCCCAATGTCACTCTCTTCGCTGCCCGCCTCTCGATGCCAGCGTCGACGGCTGGCTTGCGTTTGGGATCTTGGGGCACCGAAGCACGACGATATCCATCGCACATTTGCGGGGGGCCTCTGTTATTATTCCTGTCAGTTTTACCGAGTCGATGCAAATATCCGCGGAATTAGCCGTGGCCAAAATTAGGGGCAGAGTGGGGCAGCGCCGTCAGATTTGGAGGTCTTCCGACCCGGTGGACTGCACCAGTCTGTCCGCGCAGCTGAGCGAGTGGGGACGGGAGAATATTCGAGATCGTGATGCTGCGAGGGATCGTACGATGGGCTCCGGATGCCCCGTGGACGCGTGTCGGGGCTTCTCAGGGTGACTGGTGCGAAGAAGCTCGCAGAAGCTCGACACGTGTCTGGTGGGGGAGATCGCGAGGTGACACGGCACGATTGAGGGCTCGCGGCCCCTTATCCAAGAACTTCGCGGTCTACCGCTGGCTGGCTGCTCCGGGCCCTTCTGCAACGGCTGTCCGACTTTCGGTCGATCGGATTCTTCTCTCTTCCGTTGACCAGTCTACCATCGCCCCCGGCGAAATTCGACACTGTCCTCCTGAGCTCGTTCATGTCTCGATTCATATGATTTCGCAGTGCTGCGAGTCGAGATCCGGGCGCGAGAAAATTCTGGTCGGATCCATGCTCCGCGAATTTGTGCCGGGGTCAGGACCGGGTCGATGGCCCGGGGTTTAACGTTGACATCTCTCGAGTCCACTGAGAAAAATTGATGAAGAATTTTAGCTTCACATAAATGAAGTTTCTGACATCTTCCTTCATCTCCAGAACTAGCTCATTCATGTTGAAATGGTTGCGAAAGTTTAGATGATCTTATGTTACAATTGAGGATTGTGGTACGGGGGTTTCTCGTTACAGATTATGTGCGCTGAAATGCACGAGAAGGATGGGAAAGCACCCCACCACCAGACAACCTGTGGATGAGACTGTAGATGCGAGCTGTAGAGGTTCTACGGAAACCATAGCAAGAGCACGATCGACAGGCGCCTTGAATTTCAACGCTAAAAAAACGCTCGTACATGACTATTGGACACTTGATATGCATATCTAAATCAGGAACGATAAAGGGGACTGTATTCTGTCCTACCAGTGACGTTCGATCTGTGCTATCTGATCAAAGAGAACTGCATACAGACATTCGTCGGGCTGCTCACGATATGAGCCAACTTCATTCGAAATTCAGTTTTTACCACGCCCCAAAAGGCTACCTCTGTATGTCTGTCTGTCCCTGTCAAGTGGCAGCGGCTCAGCTTTTGCCTGTCCGTCAGTAAATCTGAGTGGATGGGATGTCCAGGGTAGTAGGTGCTCATGGTACTTGCGTTGCGTTTAGGGTCGGTCTCGAAGCATATGCTGTGCTGTGGAGCGAATCTCTGCAGCAGCGGTGCAAAACTGGAAACAATTTCAGTCTAGATACCTACAAGCATAAGTGCGCTCGGAATATGTTGTTTGATGTACGGGAATTGTGCTACATTGCGAATTGATCTTGATGACGCAGTTGGCTATGGAAATGATGGAGCGGGATCGCCGGTACGTTCCTATCAGCAGTTTGGTTCGCATGTTTGTCTCGTACGGGGGTTTCCTTCTTCCATCTTTGTCATCAAGGGAAATGAGCCGACCTCCAGATCCGGTCTCCAAACATTTGCAGCAATTTGCCTTCTCAGTTCAAATTTCCTAATTCCAGAATTTGCAGAATCACCATCAACGACATGATCTCTTTGGGCTAAAACGATTTTGTTTCTTTCAGATTAATTTTCGAACGCTTCTGTCCATAGAAACTAAGGTACCCCAACTTCTTGAAGAGTTACACGTTATCAGTAACCTAACACGTCACTGATTAGTCCGTCAGCAAGATGCACCTGCCTGCCCAATGCGCTCCCAAAGATCTATCCCAACTTTATTGAAGTGTTAGAAGTTATGTGTAGCCTATTATTTCATTAAACAGAACCTCGGCAAGGTACACTGACCCACTTTGCTCGTCGCTGTATTGTTTCTGTCGATAGTGAGAACGGAGGAAATTCGGCTTGGTTACACACTTCTCACTTCACTACTTCGAACTAATGATTAGTTTCATTCCATCTGATTAGTTACTGATCAGATGGAATGCATAACTCTAGGAAACTGAATTTCTTCTGAGACGCAGTTCCGAGGATCGTAGACGGGAAGGACCATCCTTCTCTCCTCTTTGGTCAATAGTAGTGACCAAAGAGTAGTGACTCACTACTCTTTTGTGCCGTTAAAATGGGGCTCTAATAATCTGGAAAGGATTAATGAAGTGGAACAAGTGAGCTCGAACTTCTAAGTACAGTACTGGACGAAAGTCAACCTGGACAAGAAACAACAACGGTGAACAAGAAAATGCAAACAAGGAAAGAGCAATGAACATATTCCGTTTGATGCGGAGGACATTCCGACCAAAGTCGTTAGAAAGCCTTAAACAATGGACTCTTATTCCCTCGCCTCTCTTTTCGCTACTTTCACTCTATGATATTTTTGCATGTGATTGCTCGTACACCGGTTGGTGGTCTCGCCATGAGCCTGGGCGGGGCAGAATCAGATACTGTACGCTAGCTCTTTACTCTGTAGCCGCTCGAACAGCACCTGGCCCCAGGTGGACTCACCAAATGACAAGCTGCTCCTGACTCTCGACGCCACAGTGCATTATCTTATCGCACGAAATGCAATCTTATCATTGCATTCTGGCGAATGTAGGGAGGAGGTTCTGTCTCCGAGTGACCACGGACGTGAATTCGAAGGCGAGACTGTGAAACACATTGCGGCTGGTCCATTTGGCATATGCTTGACGAGATTCTACCGCCCATGAATAAAGCGTTAAGCGTTCCTGTTCAGTGGCCACAGGAAGCCAGAGAATGAAGTTTTATTTCAAGCAAACGGGTTTATCAGGCGATTCATAACATATGAGTACGAACCTATAAACGCAATTCAAAGCAATGTGTAATATCATATTACATATTACTAATATGTGATGATAAGAGCATAGAACGAAATCAATATTAACGAAACAAATATTATGAAGAAAAATTGGTGGCTTTCCTGTTCAAGTACATTGTGGTAATAAATTGAAAAGTTAAAAAACCAATCCTTGTGACTTTTAGATGGTAACTCGCATCATTATATTTCATGCTACTCATTTGAAGTGAGTTATAGTTTCTTAATTCTATGTATTTAACAACATATTTGTAAATCTCAAATATATGTGCTATTTGATTTACTTTGAAATTTAGCATTCCCTGATCTCTATCACCAGTACTTGAGAGTGATACTGTTCAATAACATACAATAGTTGGTTTTCATATCTCAGAAATTATAATAGGTGTGCTAAGTGTGCACATTCCTTAAAAAAAAACTTTGTCACTTTTAATAATTATGCAATTAAGAACGAATGCATCGGTATTGAAATTAGTTTTCCATATCATAATATATTTGCAATCTAATGAATATTGAATCAAATTTTTAAATTATAGCTTATTTTCAATAGTGTGATGTACATGTGATTATGGTAAATACTTTTTGGTCCATCAATAAATCATCTTCAAATCATCACAACTTAAATTTTTCCAAAGATTGTCTATCATATTCCTAAGCTAATGACGGGAGGCATTTGAAAATACGTTAGGAAATTATTTTTTTCAAATCAAACATTTTAATTGAATTTTGTGATGAAAATATTAAATGTATGAAAGATTGAATTGATCTTTGAGATTTTTTATTAATCGTGTTTTCAAAAATGTCTTTTAAAGTAATCAGGTATTGATGAAATCAAACACATGTGGCAACATAAAAAATTAGAATCAATATGAATTAAAAATGATCAAATTTGAATTGATAATTTAAGACAAATTATTAAATTGAAACCAATATATATATATATATATATTTTTTGGTAGATATAATTTTCATTTTTATTTGAAAAGGATATTAATGCTTAAGTTCGATATCATTAATTGTTTCAAAATAGGTCAAAAATAATTAACAAAATGTTCCAAGTTTTAAAATGCAATTTTTAGTAAAAATTAACCATAGATTATCAAACATTTTTTGTTTGAAATTTTTGTGATGACTATTGCTATGTAAAACATATTATAACCAAAGATGAAAAGAAATATCTGAAAATTCCAATCGATGTATGAAAAAATCTTGAAGTGAACATATTTTTCTCTAGACATCAACTTTTCCATTGTTATAGTTAGTTGAATTTCAGTGTTTAAAAAGTATCTTAAATAAATAAAGAATTTAATCGAAATTGTAACAATCATAATTAAACAAAATTAGATGTATCTTTCTCATTATTACATTCGTAAATTGATCCCAATTCAAGTTGGTACAGGATGTTCAATAACAACATATTTAAAATTAGAAATATTTATAGAGATTCAAAAAGTAATGTTATTAGATATAATGCTATTCACTTGAATTAAAAAAAACGATAAGATACCAACCAATCATATGAGTTAATCTTGAATATATTAATATTTAATTCGAATTGTAGAATAAAAGTATCAGAACCCTTCATTAAAATTAAAGAGTAGTTTCGATTCAAGGAACAATGACTCGTTTAACTATACAGCATATGATGAAGAGGTGAATGTAGTCTACTACCAGTGTACTTCACGAATAAGTTAGCCGCTAAACAGCGCTAGGGTGTTTGGAATATGGATGGTGGTTTGTCCACCAACCATCGATCCACGAAGTCATCACTTTTACTAATACAAAAATACTGTTAACCCTCACAGTAGTACACAGTAGCAGGGACCACTTAATATCGTTCACCAAACAAGTAAACATATTCAAAATTGCATGTGTACATCATGAGACCATAAAAAACATGCATACCTTCATGCAATTCCGCGAGATATCATATAACCAGAGACAAATAAAATTTTCGTGTCATATCCATGAAACCGTACCAAATTTTCCTCCACCGGAGTTACTGTTGCTGAATATTGCGGATTACTGTTCCTGTGTTGTATTCCTTCGTGCTCTATCTTCGCTGTTTATTTAAGAGAATACACCCTGGGATGTGATTCTATGTACACACGTGCACAAGAAATACCAAATATTACAAAGCGTCTTAGATGCCATAAAACAGTCATTGCTGCTAGCAACAAAGTCGACAATATCCAATTTCATTGTCAAAAAATTAAGAAGCACAATACTAATAGTCCTAGTAATTTCTGCTGGTGCTCTAGATAACAAGACAAACGTGACATTAGTTTTCTAAACTGCAAGCGCAGAGAGCTATGCAATCCCGATACGAATCCTCTCCTTGTTTCGATTAAAAACAGAGAAACTAAGGAACGCAACAACTACGCACCGAAGAAAACTAAATTTTGAAGTAATCATGCAACGAAAGTGGACAAACCCACACAAAAGTGTTAAGAACTTCTGAAAGGGACACTTCCTACCTCGTTTTCAGTAGGTCAACAAATATGCCAGCTGTTTTAAACGCAGAATTTGCAGATTCACGAAAACGTTAACTAGATTTTAGGCGCTTCCATGCGGTGACTCATAAGGCATGGTCGACCAACGAAAGCACAGTTAGAGACGCTCAAGTCCATAAGAGAGGTTTCCCTAAGTCACAATCGTCTTGATCTTTAGATCTTCTTCTCATCCGGGGCATCGTCTACCCTGCGAATCCCGAATGTCTGTTACTGGCTTGTTACCGGTTCGCGTCTCGTGTAATACGTCTTTGGCTAACTTCGCCTCTTCAATATGACTTAAAAGCTCAAATTCCTCACTTTCAAACACTCGCCAAACCTCGTGTGCATTTTTCACTTTTCATTAGAATTTTTACTCTTCCAAACAGTGACACAAGATTCATGCATGCACGTTATTTTATTACATGTGAAGACTGCCACATGCCATTAAAGACTTTATGTGGGAAGCTTCCCTTGCGATCAACCTCAAACTTTTAGTGAAAGATTCAGATACCTGAACGGCCTATGAAGTCCTCCAAGAATTTTAGCCTTCTAGCTGGAGGGCATGAAAATACCAAACACGGCAGCTTCTGCATTGGTGAGAGAGCTGAGCCTGGAAAACTTCTGATGGAACTCTGGATTCGTCTATATATTCACTCTCCGCTGCTCAGAGACACCATCTTCCACCTCGCCTGGACTGAATATACATTCAGTGCAGGGAAAAATTCACAATGTTCTATTTAGTAATTTCTCAATATCGGAGCCAGTAGGTCCTGCGCCTGAACCAGGTGTAGTCTGGTAGTTCGTGGGTGGGTCCCATTGCTGCAATTGCAACATCCTGTAATCCCAAATCGGAAGAATTAGTGCATGCTTTGTTTGATGTTCTGGCATTGATTTAAAGAGCAAATCCTGAGCTAACATGAGAACTTCTTTATTAGAAAAAAATTAATTCTTATAAAGAAGATTTGAAATGTTACACAGATACTACATGCGCACAAGATTCTCACATACCTTGTCAAAGATAAAGCGTCTTGCCACCCTCTTCACGGTGTTAGCATCCACTGCGTCTATCCTAGCGAAAAGCTCGGCAAGAGGTACTCGTCGTCCGTAGGTCAAAAGCTAAAATACAAACAAAACCGTAAGCCCTTTTTGTCACAAACTAATACCATAGAAATGATACTTTGTGTTCACTGCCTGAACACTGACCACGGCCCGGGGAAAGGTTACTAGATGAGAAGTCCAACATATAGTGTTCATTACAAAGAATGTAAGATAAAAAATACAATGGAAGGGCGAAGGAGATCATTACCTGGCGACCGATATCTTCGGCAATAGGGCTTGTTCCATCCAAATGTAGCAACAGACACGCCTTCAACTGTAGATGCGGAAACCAAGTCTTTGGTGAATAACAGGAATAAGAAGTGTCAAACTGTCAAAGGCTTCTCCGTAAATAAGCCACTCGAAGTTCGATCATCCGGCTGGCCTTACTAAGGCACTAACATATCTGGTAAGAATCATTGCGAAATATACTAATAGAAGAATTCATGTATGATATGTTTAAAAGTACACTACATGAATTAGAGTTGATGTAGTTTTCTGGCTAGCTGCTCAAAGATTGTTAACAGCCCTTTAAAACCTGTGAAGAGCTACCAACTCCTTGCTGTACACAAATATATAGTACAAATGTTCACCTGATTGCGTGCGCGAATAAGATCATTCTCATCAACACTGTAGATAAGCTTGGCAAACTCGTGCATGATACAGTAAGCGAGATCGCTCAGACCTTCGGGCTGCGCAAAAAACCCCCCACGGTCAAATATCGAAGAGACAAAAAACCTACATAACGTAGTAGCACTACATACTTGGAACCCAACTCCGCACCCAGTCTCTCAAGGCCGAGTACAAGCGCAGGAAAGGACATGGCTTCCAACTCCACATCCAAAGTGAACTAATACCAAACGTTACTTAAAAAATTGCAACAATAAGATGTCAACAGTGTGATTCACGAGTGGCGAGTCTGGTAAACATCGCAACACCCATACGCGTTTGTGTTTTATCTTTTCATTTGGATTGTAAAGTCAGCCACTAGTAGCAGCTGGCAGGCGTCTCGCCCTCTTGAGAAAAAAACGGGTACGTCTAAGGGTGATAGTGAGACATCAATTGACACCTAAATCAAATTCCAGTCAGATACAGATGGAAAAATTAGATAAAAAATAATACCTTCGCAACAGCGTAGACTCCAAAAAGTCCAGCATCGCTGTAGTTCGTGTTGAATGCCATCACATTTTCGGCAAGATCGTTTGCTGCAATCATCTGCGCCATTTCCGATCTGCATTTGCAAAGTTACATTTAGTATTCCTCATCTATGTTTGAGGTGAGCTGAATAACAATCTGATCTCTTAGGTAGTAAAAACTGTATGAATAGGATCTGCCGATGCCCAGACAAGAGATCAAAGGCCTCGCACCCTTGGCTGAGTACGAGTAAGAAGAAGAAAGAAATAAAGCAGTACGAGGAGAAGGAGAGATCAGACAGCTGGAATTAAGTATAAGACGACGACAATGTGACCTCCATTCAGGTCGTACAAATAGACTACTCTGCAAAGATAGATAAACGACTAGAATGAAGACTAGAATGAGTAGCAAATTCTTCAGCTTACCCCATGTGCTTTCCAGCACCGGCACTCTTGTTCCAATGTCCCAACATGGTCTGCATAATCATCAACGGAATGGAGTCCGGGTCTGTCCATGCTGCTCCCTTAACCGCCACAGCGAAGTAAGCTAGGGGAACATCATCATCTCTGATGCGAACCTGAAGAACAAGCGTGGGGTCAGTAAAAATAACGCAGAATTATTCCGATGTACGCACGGGCTTGAAGTACATCTAAATAAGAGCAGTATCCAACACAGTTTATACACTCAACATCCCCCAAATTGTTTACTCACAACAAGTATAAATGATCACCTCTGAGCCTGTGAAAATTGCGGGCTCTCTCTTGATAAGGTCAGCTGTTGTGGTGGTGTCCGTTGACAGACTGGTAAATTTCTCCTCAACAAGTTTAACCAGCTTGTTGTGGTCAACAGCTCCAGCTCCTGCGATGACCTGTAGTTTCAACAATAATCATTAACTTCAAGGACAACTGAAATCAAGTCACAACTCCAAGTCAAAAGTATCGCGAATCAGTTACAAGAAAATTTTGTCCAACTAGACTACAAGTGTCAGAAAGGCACCGATAAAAAGGAAGCAAGGTTATCTGGTTCGCAAATGCATTTCTACCGCTATTGAGCAAAAAATGTTCACATCAAAGTCCTCTCTGGATGAGATTTCACAAGCAGAAGGTCTTACCATCCTGGGTCCTGAGTAGTGAGTGGAGATGTAGTCCTTCAAGTCGGCTCTGGTGATTGATCGCACATTGTCTGCCGGTCCCAAAATGGTGCGTCCAAGAGGACTGTACTGGAAAGCGGTGGCATGGAGGTGGTCAAACAGAACCTCCTCTACCTGACCCTCCACCTGTGAGAGTTTCCAACCACACTTCCACAATCATCAGCCCTCTTCGTCGTCCATCAAACTAGACACGCAAAACTCTCAGAACCTTGGGGCTATGCCTGTGGCAGATGTCGGTATATCCAGCACTCCAAGTGAGAGGGGTTGATATCACATCCCAGGCGAGTATTGTAGGATGTTCCACTGCAGAAAATATAAACAACCAGCACCATCTCTGCGTCTCTAGTCACTGAGTAAGATGTATTGCGCTTATTTCAATTAACGAACGGATCCTACCCTTCGAGGATTTAAGCTTCGCAATCTGATTCTTCCCTGGTTCTTTACGTCCGTGTAGAGGATGTAGAGGTGGCAGTCTTCGTTGACCCCTCCTTCAATGTTGACGAACCAAAAGCCTTCTCTATGTCTAAGCACGAGGAATTTCCATAATTTGCAGTTCAGATAACAAACTGTAAGACTGATTTGGCTTCGACATGCCGTGACTATGATGCTAGTCTACTAAGTTCGGTACCTTCCTTCATAGACCTCAAGTTCAGTAAACTCCTAATTCCGACTTCTAGCGAAGCATAGAAGCTTGATCTACATCACCTGCGGTGAGACTAGTCAAGATGCCAGCCGGCGAGTGAACTCTTCCGCGGAACAGCTCAAAGATTTAGACTTAAAACGCGTTTCTTACAGGAGGACTACGTATTAAGATTCAAAAGCACGGTTACGGTTGATTGTCAACTGAAGGATGTGAACTACCTTTCATTTGAGCCAAATTCATTGTCATCGGATCTTCAATTTTACAAACGATTAAATTTTTACATAGAGAAATCCCATATAATCGAGCGTGCTGGTGGATCCAACTGCAATCACAATAATTCATTCATGTGGAGAGAATTTCTACCTCCTGCATTTCCCGAAGAATAACGTTCCGCTCGCGCTCGATTCGGTCTTGATCGAAGGAAGAATTTTGGAGAATGTCCGCCAAGATGTCAACAGCAGCAGGCACATCCCTTTCGAGCACCTTAGCATAATAAGTAGTCTGCTCACGGGAAGTGTAAGCATTCAAGTGACCACCCATGTTCTCGATCTCCTCCTCGAGTTGCCTCAGGCTCCTCTTGGCAGTGCCCTTGAAAATCATGTGCTCCAAAAAGTGGGCGGTCCCATTGGTGGCCGCAGTCTCGTATCGGCTACCGGCATCGATCCACACTCCGACGGTGGCGGTATCCGAGGCCTGGCCAGACTCGGTGGCCACCCTCAACCCGTTGCTGAGAGTGGTAACCCTGGTCTGGGGCGTGGCGAGGACGGACGTGTGATCGGCAGTGATGGGGACGGGCGAATTGTACCTCTTGAATCGATCATCGGGAACAGCCAACGCGTGGCTGTGCAGGGCCGCGACCTGTCTCCATTTCCGCCTCGCGCTCCTGCCCACTGCCTGAGCCAACATCCTCCCCGCCATCGCGCCCTCTCACCTCCGATCCCTCTCTCTCTCTCTCACTCGCTCTCGCTCTCGCTCGCTCGCTCCTCTCTCTGCCCTAGAAGAAAACGCAAGAACCCACACCCACCCACAAAAGAGAGGCGAGCCGTCGAGAAAACCTCACTCTTGGAGCCCTTGTGGAGTCGACTGCCTGGACGACCACCTTCCCCTCTCACTCAAAAGAGCGACGAAGAGACGACGAGATGATCGCAGACACGCAGCAGAATAGCAAGGAGGCTGTTGCTGCCTGGAAGCGCTGGAGCCGAGCCAGAGGACGATGCGGAACGGGACGGGAGGACGTAAAACAGGGCAGGCCCTCCTCCTGCTCCTTCCTCACCACCGCGGGCGTCCTCGTCCTCGTCCCGGCCCCGTCCCATTCCTTCCCTTCACGTCTTTCTTTGTCATACTCGCCAGAAGGGCGGAAAAGCCCTCCCCCCAGCTTCTCCTGTACCCACCCCTGATCCCCGACGCAGTCCCTTTCCGCCCTCAGAGCGCCGTAAACTTCAAGTCTCCTGTCTCGACTGTACTTTTCCGGCTCCTGCTAAACGACGAAGGAGCGACTGCGACTTCCTTCACCTCAGATCATCGTTTTATCATTAATCAAAAAATTATTGCCAGTTTTTATTTTCCGGTACAAAAATAAGTTCAGCATAATATTGTGAATTTCTTTGTTTTTAAAAAAATCTTTGTTCAAGTTTTACGTTTTTCTAATATATCTTAATGAGCTTTTGTTGAAGCAGACAGAATGGACGTAATATTTGTTTGGATTGAGACGTTATGCGTCGTTGGGCGAGTGCGTACGATTATATTCTGGATTCTGGAGGAGTTTCTGGTGGTATGAGACAGAGGGTGAGAAGGTAACGAGGGTGTCCACGGGGAAGAACAGGAATAGCAATTTACCGAATATAGCGTCTGGGCAGAGGGATTCGCTCTCGCCCATAGCCCATAGCGAGTGAGTGCTGGATCTGCTGGTCTCAGGCTTGTAATGTTTGCTACGTCGGAAGCACACAGAGGCGATTTGTCTACGACTAAGCTGACAATTTCGAAGTGTCACAATTTGAACGTTCTGGTCGGGAATATCATGAGGCGAGAGATCACTGTCGGCTAAGGAAAACCGGATCTGAACTTCCCAACGAGAGCACATTATCTGATCCCTTGCGACACCACCCCCACCAGAGAAGACGGCCGTTCTATGGAGCTTCCAATATCAGTCTAAGAACGTCAGAACCAGAGTGAATCACGTCAGCGCACGATGTTGCAAATAATGAACGGATAGCGTGATTTACGTTTGACATCTCTGGGGGAAGACCGAGCTGTCAAAGATTTCTGGGCAGTCACAATCGATCACAAGTATTTCAGCACCGATGCTGACATTGGAGAAAACCGTGCGAGTATGCTCGATGTGGAAGACAGAAGAGGAGTTTGTCAGACCTGTCAACTTGTAATTCACAGCAGCATGTTTGCTCGAGGTACCATCATTGGTCGAAGGCTCCGCTCTTGTGCAGTAAGAATACTAAGTATTGTAACTCAATGCCGATGCTTTCGACGACAATATTGACCATTCTGCCCATATGTAGGTTGCCACAGGGGAGACAAAGAACGAGCCCAGCCCCTCTCTTGATCGAGGTGACAAGGCCGTTTTTTGTCTACCCTGTAGTGACTTACATATCTGTCTGATAATACATCACAGGACAGGCTTCTATGATCTCTGGGCGACCACACCAGCCAGCATAGTATACGCTTCGTTATCGAGTGTCCAACAATCAGTATCTCTGAGATCTGAGAGTTAATCTCGTCCTGTATATTGCTGAAACAAAGGCGGTAGTAGAGGCCGTGCACGTACGAGGAAATGAAGAATCCGTAATCCGGTGAGGTACAGACATGAACTGCCTGTACTCCTCAGACTTTCTGGTACTGTGTTGGTCAGGCTCGTTAACGATCACGTAAGCTTTGCCACCTTCGATTGAATCCAGAACCGCTCGTTATCGTTGCCAAACCCGGATGACTTGCTTCGAAGGATCATCTAGTGATCAAATGACGGCGAAGAATCAAAAGCCGAATTGGGTTGCATCACATTTCTGAGCTGAAGAAAAGAAAGAAGGAAACCGAAACATCCATCTGAGACTTCCACCGAAACGTGATTACTGCAACATGGAGCACTGTGAACTTCATCCTCTAATGGTGGAGAGGTTCCACTTACCTCTGGCGGACTTGGATCGTGCCGTCAAGATACAAGCTCGCACAAGCATCCTAAAGCGGATGTTAATCCAGGTTTACAGACCGATCGCGTTGAAAACTGCCGTGCTCTCTCACCTCGCTGTGCTACCTACCGATGTCAAAAACTGTCACAATCCTAGAGCCAGAACTCCGCCATCTTGTCTTTGTACCTTTGACATCATCCTACGTTAGAACGCAGACCGAAGTTCCGAATATCCTATCTTCGTCGTGTGTCACATTATCCAAGAGAGATTGGCTTCATACGCGTTTGGATGCATCCTGGCAGGCACACGAAGTCCTAAGATCATGTCTCTACGAGCGTAAAGAGAGAGAGGTCTTCGATTCGGTTGAAGGTAAACAGTCCAATGTCAGGCCAAACGCGCATGTGTTATTCGCTCGCTAGCATCCATCCTGAAATAGTTCCTCTTGTATTTTCCGACGACAAGCCCGCATTCCGCACACTCGTGACAGTACATCGACCGGCCGAACAGGCGAGAAGCTTGAGAAAGGTCCGTCTTTTCTTACCTCCGGCCTCGTCCTCCTTCAGACCCCAGATAAGAAAGAGCATCGACATAGAATTGACGACGCACAGCAGCCCTCCTCGGTGGCTCAGACTGTCGTCAACTCGGGGCAAAGTACGAGCGCTTCCCATGCACAGAGTTACCATGAAGAAATCCGCGCTTCTCCTCCGCGTGGGCTGATGAGATTCGAACTCGATGCAAGCCGAAATCGCTGACCCGGTGCTCTGAGATTACGATCTCAGTTATTATAGGCGAATGTGGATGAACCGCCCGTACAATCCGTTAGCGAAGCGACTACGGTCTCAGCATTCAGACTCGAGACCAACAGACAGTTCCATGGTCCCTCGATGTGACAGATTGTACATCCATTCCATCTGTACTGGCGGGTTTGACCCGAGATCCCGACTTTCCTCATGAACAGCCTCCAGCACGCAACCCGGATTCGTGTTAGGCTGCCTCGTGACAGCCCTTTTACAGAGAGCCCCTAACCTGGCGATGGTGCACGGCTAACCAGGGATTGAAACCAGCCAGCGCAAGGCGCGGTTGACTCGAGCTCATGGCTCAGTTGAAGCCAGGAAGCTTATCATGTCGGTACATATAGTGACAGCTAATTCTTCGCGGTACCAAAGTACATTAAGTTAGAACGCCAACCATGATGACAATGCAGTACCACAGGGCTCGGTGCTATGTTATGATTGACGAGACGCGGTGGCAGAGCGACCAGCGACACCGACCAGAAGTGCAGGCTAAGCTTGAACATTCGACTGATCGATTCGATGAGGTCGGTCTATGCTTCGGTTGGTTGGTGCATCTTGAAGATTCCTTTCGCAACTTCGGGATGGAACTTGGCTCACACTCCAGATGATGGTGGGGATGGCGGGGATGGCACACTTCGGCTTCGAGATTCATGATCAAACGTCGGCTAATGACGAGTCGTGAGTCTATAGTGACCTGATTTCATATTTCAATTTCAATTGCGAATGGGCCCGGGCTTGCGGTTGCAAGTACTGAACAATCGTGTACGAAATGCTTACAAGATGAAAGTGATGCAACTGATAATCATGCAGATAGCAGCAGCACTCGAATCAGGATGTACGAGCTTCGGACTGCTGAAGTCTGGTATACCCTCTGCACGAACTTACCCAACTGCGATCCCCAACGTACTTGCGATCGGGTGGTTAGCCGGCTCCACGTCTCCGAAGGTCCTTATTCAAAGGAATTAGCCATCAACTCCTGTCTCTCCGAGACAATCATGTCAGCACCTAGCTCTCAGCTCACCAGGCAGATCACAAGCGCAAATGAAAGGTGCTCGCTTCGTCGACTTCTAGTTCTCTTCATAGTTCATAGTACAGGCAGGAAGATCCTCATGGTACAAGTCCATCAAAATAGCTCCTTGGGCAAATTTGCAGTAGATTCATTCATTCAGTTCCAAGTCAGCCGCATCTTCGTCATTTTAAGATGAAAGAAAAGGGACTCAAGAGCTTCAAGATTTGAGCCTTGATCCTTGTGGTCTTTGGGTTTCAATTTTTTCTTCCAAGTAAAATGAGAATGATTGACTTGGAACCTGATAAAGGTCGAGTACATAATACATATATATTAAACAGTATACGGGCGTAGGGTGGCACGCTATCATGCGCCTCATATGATGTCTAATCTTAGAAATTTTATTCAAATGTTTGACACAAGTTATAGATGAAAATACGAATGGGGTGATTCAAGGTTTTAATACACTTTGAATAACACAAATAAGAAAATTTATAAGTTATTATGTACAATTACACAATTCATGTAAAAAAATGTAATCATAGAAACAATCGTTCAAATACGTTTTTCAAGGATTTTAACCAAGATCCGTGTACATTCATTCATTCAACAATGAGTATTTTAAAGTATCTCAGTGCTTACAAACTAGTCAGAAATTGGGTAGTATAGTTTGAAAGTATAATACTCAGATTTATAAATGTAGTTTGATACTATCCTACCTAAATGTATTATGTCATTTTGGTTTTGGCTTCATGATCAAGTCCAATTGCTTTCACATGGAAAGCATGAAATTTAACCTTCGGTTTTTTTAATGATTATTCATACAATTTTACCTACATTTAAGAAAAATTTCACTGTTAAAAAATCTAGTGAAAATTTATAAGAAAGTTTTTTCGTCATAAAGTTGTGATACCTGGAGTTATAAAATAAATTTAGGTTATTATTGAGAAAGATAGCATGAAACTTTACGCAATTTTTTTCTCTTTATCAAAGTAACTCACAATTCATGTTTGGATATCTTGTGTAATTCATCATTATATGAACAAATCATGTTTGAATATCTAATATAATTCATCATATGAAAAGTGCAAGTATATACATTTTATTTTCATTCTTTATTGGCATCATCTAGTGTTTCGTTTGATAAGATATTTTATTAAGTTTAATGTGAAAAAATTGAAAACGTAAATATTTTTCCAATACAGTGCTATCCTCGAAGAACTTGAGTTTGTTTTGTATGTAAAATAGAAGCTTATTTTTGTGAAATCTCTTTATATCACGAAGGTTTGCACTAAAATGAGTAAAACAGAAGTGGATTGATATTTAAGAGATTGCATTGAAATAAGTCATACATGAAATAACCTGAAATTTTAGTCATAAAAAATAGAGTATAACAATGTGTTTTTACTTGATACAATATTCAAAACAACATGATGATAATCTTGATCAAAGTTGTATTCAACATTACATCTTATGATAAAGTTTGATTATCTATAGATAATATGATCGGACAAAACATGCAGATTTATCAACTTCATGTAAAGCCTATGCTTGTTTAGTGTGAACAAGAATACCTACTTGCCAAGATTCCTACCATCTTACCGTCATAATATTGTTCGTCACAAAACTGAATCTCATAGGCTTGAAATTGAGGAACGAAGATGGTTTAATATTGATAGTATGTAACTTATTTGTAAGTTACATGACCTAGTAAATATTGAGTATGAAGAGCATGTGTTTGTTACATATCCTAGGGTTGAAGAGATTATACAAGCTCATAAAAAATAAACTTTTTTCTTTATTACAATCAATGATTTTTTATTTAGATTGTTTTATTAGGGAAGTTATCGTTCTAGTGCTGTTGGCACTAGCTAGCCTAAGTGTAGAGGATCTTTTACTTGATAAGTGTATAATAGATTTGTATGTTTTCAACTTTTTGACCCTTTGGATTTCATGTGCTTAATCTATTTATGTATACCATTTTTTATTAAAAAAAGTGAAATTTTTCTATGTTTTGTGTATTGAACTTGTAATAAAAAAATCTAATATTATTATAATATTGAAAAAAAAAATACATTGAATATCTACAATCAAATAGAATATTATTATTGAGATTAGAAATCAAACATTAAGTTATTAAATTTGTAAATTAATATATATTAATATAACATAATTATAGGAATTTTTATATTATTTCAAGTTATAAATATGAAAAAATATAATTTCAAGTTTTGCAATGATCTAATTGAATAATGTATTTGCTCAAATTAAGATTTAACTTTATATATTTGGTATTATAAAAATACAAAATACAAAATTTGCACAACGAATACACACACATGGCATGGAAACAAACTATGTATAATATATAAGATTACACTAGTTACGACTATATAAATGAGTTTATAATGTTACTATGCTGAAAATCTAAATTGTGTCATTGATGATATGGTGAGCAAATAACAAGATTGATCATGAGAGTTATGAGAGATATCAAGATATATACCAACTTTATAATTATGTTAGATCTTAGATCCATGAAGATCTATCCTAACTTTAAGATTATGGTAGAAATTAAATGCATGAGTCAGGTTTTGGAAATTTTAACCTCCATAATTTATAAAATTAATCTGAAAAAATTCTAGAATAAAATCTAACATATAGACAATGTTTTAATGAAAATATAGAAAGAATTTAAAAATAACCTAAAAAACTTGAATAAAAATAAATTTTTTAAAAAAATAAAAAATGACATCATTATCAATTCATACTAGCTTTATCACTGTATGATATAAAGTATGTTTATAAATTAACATAGTATGTAAAAAAAAAATTTACCAATTGTCCATGAGTTGATTCAGAGTTGATGGAATACATTGTAGTGAAAACTTAAAACAAAACCATTTTTACTCATTTCTCTAACATGCATATCCAACCAAATAACCTAACTTTTTGTTTCCATTATCATGAAATACTGAACTTTTTTAAGTAAAATGAGATGTTTTCTTCTACAATCTTAATTTTCAACTTATGCATTCATCTCTAATTGTGAACACAATTCAAATTTAGTTTTTTAAAATCAAGATGTTATCCATAAACAACATCTATATATTCAATAAATGATTTGACCTTTTACAATCTTTCATCAAACATAAGATTAAAATCTAACTTACTCTTGAAATTTAAAAAAACAGATCATTTCATAGCTTTTCAATGAATTTAACTTGCATTTCTTAAAGAGCTAGAGAAAAATCAAATCATCAAATACATGAAACTTTTCACTACATTCGTAGAATGAATCTATTCTTAAAATGTAGTGAAACATCAATACTTTCATATTTGTCTTTATTAAAAACATAACTTTTCAACTTTTTGGGATCTTCATACTTAAAATACTTCTTGTTGCACCAAAACTTGGAATCTCAAATTTAAATCAAGAAAGTTTTGAGCTTATCAACATCAGATTTGTTTCCAAATGCAATAAATATGTATTATACCTAATATCTTGAAGTGATGAACTCAAAAAATTTCACATCTCAACTCTTCATGCTAACATATAAAGATCAAATACTCTCTTAAAATTTGTGCAACCTCATGAAATACTGATATTTCTGGTTTTATTTTCTATGAATTAATTAACTTTCATAAAAAAAAATCGGCAACTTGCAAATCATATAATTTTGGTTTTTTTCACAAAATCCATTCACTATGTGATAAAGATTACATTGGATTTTCATCATTTTTGGATATCAATCAAAACTCTCCTACAAAGCTTGAACCTTCGGCATAGAGAAAGTTTACTTTTTTGAAATAAAAAATAATTATCATCGTAGAGTTAATTATTATCATATTCTGATTTAATTGAATCAATCTATTTTTCAAATTATTAAGTTTCACTAATAAAGTGTCTTGACCTCTTTTTTCTAAATAATTTTCACTTGATCTTGACATGATGGCTTGTGTCAAAATTCATTTATCTTGTTATTTTCTTGTTGTTTTTTATTTCAAAAAAATCTACTTTTCTATACCATCAATTTTTTGTCATCCATAATTATTACAACACTTACAGTATATTTTACTTGTGAATATGAGAAGTTTGAGCTTGAGTTTTTTTTGTTCAATGATCTAGATTTCATTGAACAGTTTTATATTTGACAATTTATTATTTGATAATCAATTTCATAATTTTTAAATTTTTTTCCAATATACTATCCAAGAGAATTATTATTTTCAAAATTTAAATCCAACTTACGTTTTTCTTTCTTCAATATGAAAGTACACGCATTACAAATATAACAAAAAGACTTTTAATTGCTGGTCATTAATTTTTTCAACTCAAATGATGCCTTGTAACAAATTGCTCTCTCACTCTCTCACTCTCTCTCTCTATATATATATAAATATAAATAAATAATTATATATATATATTGTTCACAATTTTTGCTCAAAAATTATGTGATCAAATTCATTTGCTCAACACACTCTTTAAATATATAAATGTGTTTGACAAAAAAACTTACCAACATCATTTTTTTGTACAATTTTATTATACTAAGATGATAATTTAACATGTGTTATAATAATGGAACTTAGATATTCAACATTTTATTTTTTGTTGCTATGAAAGCAAAAAAATTTCACTAACTTGTCTCTATGTAATCAATTTGAATTATCATTTTTTGGTAATAACTTTAGTTTTTTATGTGGAAATAATTTTGAAACATTTGAAAAATTTGTTAATGAAAAATCCGTATAGTTATTTTTGAATGTGAGAGAGTAGATGATGGATTTCACTCATTATCATGTATGAATTCAATTTTTTTATCATAAGTCTATATTCCAATGCAAGAAGTAAGTTAATGCTGCTTTACTAGCACTTAATGTTCACACAATGCTATACAAATTATGATTTTTGAGAAAAAATGAATTATTTATTTTTATTATGTGAAGTAGTCTTGAAAATCGCAAGTTTTTAATCTCAAAATAATATCTAGATGCAAACATGTTTAAACATAGTTGCATATCACTTAAAAATTTATTATGCTTAATAACTTCAATACATATATATTTTTTCATTCATGATTTGAAATATACCGTCAATTTTTTTCGTTGATGATCATATTTGTCTAATGTGATGATTAGTGGAATAATAATCTTATTTTTATTTGTTTTATATGCAAAAAAAGTCCAACTTTTTCAATTCAATGATAAATTATGTCAAATTAACGTTTGATGTATGGAAAGCATCATCAAAAGTTTAAATCTACATGATTACTTGACATTAGTTTTGACAAAATTGACAAGACTCCATTAAA